GACGAAACGTCTAATTTATAGTGGGAATTATGACGGCTGGTTATTATAATGCTGAGCTGGGTTTATGGTTAATAACTCTAATAAATGGTTCTGTTTAAAATAATTAAACAACATTCTGAGCTCAACTACGGTATTTAGTATCAGGTGAAACAGAGATGTTGTCTTTCGTACAATTGTCATTCATTATTTTGTTCTGGCAAGATATTTCTTTGAATTAAAAAAATTACCAAGAAGTTAGTCCCGTCAAGCCTGGCTAATATCCTGTGCATGTCTGGAAGGATTATCAAAAAGATTTATAAATCTTTAAATAAAAAAAAGGTATGCAAAATAGTCTAAAGTGTTTAGGGACTATTTTTTCTATAAAATGGTCCCCTACAAATTCTTACGAGAAAAAAAACAAACCATTTTCTTTATAACAACTTCTTCATAAAAATCATCGGAAGAGTTTAGATGTTTCCTTACCCTCTGAATACCTAGTACATTTGAAAGTGTATTTTTTATAAAGATCTCCAAATTTTAGTTAATAGAGAAAATGAAAAGTTTAGATAGTGCTTTTTCGTTCCCTGAACCATGACCAATATAATTATACATGTCAGGGTGGTTTTTTTAAATCCTGTCACTGAAATTCTTAAGGAAAAAATAGGTAAAGCAAACCATTTTTTTCAACTTTTATATCAAAAGAAATGGTTTGACAGATTAAAATAGTGGTTTTATAGTGATTTTTTTATAAATATTTCCTGCCACAGAAATTCCTAATTTCATGTCATAGTGTGTTTTTTTTTTCAAATTCTTGTCACTAAAATCCTTAAGAGGAAAAGAAATTGAACCATTTTTTTTTTCACAAAAACTTTGATTAAGCAATTCATCAACTTTTAAATAACGGAGAAATGGTTTAACGAGTTTATAGAGTGGTTTTATTAGCTTTTGAACCCATCCCCATACATGTCAAGGCGTATTTCTTGTCATCGAAATTCTTAAGACAAAAAAAATCACCAAAACCATTTTCTTCTAAAATATTCCTTATATTCGGAATTCGTTAACATTTAATTAACAGAAAAGTGGTCTTAAGAGTTTGAACGTTGCTTTTCTCGCCCCGTAACATTTTAGAGTGTACCTTTTATAAAAATTAAAGTCCTTAAGAAAAAAAGGAACCAAACCAGTTTCTTCGTAACCACTTTCATTATGCAATTTATCAAATTTTCTAAATAACGGAGATATGGTTTAACGAGTTTATAAAGTTGTTATATCAGTTTTTGAACCAATGTGTTTAGATGAAGCATCAGTTAAAAATTCGATTCAACGTAAATTAAAATTTTCAAAAGTACATAATTTTTTAATTTCATTTTTTAAATTGAACTCCTTTGTGCAACGATTCAAACGCAGTCAAACACGCTGTGAACAGCCGTGGCCTCACGACTCCTCCTTGTTTAACCCTCCTATTATCACAGCTTCAAATCTCACTTTCCTGTCAACGCAAATTTTTATTAAACGTAAACTTCCTCTCGGCTTACATTTTTTATTTGTTTTTGGTGTGAAAAATGGGAGCACTGTCAAGTTCGCGTCACGCTGATGACAAAATTCTCCATTAAACTAGTGACATAAGACGCGAAATCGATCGCTCGTTGCTTTGCAGTTTTAACGTGTCTACAATTAGCATTCGCGAATTTGCATGTGCTGTGCTAATTAACCAATTAGCGTGACGGTGCGGTTTTTCACAGGAATGCAAATTATGATAAATTAATTTGGGTTTAAATTTTTTATTAGATCAACAAGGATTGTAATGTCATTCTATTTAACTTAAATCAAGTTCAGCAAACAGAATCCTCTCAACACTGTATTTACTGCACTGCTCATTCCCATTTCCCACAAAATCCGATTTCACGAGTAATCGAACGTTCATTTTTTCACCAATCCCGAAAGTAGTATTTCCAGATGCCTTCAGTGATTCACTCTCAAGATGTACCGTAATGATAAATTGGTTTTTTCGTGTAATATAATAGTATCGTTATTGGTTTCAGTGTGTCAAACAACAGAAAGTAAACACGACGTTAAGAGGTCAAACAATATGCAAATTCCGAATTCAGTGAGAGAAATGTGTCGACTGTAGGTAAATCACTGAAGATTTACAGTTAGAAGAACGCCTTCTAAAGTTCGGGTTATCGGTTCGATTTCGTTGAAAATTGAATTATTCACAAATCGTCCCAAAAACACATAAAAATGACCCGGGAGGGCAGGTGGGTCGGTGTGCCCACGCGTATCACGTTGCTTTGTTTTCAACAAGAGAACGATTCAAAGGCCAGAATTTTAACGAAATCGGGGAGCAATTTTTCGCAAGTCGATGGGAGTTTGATTTATTATCGGTTCTAAATATAATCTTGGTGGATTTATAGGCTTAATCTCTAGAGCACTGATTCTATATTTAGGTTAATCGATTTTGTAGAAAGTTCACGTATAATTAAATTATTTTTCCTTTGTTGTTACCTCTTTTTTCCCAAATATATATTAGAGTTAAAACGTCTTGCCCGCTCCACAACAACAGTTCATTCAACCATCAAACGGTACTTATATTTTCACGATGTTTCACAACTCCTGGAGTTTGAAAAAATAGGTCCTCCATTTCGGTTATTTGTCGTTTGTCTGTGACTACTGAGTTGAATATTGCGGTGACGTCATTCCAGAATAAATTAATTTTCATCATCAATAGTTAATTACATTTAACACTATTTAATTACTAATTAATTATTACATTGATTAATTAAATTTTACAAGGTAGTGGGTAGCTGGAACAAACGATTGCTGTAGATTAAGGCTATTAATTAATTAACTTCAAGTAACAGTAATGAATAATAAATAATTAACAATTAGCTAAGTAATTATCAAATAAGTACATTAATTTTGATTATGTGATTTTTCTATCTTCCTTTCGCTCTTGTGGCAACGTAAATAAACTAATTATTTAAATTAATTATGATTAGGCAATTACTGAATTAATTATTTAGTATATTTTGTTACAAATGATGAGATTAATTTTCCAATTGAAACTGTATTGAAAGAGTAATAAAATACATTTGAAAAAATTAAGAATTTTACAAAATTTTTGGACCAATTTTTATACGATTTATACCTTAATAACGATATCGATAAGTTCAAAATTATGACGTAATTGACCATTTTTAAAACAAAAAATATCGTAGAAGGCACAAAAATTGCAAGATTGTACACGATTTTGACAGCTTAAATAGATATTGTTCAAAATTACAGACAAAATTTTGACATACCAGAGCGTAATTGTCAGTAGCTAAGATGCATTGTAACCTCCAATCACCCCACTTTTTTATTTTTTCTCGACGTTTCATTTACTCTGAAGTATGAAAAAATAGGTCATCTATGTCGGTTGTTTTTCCTCTGTCTTTTGCTGAGCTAAATACCATGTATACAGTAAAAGAGTAACCAAAATTTTTCTAATTATTTCCACGAACAATATGATGACGTCATTTGAAAATAACTTAATTTCCATCACTATGGCCTTTTATACGTTTTCGAATAGTTTTAGGAGATTTATTTTCTCTAAGTATAGAAGTTGAACTTGTAATTCGTATAATTAATTGGGGATAATTTTACGGATTCTAATAAAGCACTACTTAATTATTAATTAGTTCATTAATTTATTAATTAAATAGTTAATTACATTTTACAAGATAGATTAAGGCAACTAAAAATTAATTAACCTAAATTAACGGTAATGAACACTAATTCTTTAACAACCAGATAATTATCAACTACTTACATTAATTTTGGTCATCTAATTTTGCTATCTTCTTCTCGCTCTTATGACAATGTAAATCGATTAATCATTTCAATTAATTAGAATTACTTGAATGACTTAATTGATTTTTTGATACATTTTTTTACTAAAAAATTAATTTTCCAAATGAGACAATTTGAAAGAATTAGTACGAAATCCATTCACTACATGGTCAGTTTTATGTTTTCTCGACGTTTCATATCACCTGAACTACGTAAAAATATGTCTTCCATTTCAGTTGTTTATCGTCTGTCTATCGTCTTTTCGCGATTTTGTTAAAAAATAATCTCCGAAGCTACTGGTTCAGTAAGCCACTAACCAAAATTTATGGAATTACCCCCACCAACAATATGATCACGTCATTTCAGAATAAATTAATTTAATTAACGTTTTCGAATACCTGCATGAAATTTATTTTCTGAACATTTAAATGTTTGTGGCAAAAGTTAAATTAGTAATTCATATAAGTAATCAATTCAGCATTACTTAATTACTAATTAATTAAATAAAAGAATAATTAAATGGTTAATTTAAGGTGGTACGAACGAGCTGCCGTTGTTAACGCTACTGATTAATTAACTTAAATTACCAATAATGAACATTAATTTTGATTATGTGGTTTTTCTAGCTTCCTCTCACTCTTACGGTAACGGTAATCAATTAATTAGTTAATTAATTAAGATTAGGTAATTAATTAGTTGTTTTCTACATTTTGTTACTAATGAGATTAATGAGATAAATTTTTACTGAAAAATCCGGCTTAACTAGAATTTTAATTATTACGATTGCTTACACAGGGTGTTTTAAGAAACTAACATATAAATTAACTATGCGTATACACAACTTAATTCCTCAATTCATTATTTAAAATACGTCCGTTCCCTACCGCAATGAAAAAAACATCAACACCCTGTAAAACGCGACCCACATATCGACCTCGGCCAATTCCTCCCCACACGTACCCCTTGTACAAAATTCATGCAACTTTTCCCACAGCGACCGCATGCTTTATTAAACGGGTTATTCCGGGGCCTATCGACTCCGGAGACTTATTCCGGTAATATCCACCCTCACTCCGGCTAAAATACGGGCCCCACCGCTCCCATAAACAAGCAGTCGGTGTGGTGGAAGCTTCACCCTGTATACGCAATATCTGTCAGTAGAACAGACGCCACGCTCCATCATTAGTGCACGCCTTGGGCCGCAACTCGCCAACTTCAATCGGCTAAAAATAGCAATATAAAGCAGTGGCGGCGGCGCTGGGCGGCAGTGCATCTCCGCCACCAGTGGTGGTCCAGCGGTCAAGGTCGAGCACCTGACCAGAGCAGCCGACTCTTCGCCAGTTGTGCCATTGACTTCAGAACGTGTGCATCGACTGAAGACTGCGAGGATACGCAGACACTGGCACCAAGGGTACGTCGAATTTCCGAATTTTCATTCCGGGTAAAGCGAAAACGCACGATTTTTTTTTCAAAATTCAAAACGACAAAGTGACAAGTGTGACCGAAAATTTGCAAAATTTTGAAAAAGCCGGGTTGTATTTTTGCTACCAATTCGATTTTTGATAACCGTAATTTTAGAAAAAAAATCTACAGGGTGTTTTTTTTTTCAAAAGTTCGGCGTGCTTATTCCATATATGGGTTGGTTTTTGCGGAGCGTTGAACTTTTGATTGGTTTGGCTCATTCTTGCGAAACGCTGATAACCGTTTTTTGGAAACAAAATGTGTGATTTTTGTTTTTAGCTGATCGCATCGATCTGTGTTTCCGGTGTTGGTGCAATGAACTTCTCGTTTTATTGAGCTAATCAGAAAATCCTGATGCCGGGAAAAATGATATTTTGTTGTAAGATTTAATTACATTTCCTGTTAAATATGCAAGAATTCAGAATGAAAAAACTGCATAAATTAAAGAAATTAAAAAATTATCTTTTTGAGTCAATTAAGTGATAATGATTATTATTCAGACTGTCAGCGCAACACCTGGGAAGAAAGCACGGTTTGGCGAATACGATACAGGGTGTTCCAAATTTATCGCCAGATGTATAGGATGTCCCAAACGATTTTTAACATGATCTTTCAGTTTATTTTTCACCAAGAAAAATATTGTCAAAAAAACTGTGTGAGAGCACATCTGGTGTCAAGAGAAAGGGTACTCAAAAATCACTCGAAACAGTTATAAAATATAGCCGTTCCACAAAAAATGAGAATAACGACAATGTGCAGATTTAATCACCCTGTATAAATAAGTTGTAAAACTGGTTAATTCCATATATATCTGTGGAGGTAAAGTAACTAAATTGCAAAATTATAGACTTACCTCTTTGAACTTGGAGCAGTGAACTTTTAATTATGGCCATATATTTTTTGTATATTCTCATTCTGAAAATTCCCGTGACTTATATACTATTTTCTTATTTTTGTTACAAAAAATATACATATAGTAATTCAATCCAATATTCCGATATTGTTTAATAATTGTGTCGAATTTCGTTTGTATTTTTTAAAATTAGTTGTTCTTTTATAATTTTAGATCTCTTTCAAACTTCTTAAGTTCTTAATTCTATGCAATTAACCCATTCACATATAAATATAAAATTAAGAATTGGTGGAACACCGTTACTTAAGTAATAATTTGGTAACATTAAAAGATGTGTAAGTTAATTATTTCATTGCCCTGGTTCCCACTAAAATTAATTTATGATGCTTTGTAGATACATACGATCTCACAAATTTTTATATGTACTTGGAATCAAATAAACTGCTCTATATATAGCGAGATATAAAAAATACTTTGTTTTTATATTTATTTTTATGTTGGTAGCCACTGGTAACTAAATTTAAATACAGGACTCGATCTCTGGTCAACCATTATGTGTAATAAAAAAAAAATTAATCTACTTACTTAAATTTTTGCTGTTTTTTTTTAACTGACTAAAACGGTTGTTTCTCTGATAACACAATTTAAAGGATCATTGTTTCTCTAAATGTTACTCAGTTTACATAACGACATAATTGCTAGCCAGTGAGATAAATGTTACCCACTTTTTTTGTTGTTGTCATAAACATTTAACAGTTTTAGTTAAATAAGCAATTCAAATACACTTTTTCCGTAAATTAGCAAGTATTTGTTATTTAATAGAGTCAAGATTTCCTCAAAAATTTTAAAATTTGCTGCAGCGCCATCTTTGGGTTTAAATGTGAACTACTGGGACTACAACAAACATTTTCGAATTTTTTACAGCTTAGAGCTTTAAAGTCATTTTAAAAAACGTTGTTGCGTATTTTTATTTTTATTATTGTATCCATCCATTAACGAGCTATAAAGTACCGTATATGGTAATTCTCTCATCTCCTAGGGGTCAGAGCGAAAACTTTACTAACCCAAAGTAACCAAATACGGAAACCGGTGACCTCAAGACAAAATCAGGCAAATTAGTTCCAAGACTTCGCCTGTTTAGGGTTGTATGTCAGTGTTGCCAACCATGCGTTACGAGACCTAGTAGGTGGCGTCCACTGAAACCGACACACCTCTTTATTCACCTACTTATTATTCCTACACGATCGTACCATTGCACTACCCATAAATCATTACCTGCTCCACAATACCATACCAACAATTAATAATTAAGAAATGCCCCTTAACCTCGATCCGCAGCTACCAGAACCCGCTGAAAAATTCCCACGTTTTTATAAAAAAGGCAACAGGAAACGCAAAATTGGACCAAAAAACCGGTTCAATTTCCTCGGCGTAATTTGTTTATTGTTGTTATTAATTAAATTTGAAGAAGCCGCGCTTCTTCCATCTACCGTGCAATCAACGATAATGACCCCTAACAATCCTCCCATTGTAATTTTTAGCAATTTCCCGAAATTGCCTTCAGGAATTCACGATTTACGAGCGACAGGGTCGGCTCCGGACGATTTTGTTGTTCGTATGGTTTATTATCGGCTTTTATCGATTTATCGGACGTCTACGAGCCGGTTCTGCTCTTGCTTGTTTGAAAAAATAACAGTAGTTTTTATTTAAACAGAGCCGACCCTGCGGCTACGAGCCGTTCAACGTTCATACCTAGAAACCCACATTTATAAATATGCTAATTGTCTTAAAAGCTTTGCGACTCCATTCATGGCGAATAAATGAAATCGTTTATTAATCGATCTGGAACGACGTGAATTACAATTGGCAGTATGATGGATGACGTAATAAATGTCCGACTGAATAGAGCAACTCGTTAGAGTGCTAGTTTATTGTTTCGGACGATATTTATGGCGAAGTTTCGATAACATTTCGAGGTGGAAATATTTCTCGCCGCACATTACCCTCTAGACTGTTTCAAACTCTCTGGTGGATTCGTTTGTTTGTGCTTTTTCTAATTTTGCTTTATTTCGAAAAACTGAAATTTATTTTCAGTGGATTCCACCTGAAAACTAATTTTTATTATTGTCTTCTCCTATCATAAATTCCAACCCTATATTATGACTTACTAACTATATTTATCTCGTCCAATCAGAGGTTGTTTTCTATGCGTGGTTGTATCCAGGATCTCTAAGCGAGATATATGTGATTTGAATACCACCCAGTAGCTAGTTTCTTCCGTTTTAAAGATTTATGGTAGAAGGTTTAATTATGCGGTGTTCATGTGGCATGTAACATAAGTAAACTGTCACATTAGACAGACTACTATCCACACAACCTATTTACCGATGCTGAAACTGACTTCCGTAATCTCAGATTTATTGTTTAAACAAAATAATATATTGTATATAAATATTTATAATATTCGAAACAATGCACAAAATTCTATTTAATTTAAAAATATAAATTCGAGGTGATCTAGAAACTTAAAATTCTAACAATTGTGTTGGCAACACCAACGCGTTCTCTGCGTCGAATGAACTGTCAAGTAGCTGCAGTGCCAACTTATAGTTATAAAAATAAATTTACTACTACCAGACGATTTTTTTGTCCTTCATGTCGTATTGTTTCGTTAAATTTAACCTACTAATTGTTAATATCTCCACAAGTAAGCGATATAATGCACATTAAAGCGAATCTAATACATCTGGATTATGCAACATGTGACTTTTGCACCATGACTTGATTGTCAAGTGAGCACAGCATAATCCAATAATTCTGTTTTAATTAGCTTAATTTGTGTTCTAAATGGTGACGTGTTTCTAAACCTACTAGAGTAAGAAATTGTTGTGTCCTGTGTTGACTTTAACACAACCTAAAACCGTTTTTTCGTCACCCATTTCTCCATTGACATAATTTGCCGCCATTTTCAAATCTCCGGTCCGCCTCTGACCATCAGCCGCCAGATGACGTGACACTTTTCGGACAAAAGTCCGATGACCATCAAGAAAACAATTTTTCCACACCATTAAATTTGCATGTCAAATTGATACAGTCTTCCTTTGTGCAGGGTACCATTGACCCTGATGGTCATTGTACAAATTCATGCGGATCTGTGCGTTTTTTTCCCGCTTCGAACGTACCTACTTCACCAGCATTCCCACGCATTCGATTGTCCTGCTCTGGAATAAATTATTCCTGTGAATGGGTCGCCGGTGTGACCAACTTTAGAAAAATGAAAACACGGCGAGGGTGCGTGGAGGTGTTTATATAACGTGTTTATATCATCCAGCCGAGGGAAAAAATTCACAGCGGTTCTGCGGATGACAATTGCCGGTACAAGAGAATACTTTCCGTTATTGTTGCATGGTTAATAATTGGGGGATTGGGTAAGAGAGACGCTTACGAGGCTGAGTTGCCACACTTGGACTAATTATGAGGATTCCGGATTAGTTTGCAGGCGGAATAATATGTATAAAATTGAATATAAAGGCGGATTAATAAACCACAATTACTTTGCAAAATTTTGTGTTTAGCCACACACGATAAATATAACAATAACGAGTACTATTTTTTCAGAAATTTTGCACCACCGGGATGTGGCGACTGCTCCTCCTAGCTTTACTGGCAGCAGCTGATGACACTGTCGACAAGGATGGGGAAAGTTCGAGGAAAATTTTAGGATCTAGGTGAGTGTTGCACGTCGACGTTGTTTTTTCCGTTAGATAGGATGAAGAGGTAATACCACTTGTCGAACACGTCTGCAGGTTCTACGCATCCAAACAAGATTAATTGGCGATCTAATGATACACTAGTTAGATATTTTTAACGGTTTTCATTTTTCCGATACCACACAAACAAGGTTTCGTTTTATAGCTCGTAATTGGGCGATTATCCACATAACCTGATCAACACAGGATGTCTATAACTAAACTGCATTAAATTAATAACAATATTGGCTAAAGTGAGACAGTAATAAGTAATTCGGAAAATACAAATAAGTTAAGAGGCGACTAATGGTCACTAAAGGGGAGGCGTCAATTTGTAAGAGGGGTAACGCGACTTAATGGCCGAAGGAGGGGAGGCCGCCCGTAGCCAATAAAATAATTACTGCTACAGGACCGCAATTACTCAGATTGTGCCACAAGCACACTAAACCCCTTTGAAAGCACCGTTTTATTCCCACAAAAACCATTCCGTTTAATTCATTGAATTCTTAATAATCCTTTGATATACATAATAGCAATTCATCTGCTGCCTGTCGTTACAATTATCGGTACTTCTGCCATTCTATCACTGAAAGAACGGTGCTCATCGACAAAGGTAACTGGGTCGTAAATATTTGCCAAGTACGGTATTACATTTCATTTAAACGAACAGGTGCGATCCATAAATCGCAATTTAGAACAGTTATTCGAACCGATTGTCAGATCTATTTGTAGACCAACCAGATAAATTGTTTCACTTTTTAATTCCAGCGTCGTCACGTCGGTTTCCGTCATCATGGACGCTGGAAACGGCTCGAAAATTTACGCCGACGCTGTTGGTAGACCTGTTTCTAAGCCTCAAGCCGCTGGCGATGTAGCAAGTCCCATAGATCTCCTCAATCCTGACCGTTACGAGTTTTACACTTTTGACGATACGGGTGATCTTGTCAAGAGGTTGATGACTCTAGAGGAGATTCACGATATTATAGCAACCGGGGATGACGAAGGGCTCACTTTGGACGCTTTTACCGGGAATGGGTTCATTCCAGAGAAAAGGGTCAACGACGTGGTGAACAACGTCCAGAATGTGCTCAAAGAAGAGATCAAAATGCACAAGAACCCGGATAAAAATCAGTTCGATACGCCAGATGTTTCGGATTCTTGGAGCATGATTCTACCGGCTGTTTTTGGGAATTCGGGTGAAGATATAAAGCCGGAGGCACCCATTATCCATGTGACGCCGGATACCATCATGGTTGAACCAGAAATTAATGTGATGGCGACGACTGAGCAGATATCGACAACCGAGAAGGTTATGACGTTGCAAACTAAGAAGACCACGCCGAGATCTACTACGACCACGACGGAGAGAACGCCGATGATTAATGTCGAAATTATAACCAACTCGAATTCTACCACGGAAAAGACTAATAATGAGGGTGAGGAAGAAGGGCAAGTTGTGGAAATCAAGCCACATAATGATGACGATTTGACCAAGGAAAGTGTGGCTCCACTTCAGGTTTCTAAAACTACCAAGCGACCATACCCTGTGAAAGTTACTACGTTTAGACCAACAAAGAAGCCTATTATTAGTTCGACGTCTACGACTCCCAGATCAATTTCGACAACGACAACTAAACCTTCGACTACTCCAAGCTCCACGACAACATCTACCACTACAACTACAAGACCAACCACAACATCTACTACTCCTAGACCAACAACAACGACATCTACAACACCACGATCTGTACCAACAACAACAACAACAACCACAACATCTACAACTCCAATAACATCTACTACAACAAGAGCAACATCCACAACGACACAGATTACCACCTTGAAGTCCAATCAAGTGATTGAAGATACCTTAGGTCAATCCTCCACTGTAATATTTGAAAAAGTGGCTCCACCTCAACCCTCCACAACAACTGAGCAAATAACCACATCTCAAGCGCCTCCAATTCCAGAAATTGTAACATCTACACCTACAACTACCTCCACTGAAACTCCTACAACTACGACAGAAATACCTTCTACAACCACCCTCCCAGAATCTACAACGACGGAAATTTTCACTACAACCGAGGAACCTAAATTAACATCTTTCGTAACACTATCAAAAATAGTACCCGTCACAACAACAACAACTCCAACTACCTCTACCTTTGCTCCTCTGAGCACCTTCTTCGTCGTATCAGACAACAAACAAAATGAATCTCCACAAAATGACATCACCGATGACCTCAATACTTTGAGTACTGAATACGTCACCTCCAGTAAACTCCCAACCAACTTCAGTACTACCACAGAGTCACAATCGACTGACAAAGCGTCAACGGCTCTAGATCAACTCCTTTTGACTTCCACCAACATCTACGAAATTAACTCTGAATTGTCAGAAGTGCGTGTTACGACTGACAATGTCGATGAAAGTACCACCAGCACTGAAGACAAAACTACGGAGAAATTTTTAATAAGAGTAACTAATCCGACTGAGGCACCCATGACTACCACCACAGACCAGACGTTTATAGAAGCAATTGAACAACTGATGTCACAGGCCGTTGGTACCCCAGCACCACCCATAGAATCCGAAAAGGAAGCCATGCTGGTCCAAGACATGATGATGAACTCTGGTAATAAAACAATGCCAGAAGTGATGTCCGAAGCGGCCACAATTGCGTCTAAATTAGTGGGAATTGGTGAAGAAAGTACCACGGTACCACCTACAACCTTTGATGATTTAGGCTTGTTGAGTGACTCTGTTGGCTCTCTTTTATCACAGGTTTATGGACAAGGGTCCACCACGATGGAATATGACACACCAAGTACGACTATGGAAAGTACCACAGAAGCAATTACAACCACCACGCCAGGAACTACCACGACGACAACAGAGGCCTTTGTGCCCCACATTATCAATATAACTATAATTAGAAACGAAAACCGAACCCAACCTAAACCTGCCAAGTCTGATTTAAGTTTAGAAAAAGAGTACGAAAATCTGTACAACGAAATGAAAAAGAATTCGAGTTTGGGGTCGATGGTACAGAATGACGAAGTTTTGAAAACTGAAGCGACGAGTTTTAATCAAAAGGAAGACACCACGGAGATGATGGTAGACACTACCACTGAGCAAATTACTACCACGGAACTTCCAAGTTCAACTACAACGAGTAGTACCACGAAGTCGTCTACAACTGTCGATCTTAAACCTTCAATTGTCATCACCATCAATGAAAATAAAACTGAACCGGATAACACTAAATGGATGTTAGTTTCGACTTTAGCTCCTCACAGTGATGTCCAAGTCCAACCTACAGAGGAAGCTCCTTCGCACCAGATAGCCAGTATTGTAGATCCTCCATCACCTGTAGATTTAGTACCTAAGCCTCTTCAAGGGTTCGGTTTAGAAGATAGTACCGCTAAACTTGACACCGACATCTACCAATTCGTACAATTGTGTAACGAACTAGCTTTCGGATTTTGGAAATCTGTGACCACTGGAATTAGTGCAGCCCGAAGTGTGATTGTATCACCATTCGCAGCTACCTCTCTTCTAGCCATGGTGTTCTTAGGAGCCCGAGGAGCCACCTCTGGCGAAATGAACGAAATTCTGAAACTAGACGACATGGTCACTTTTAACCCTCACTTGATTTTCAAAAACGTTTCAGAATCGATTGAAGCCAACCCCGACTCAGGGGTAGCTATTTCTTCAATCATTCGAGAACTGTTTAGTGATAGAAGCAAGGGGAAACTGTTAGGGTTCTACAAGGAGAGAGTGAGACAGTTTTATGACGGGCATGTAGAAGAGGCCAGTTTTAAGGAAATCGGGGACATAATCAGAAGGCGGACGAACCTTCTGGTAAAGAAGAACACAGATGGAAAAATCATGGAATTCTTGAAGGAGAGCACCATCATTCCGAAGCCACCTTTAGCGGGAGTTAGCGTTAGCATTTTCGAGGTACTTTATCCTTGATTTTTGTTTTTAGGTTAGAACTGATGTTCGTTTTTTTTTGCAGACCGACTGCTCGCAGGGCTCCTCCGAGGGCCGCGACGGCGAGCTGCACTTCGTCGTTCTACCCTCCCTCCGCCAGCGCCGCCTCATCCCCATCCCCGCCACCGTCTACCGCTCGGGCTTCCTCGCCGGCTACGAGCCCAGCCTAGACGCCACCGCCGCCGCCCTCGGCACTAAGGACCAAGTTGTCAGCACCATCTTCATAATCCCCGGTCAGCAAGGCAGCTCCGCCCCCGGCGACGGTCTAGCCCGCCTCGAGAAGCGCCTCGTCGAGAGCTCGTTCAAAAAGGGGGCGTGGTCGCGCCTCCTCCGCTCGCTCATTCCCCGCCCCGGCCTCGAGCTGCAACTGCCTCGCTTCCAGCACCGCTCCCTCATCAACGCCACTCAGTCGCTCAAGCGCATGGGCCTGCACGAGCTGTTCGACGCCCACAAGGCGGACCTCAAGGGGCTCAACGGCGCCGCCCACGAGCTGCACTTGTCGGAGGTGCTGCAGGTCAACGAGTTCGCCACGTGCGGGGAGCGGCGCATCGGGGAGGCGCACCACAGGGAGGTGTACCCGGCCACGGTGGAGCGCAGGAGTAGGCTGCTGCTGGAGGAGTGGGAGGAGCCGCGGGACTACCAGAGGGCGTTCCACGACCCCCTCCATGATCCGAGCCTGCTGGAGCTGCCGCTGGCGCTGCGACCCAGACAAGCGCGGCTGCCGGAAGCCCCGCGTCTGCGTTTCGACAGGCCGTTTTTGTACTTCGTCAGGCACAACCCGAGCGGGCTTATATTGCACATGGGGAGATTTCATCCTAGATTACTGCCATAATTTATCTTGACTAGGTTAGATTGTCAAATTTTTCCTGTACATAGATGTAGATTTGAAATGTAACTATCACTGACTGAGACACTCGACACGGATAGTTACATGTCGAACATGTATTTTTAATTTATTGTAAATTCATTTCATCTTATGCATGGTAGGTGACTACAGAGGTGCGTCATTTTTAAATTATTATAGTTAGTTGTGCAATTTTGTATTATTAATGTAATAATGAACCACAAATAAAGAATCTTAGATCGTTCCATTAGTTTTTTTTTTTCGAACGAACAGAATGGGGACGGAACGTGGGGCTTGTGGGACACGGACGAAGGAAAGGTCAGAAGACAAACAAAAACTGCAAGTGACAATTTACTTGAAATTATAATCCACTGTGAGGGTTCACTTTACACCTCAATAACTATAAGTATATAAAAAAAATTAACTAAATAAAAAATATTATTTCTTCTGTTTATCGTCTTTTTCTTCTTTTTTCTTATCTTTCAAACTACCAACGGCCTGACGCACGGCTTCTGACTGAGGGTCGACACCGGGCAGATTTTCTAATACGCTTTGTAAGAAAGCAGGATCATTCATAACCTCAGAATAATCTTCATCTGCTTCAACCTCCATGGGTTCTTCTTTTTTTCCAGAACTTGACGATTCCTCTGTCAAAATAACAAACAAACAATCAAAAAAGGTCACAAAATCACTTCAATTATTTCTACTCACGTGCGTCTTGCATTGACATTTGCATGGCAAACGCAATCTGTTCATCTTCAGTCATGTTGGCAAAATCGACAGTTGGTACCCCTGCAGCGTTTGCATCCGCATCTTCCTCCATAGACATTGCCAAGGCCCTTTCCAACATGGCTTCTTCACTTGGTTCTTCTTTGATAGGGGACGCTTTCACCCCTTGTTCAGCAGACGACGCCTCTTTCGCCCTTCTAGCTTCATCCTCCTGTCTCTGTCTTTGTTCCTCCATTGACACACGCAACGCCAGAGCCAATTCTGGATCTTCGTTGGGATCAACGCCAAATTCGAATCCAGAAGCACCTAAACCGGCACCACCGGTACCATCCTCTCCTTGGATGATGGGGGAGGAAATTAGAGCGTCCGAGAGGTGGGGGCCCGGGGGTACCGTTACCAAGTGGCTACTAGAACCATCCTTCAAGGACTTTTAATTAAAATATATTTTGGATACAATGGAAAAAAATAGATTGTCTTACTTTTCCATTGAGAGTGTTAATGAAAGTGGTGAGAACGTCACTGTTGGTGGTATCTTCCCCAAAACTGACAACGTCGACGTTGACTTTCTCCTTTTTAAGTTTTTTTGCTAATTTTACTAGTTCTTTTTCTTCGGAAGCCACAGGGCTTCCGACAAAGGCGACAATGCGCATTTTGTGGTTCTTGCCTTGGCGATGTTTAAGAGCTAGCTGTAATTGACGCAATTATTTTAAGTTTGATGTGGCAGGGAATTATTACATGAGCAATTCGGATTCCTGTGTGTAAATTGATGTCGCCGTTGGGTTGGACTTGGTGAAGTTTCGATAAAATGCGACCTACGTCACTAGTGAGAGTTGCCAAAACTTCAACACTGAGAAACAGAAAACAAAGAGTAATGGTGTGGACGGGCCTTGAGGAGTGTAACTCACTTGGCTAAAGTTAACAATCCGACATTATTTTCTGGGTTTGATCTGGTTTTAGAGTGACAAACCAGGTTTACGGCGTCCTGCTGGGCTTGTAAACGAGTGGGTAAAAAGTCTCCATTTCTCATATAGTCGCTATTGTCGACACTGTAAGAAAAAAGGGTAATATCAACAAAGAGAATGCTAAGTCATTGGTAAGATTTGAGGTTATGTTGGGGATGTTATGAAAGCGATAACTCAAATCACTTGGTTTTAAATCAGTCATTCTTACCATATCATAGTACTCTCCAAAACCATTTTTGAACGTTTTAGAGGTTCTTTCGCACTAAATAAAAAGTGAACTTTTAGCACTATTTGGAAATTTTGACGTTGACGTATTGATTTGTTGCCAACTGTTGTTTTTGTCGGTTTGTGTGACAGCGTGAAGCCAAGCTAGCCACACACCAAAAAAATACTTCTACATGTTAAAAAAAAAAACAAAACACGATTGACACCTTTCAAAAAACTTTTCTTCACCTCATTAACAACCACTCATTCAAATTCTAGTACAGGAATGTCGAATAATTAATAAATTTTAGTATGTTCGGTTAAATGAGAACTTGCAATAGTCAGAATTCCCACTACCCAAAAACCATATGACGATTTTTCAATAACAATCGGCTGTTGTGCTAAACATGGATGGTTTAGCGCACAATTATTATCTCAAAAATACCACTGTTGTAATCAGATATACTGACCGTGAACTAGTCTTCGCAATCTAAACACCGAAAAGAGGAAGAAAAATGGTAAAACATAGCCCGTAAACACCGGTTACATAATTTGTGCTTTTGTAGAGTTTCAGCATTCAAGGAAGTGGATCAAATCAGTCTTCAACGGATTCGTCAGGCGAAGGCGAAGACCAAGATGAATCTTCTTCTTCACCAAATCAGGTAGCTTTAATTGTAAAGGTAAATTTGTGATTGACCTTGGTATCTTGTTTATAGTTCATTTACTGATTAGTGGAATATGACTTAAGTTGACAATGGCACAATTGTAAGTACACGTGTAAATAACCCGTAGGAATTGGAGACTGATTAACCCCTATTTTGCGAGTTTTGTTTTTATTGTTTGCCTGAAGGGTGTCCTTGAGTGGGAGCGCTCAAATCCAAGTGTACCCTCACAGCTGTGTGACTTAAGTCATATTACACTATTTCAGTAGGTGAACTATACAGGAAAAAATAAAAACATAACTGCTATTATTTTATAATAAATACATACGTTTTCTCTGAATGTGGAATTTTGTTGAAGCGTTACATATATAAGGTGTTCTTGCAATATTGTGCAATGGTGAAAACGGTCGTACAATTTTGTTAATAAATAATGTCGATTTTCTTCAAGGACACCACTGTTGAGGAAGTTTTGAGCAGCTTCCGCGAAAAATGGCAGAAGGAACTTCAGATCTCGCCACGCAAAAAACTCGTGGCATCACCAGCTCGCAAAGAGATTGAAGATGACCACGAAATCAAAGCCAAAACGTACTTCCTCAACGGGGTCGAGATGGAAAAGAACGGCAAGCTGTACGAAGCCATACAGTTCTACAGACGCGCGGTACAGCTCGTACCGGACATAGAATCGCGGATTGACAACGTCCCCAGAAACAAACCCCTTCAAGAACACATTCCTGAGGATGAAAATAGCGACAAAGAAGAATACAACGAATCAGACGATGAAGACGAAGACGAAGAAATCAAAGACGGGGAGCTGCAACAAAGAATACAGAAGAAGTTTTCAAAAATGTCGGCCATTTGTTCCCCGAAACAGGAACAAAAGGTAGAATTAGTGACATTTCGTTTTTTATCACATGAAGTGTCACTGTTTTTTCAGACAACGCACATTTCAATCTTGCCAATGGAAATGATCTTGTACATTTTGCGCTGGGTAGTGTCATGTGACCTCGATTTACGCTCGCTGGAGATGTTTTCCATGGTGTGTCGCGGGTTTTACTTGTGCGCTCGCGACCCAGAGGTGTGGAGGTTGGCTTGTTTGAGGTAGGTTTCGGTGGGTTGGTAGCACTGCTATAATGTCGTTTGCAGGGTGTGGGGTTTAAACTGTGGTAATTCTCCCTATAACTTCTTGTCGTGGCGCCAGATGTTTGTGGAAAGGACGCGTTTACACTTCAACGGTTGCTATATTGGTAAAACTACGTATCTACGTCATGGGGAGAACAGTTTCCAGGATCAGTTTTACCGACCGTGGCATTTGGTTGCTTATTATCGATATTTGCGTTTTTTCCCTGAAGGAATTGTTCTAGTCCTGACTTCGTCTGAGGAGCCGGCGCAGTGTGTGGGGCAGATGAAGCACAGAAATGCGCGCAGTCCTATTCTGAGGGGGTACTATAGACTGAAGGACGATAAAGTGATTCTGGTTGTGCAGCGGCAGGATAATAAGACGTCGCAGGGTTACAAGAAGTCGAAACGTCGTGCCGATTTGAGGGAAATGGCGGAGCAGACTTTCCATATGGTTATTATATGCAAAAATTGACTATTTTTGTTATTGTTGTTGATTTTCACAGGAGTTACAAATTAAGAGTACTAATAAGAAGCGACACGTTCAGTTGGTTTGGACACACTATTCCGTATTCACCAGAACTCTCAAAGGCGACGAAAGTACCTGCAATTTTGACTTGGTTAACAACCGATTCCCGCCTTTTTGGTTTTCCAGAGTCAAGAGCTACACGTCAGAGTCTGAGAGTCCATTACAGTAGTTTTTTCGATTCGTTGCTCTGAAAGAGACTTATTTTTGGATGGGATTAATACTAAATTTGTTAATAAGTCATAATATTTATTTAAATATCTATACACAAAATGTACATAATTTATTGATAATAAAGGAAGATTTATTTTACAAATATATATTTACATAAGGGAACGGAAATGCAAGGTCGGGATTTTCTAATCCTCAAAAAAACTCGAACTGATTTTTCTGTACACGTAAGTCGCTTCTACAGACAGACGTCACCAAAATGGAATTTATCGTACATTTTTAAAACGTTTTAAATCTTTGGTAAACTTTGAACATTTTGTATAAAATACACGTCTAAATTGGTGTAGGAATAAAATCGAAGCAAGCTTACATATGTGAGTTGCACCGTTGAGAAATAACTGTAAGCATAACAGGAACAACGTAAATCAACCATGCTCGAAGTACAACATAACCTACTTTAAATACGGTACGGGAATAAACATACGTTCAACGTTACACATATACGTCTAACTTATTTATTGATTAACGGCCTGAGACAAGACATTTGCAGGAATATTTAGTGATTATAACGTCACTTTTCCCCAGTCGCCACTTATCCTTTTTTTTTTCTCCGGTCGTGTAAAAACTGAGTTAACGTCACACTGAAACTCGAACGGGTACTTAGTAACATTTATGAGCAAATTTTCTTACGTTCGACAGAAAAAAAACGTAATCTAGGAGGCGTTGGCAGCAACAGTGACAGAAACTCCATTGCTCAGCAAGGCCTGCTTAGATAGTCAATTTAAATCTCTGCAAAATGTACAGGATGTTCCATCTGAGCTACTTTATACAATCGAGGATCTACATTAATACATAATGTTCGCAGTTTTATTTGTAAATTGACGACTGCTGGACGAAAAGTTATTGAAGCCATTTTTCTATTGTCACGATATTTTTAGACTCTCTTTTGTTGACAGAAGAAACACCTGTACATGGTTTCTCAGTGGTGATAAAATTTAATTTTGTACATAAGGATAAAACTGTCTAGTGCAAAAATACTACTGGTATCCGATAAACTAAAAGCTTCATTTTCCACCAATTTATGTTACTCATGCGTGTTATCAAGCCGACAGTATGAACGTTTTTTAGTAAAAGAAACTAAACTTAAAAAAAAATGTTCACATTTAAAAAAATGAGTGACGACGTTGCCTTAATAACTGTAACAATAAATTGGTCCGAAATTGAAACCCGTATCAAGTGCCTTTCATTTTTTCCATTAATTTGTACTTATATGAATACTTATCTGCCATTGTTTGCAAACATCGATTTTATTTAATATTAAAGTACGTTCCTTTTGACGTAAGTAGATATAGAGTGCCACTTTTAGAATTTAAATTTAACTGGGTGCGCATGCGTGGCGCGAAATTCAAATCTTTGACTTGGATTGGTCTAAAAAGCGAGCTGTATATCTACTGAGTGTTGACATAAACATGTTTGTGTTATGACTTTATTCCATCCGTTTGCACTTAAACATGGAAGAATTGCTTAATTTGTTGGAAGCACAACGGAAGATTATATTTTACATAGGTATATAGTTTAAAATATTATTGCGTTAATGAATTACTGAAATTATGATCACATTTTTGATTTCAGTTACTAATTGATATGCTTCTATTGCTAACAATATTGATATGATAGGTTTTCCATATTACGTACACCCTTCTAAAGATTAAATTATGTAGAAGTTTGTCACGTGTCAAACATGTGTGTCGTTCCTAGGTGTTTATAGTTTAAAGTGTGGAGGTCTGTAAGATCTTTGGAAGTAATAAAAGTGACATGGAAATCCCACTATTGCGGATGGTGCGTCTTGGAATAATAATTAATTTTTAACACGTGATACTACATTATCGTTAACTTTGTCAGGTAGAACAGTGTTTATGTGTAGCTTAATTGTAAAATAGACTTTTCGAGTATAATATAGTAAAATTTCTTTACTGTAGCGATTAGTTGAGCATGTCGTGACATTTGATGAAGTTCATCGACTTTACGACTTAAGGGTGTGTTCCCCGCGCCCTCACGCAATCCCGCCATACCAAAAAAATCGATTTTTATTGCTGTCCCGCCCGGTGCAACTCCCTCGCTGCAATTGGCAATATTTAAAACCGCTACAGCTATATTGTCGTCTATTTAAAAACGCTAAAATCCCTAAAATCCCTAAAACCTCTATCACAATAACTCGAAAACTTTAGAAACTCGAAGTGAACCGGCGCCTCGCGCCGCGGAAGAAATTCAGGGCGCCCCAACTCGAGCCCACTTAGAATACGCATATTAAAAAAGAGTCCAAAAGAGTGAGCCCCCTGGAACGTGCGTAAGCGAAACCTGGTGCTACTTATCAGAGGACCGCGTTGCAGGTGACACGTGACATCCACGCCAGGTCCCTCATGGTAGCCACGTGCATGGAGTACACCGCCGCCACCACCAGCACGTGCATGATGTTGTGGGAGTTTAGGTAGAAGTCCACGGCGCCAGGAAACCACTTCTCGGGCACGTGCATGGCCCCGATGGCGGCGCCGAAGATGGACACGACGTCCTGCAGGACGACGTGCTGAAAGGCGGCGGGATCGCCGCCGCCGTAGCTGGTCACGCGCAGGCACCACAGCAGGAGGCGCATGATGAATGGCAGCAGGAAGCACAGGCGCCGCTCCCACGGAGACCACGCGGTCATGGCCTGGAAAGCGGCGGTTAGTAAGGGCGGGACGAGGGGGGCGGCTTACTTTGTACAGGCCCCAGAGGCTGAGGAGGCAGTACGAGGAGATGCAGAACCAGCGGAGCAGCCGGGGGAGGCAGTAGGAGGTGGCGATCACCATGGGCATGGCACCTGGAAGGACACCTGCTTGAGGTGGTTATCCTAACAATTTTTAAATTATACAAATCTGGTATCAAAGGAAAGTGTACTTAGGGGCGAGGCGACTGTGATGATGACATAAAATACACTCTGAATATTTTGGAGCGACCAACAGTTGATATTTGTATCCGTAATCCCACCGACTGCGCCATTTCTTCGCACGCCAACCCCAATTTGTATAATCTATTACGTGAAACGAATCTTTCATAGCTTTCACAAGCGATTGACGTTTAATCAATCCTTGCATGTTTGAGCGGAATTAATAAATCACGTCTAATGATTATAGAGACATCTCGTTTTCCCCTAAAAAAAGAACATCCGAGGTATCGATTACCATCAATTTGAACACATTGGGGGGCCTTGACATATAGTGAAAGAGCAATTGTAGGTCAAGTTCTCAACGCCCCAGTTCCGCGGTCGGATTTATACGCGTTTGAGGCAGCGGCCGGATTTACACGCATCTAATTACCGAAACTCTGACTGATCCAAATCCCTAGCATGTCCAACTGGAGCAGCCGGTAGTACACTACTGAACTCCTATCCAGGTTCATGAACAAGTGGTAGACGAAACTCCCGACCCACGGACACAGGATACCCAGGAAGTGACACCATGACAGGAAGCGCAGCTCGACTTGCGACCATGGAAGAAGCGCAGGCACCGTGAGGAGGATGTAGAGGATCGGAACGGCTGCAACAATTAAATATTTACTCATTATATTCTTATTTATATCGCTAATAAAAATCCATCTATTTATATAAGTATTTACTTATTTATTTATTGATTTACTTCAGTATCACGTGATAAATTATTCGTTTCCGTTTACGACAAAGCCGACAAACAAAAATGGCACGAAACAGTACTTAAGTAATTTCGCCGGTATTGTGTAGCCATTAGGGGCTACAATACGGATTTGTGCGAATGAGAGACGCTGCTTCCGGTGTTCTGTGGATTTATTGTGTTGATAATATAGGTCAGTGAAAATTTAATTGGTTGACGTTTGGTCACGTGATGCTGCTAATGAATTATTACGGTTACAGGTTTCATGAATTCTCTAGAGGGATTGATCGGGGCGATAGGATCTGCAGCGGCCGTTTGTTCGACGATTTTTTGCCGTGATTTTATTTATGGGTCGAGGTGAGGAGAGGGCTCCAAACTTTGTAGCGAGTTTAATTATCGTCTCGAAAGTTTCGAGAATGTGGATCTTCAAGTTTCCTCGCTGAAAAAATGAAAGTTTGATGGGTCAGAAGTCGGTGCACAATTGACTGTGGTTTTTGTCATAGTCGGGGAAACTTGTAGAACGTGCTTATTACAATATGGCGGTTTCTGTACAAAACAAAAATTTTAAGTATGGAGCCTGTAATCGATTTCTCATCAAAAGTATAGGTCACTATATATATTATCAAATTTCAAGATGGCGGCTGAAGGCCATCTTAAAAAAAATAATGACCAGGCTTGAAAAATATCGTGTTTTAAGCAGCGGCTAGTGTTTATAAGTATTCAGTTATTGTATTTTTTAGTTTTACAAGTTTTAATAATATTATACTTTGACGAAAAAGATGTTACATGAGTGAAACCTATGTGATGTGTCAAAAATGATAGTTAGTTTTAACTTCAAAACATGTGAATTGTAAATCTGTATATTAATACACCATGTTGTTGTTTTATTTGGTTGTAAATAGCGCGATTATGCTGTACTTATGTGACATACATGTGATTTAAGAATAATAAATAACGAAGTAGAAATAAAGGAATTCAGAATATTTATCGAATTTTCGTTTCCTGTATAATACAGAAAGTAAAATAAGAAAAACTCAAAGAAGTGAACTTGGTGAGAAAAAATAGTTGCGAGATTAAGTACAAACTGGGGAAATCAAAAATAGAAAAGCAGAAAGAAAGGGGAAAGAGAATTCTAAACGAACCTGAGTACGAGATACCTAATAAGAATAACAAAATAAGGAATAAAAAGGAACAAGGACTTAGTGAACAATTATATGTTAAAAGTGCAACAATAAAACAGAGGGAAGCAAAGAGAAGTGAAAGAAATGAGGGAATAGAAGAGGAACTCCTGCAAAGATACAAATAAAGATTTAAAAAAATGTAGGGGAGTATTTGAAAGAACAAATAGAAGAATGCAAAATAAAGAGTGTAAATGGATGCGAAAGACAAGAAGGAACGAAAGAGATCCAAAAGAATTGTTATGACTAAAATGCGTTAAGTGGAAAAACAAGCTACTAATTTTAAAAAAGAGAAATTGTGGAAAGAGAATCGGAGAAAGTTAAAACAAGAAAGGCTGTTAAGATATATCCAGAGTGGTAGATATATGTCGAAAACGAGGATAAAGAAATAAAAAGAAGGAGAGACAGATTCAGTACAGGAACGGACTTGGCATAATAATATAAAATTATGGGGAAAAGATAAAGAAGGAGAGTAAGGAACGAAAGAACAAAGAACAATAAAAATTGGAAATGCAGAAGAAAAGAATCATCAAGCCTGAGAATATTAATGTTTGCGATTTTTTGCCAGGGTGGGAACATTTAAAAAATTTTATGACGGCGTATGTAAAATTGAAATTTTGCACACCAACTCAGGAGCTGCCATCTTCTCATTGGCTTTTTAGGCGCGCATCCGGTATTCAGAACACTAAAATGACGTGAAGAAACAAAATACTAAGTCACTAGTACATAAAACAACCAGAGGTCACCAATACAGGAAGCGTCTGATGGAAAAATACATTATATATGATCACGTGTACATACAAAAATCTGATAAATATCTATCATGCCTAACACGTGACACGAAACTAAGGTTAATAAATCTAAAAATATATTAAAAACGTAAAATCAAAAAAGAGTGAAAATGTTTCCCATGCAATAATAGTTTCCTTGTTGGCTGAGACGTGCTAAATGATAAAAGCAAAGTTTGATGACAAGTTGACTAAAATATAAATCCCACGCAACCGCACTCAAATTACTATTTTTTTTTTGTAATTTTTTTTTCTATATATGTACAAGTATAGCTCCAGTGATCATGTGACTTCAAAAATAGTTCAGCAGTAGTAAAACAGAACAGTTTTGTTTAAGTGCAAAAGTAAAAATCTTTCAGAATGTGTTGGGGTGAAAGTAACGCCGGGCATATGACAGATGAGTAGAAAGTACATGCATAAATCGAATTCTAACATTAATAGAGAGCCTAGAATATAGAGTCAAGGGCTCAAGGGCACTAGCACAATAGAGTGCCTTGCTCGAGTGGTTTTCAGATAAACATTTGTCGGGAGAATGGTTAAAGATCGTTCAAGCTTTCACAAGCCAGAATCTACACCTAGTACAAAATAAGGAGGGTCGAGTCAAAAAAGCTACAGCGGATAAAATATCGATAAAATGGGTGAAAGGGAACAGATTTCAGCATTCTCATAACCAAAATCAAATCGAGCCCTACGTCGGCAAGCATCACAGAAAAAAATCGCGCAACAGCTGACCGAGTCCATTCCGGCAAGCCGCAGCAGATGCAGGGTACAAATATACCAAGCGTTTCAAACCAAGCAAGATTACCGTGTGTGACGATGTTGACCGTTTCATTGTGCAAATAGAAGAGACTATTGATACACCCCCAGGCCGTCAGCAGCGGCCTGTAGCCGGTGTGGATATACGGGTTGAACTGCAGGTGTTTCGGCATGTCCCTCCACAGCAGGAGCGCGCTTTTTTTGCGGTCGCATGGCTTGCTGTCGTCGGCGCTGACGTCGGCGTCGCCGCGGCGACGGCGGACCTGGATTTCGGCGTCGGTTTCGGACATCGCTACTTCGACTTCGGCGGGTGCAGCTCTTCAGACACCGACGACGACGACGACATGCTTTCAGTATCACCGTGACATCGTGAATGACACGCGCTCGACGCCAGCGCGCAACTCCACGGCGTTGCTAGGATCGAGGAAGTCGCAGGAATATTGATTGGGAGATGGGCGGGAAAATTTGCTTGGGAGGACGGGATGGGGACGGGACGGGACGGGAACAGGTGCGGCATAATAAGTAAGTTTTGATTAAAAAAATATTGTGGTGAGATTTTTTTTAATAATTGTGGCAGGGGGCGAAGGAAATTGTATTTAAAAAAAAATGGAGATGGAAGTCCGGGAACTTGTGGTTCCAAATTACTGACAATAGAGTGAAATCGCAGTTAGTCCTGCGCTAAATTTGTATCCGTGAAGTTATCTACGTGATAACTAGGTGAACTGATTGGTCAGTCACAAAATTTATAAAATTTGAAACCGTACCATCTAAATGCTTGACAGACCAAGCTCATTTTTCTGGGTTGGTAATTCTACCCTGATGCAGAATCGGTTATGATTTTATTTATGTCAGATTAGGTCGCGTCAGGTTAGAGTACGTCCAATCAGGTCAGGTCAGGTCAAGTCAAGTCAAGTCAGGTCAGGTCAGATCAGATATGGAAAGGAAAGATCAAAAGTAAAGGGTGAGAACTTCTGAAATAGTGCAGATGTTCTCCTTGATGACAAGAGATCACTGAATTATTCACTTATAGTTACAGCGTCAACAGCTTTTGGCAAAGTAATAGGAATTACATTTTAAGATTATGACTTGTTCGAACTTGTACGTAAATTATTATGTAAAGTCAGTTGTCAGATAAATAAAAACAATAAGTCTCTGTTACAAAACGAAAGGTTAAAATTCGCATACTATGGAAATCCTGTGTGCTTAAGAGTCTTTATTGCCAGATGTACAGAGCAGTCAATACTGTATCCTCCTCTCTTAACCAGCTTATTTATTCGTGTAAAATTTAAAGCAGCTTTGAGAAAGTGTTGAATAATGTACTACGTTGGTCCCTTTAGTACAGTGTTTGTATATGGAGAATTCCTGGAGGAATTAAGCACTTGCAGCAATTGCTCTTCGTGTATTGATTGTAACGGGTGGGGAAAGGAGCACTTTCTACACTTCGGCTACATATGGTAACTCTTTGTGAAAGATTCTTGGAGAAATATGCATCTACAAGCCGTGCTGTGAATGGGCGTGGAAGTTTCCTGTAAGAATTAGACACCTGCATGTTTTCTCTAAATTTACACAGTTTCTAATATGAGAGATTTGGAGAGATATTAAATAGATATTCTCTGTAATTACCAAATCTACTACTTTGGATTTTTGAGTGCACTTTAAGCCTGTCCTGATGCTGTGATATACATACATGCTTCAAATGTTAGGAAAATTCAGTAGAAATAACTTTGTAGATTGTGGTCTAATCAGGTTACTGGTTATTACCGGTTATGGCAAAAATGTGTAGTTTTTAAAGCTGGTAAATTTCCAACGCTGTTGCTGTATTATAACATAAACACTTAATGCATTCTGATGTGCTCGTGATTACGTGGGACAAAAGCGTGATACCTGAATTTTGACCACAGTTTGATAACTGATTTTGATATCAAAGTTTTTCTGATTATGCAAACTTATTACCTCTGAAATTAAAAATAAATCCATACAAGTTTTCATTTGGATGTACAGATTTTAGATGTAGATAATTCTACTACATTGTTTAGTATCACGCTATTTTTTACAAACATATCAATCAAAAATTGTATACAGTAGGTATCTTAACACGACCTGTCAAGTGGGTCTTATCTTGAAGCCCATGAATATTCTTCGTCTCTGTAATCAAAAAATTTTCCAAAACATTGTCGAAGATCTAGCCACTTAGAACGCCTTATTTGTAATTATCTACCCACATTAACTGAACTACCAATTGTATAAATAAAAAGCTTTCACTACAAGTGATCATTCGCCATCATGTTAACACAACTTCTCGTACTAGTAATACTGGCAATAAGTGCCAATGCTGCCGACCATGACATGTACCACAACTGTTCAAGAGTAGATGTCTGCAGGTACTAACTTCACTTCTCTTAATCCCCAGTTTATACTTCTTTGTAGCCAAAATCGAGAACTGGAACGCCAAGAACGGTACCAAATAATCCTAGAAGGAGCTGTATTTTCCCAAGGAGTGGCAAGCTTTCGGGTACAAACAACCGACGGAAGTGAAAATTTAGGACTAAATATCACAGCCATCGAAGGCAACATATTTAGGGTCCAAATTGAAGAAACTGAGTCTTCGCGGTACCACATCCAGGATGTTCTAGACGGAGAACCTACCGTTGTCAAGTAAGTACCTAAATCGTCTTTGCCGTCATTATCTCAAATTTTGTAGTTTTGACGATGTTCAACTCTCGTTGACTTCGGCTGAAATTTTCCTGGGTGACAAAAGAGCAGTCGTCAACGTTTCACCATTTTCTGTAGAGTTCTACGCTAACGATGTACTAACTTTGGTTATAGAAGGGGATCGTTTAACGCTTGAGAATGTAAGTTATATGGATAACTCTTCTATGAGTAAAGTAAAATCGTAGGAGGAATTGCGGCATCCGTTCACTGTTGGAGTGTCTTTCCCTCAAGCCCTACACTTGTATGGTCTTCACGAACACGCTGACCATTTGGCACTACGTACCACGGCTCCAGGAGGTGATGACCCATACCGTATCAAAACCATGGACTTGACTTACTTCGAGCTCTTTAGTACTATGGCGATGTATGGCGCTGTTCCTGTTTTATATGGCCATGGGTTAGTACTATTTATATTTGTTTCCACGTGTCTGAAACCCCCAATTTAGGATCAATGCGACTTCTGGGCTATTTTTACACAATGCGGCAGAACAATGGGTCGAAATCACGAACAAAGACATAGGTGCTGATGCATTCTTCATGGTTGATAGTGGGGCTTTGGATATATTCATATTCCTTGGACCTTCAACTACTGATGTCGTGCGTCAGTACACTTCTCTGACAGGAGTTGCCCATCTACCACCGGTTAGTACAAAACAACCTCGTTTCTATAGTCTAAATGGGTTTTACTAGATCTGGTCCCTCGGGTACCACCAATGTCGTTGGGGCTACGCCGACCAGCAGGACGTCCAAACTGTCATTGCAGACCTGGATACGTACGACTTCCCCGTTGACGCAATTTGGCTTGACATCCAGCACACCCAAGACATGAAATTCTTCACTTGGAATAGTGAAAATTTCAGCGATCCCTTTGACATGCTGGCAAACTTGTCCTCAACTCATCGATACTTGGTAACTTTAAGCGACCCTCACTTTAAGGTAGAAGAAGGTTATTTCGTGTACGACGAAGCCACAGCCAACGACTACTTCATCAAAAACCTAGATGGTACCAACTATGAAGATCAATGTTGGCCGGGAACGAGTTCCTGGATGGATTACCTAAACCCAGCCGCTAGAGACTACTACTCCAGTTTATATTTATATGAAAACTGGAACGGTACCACCCCCACACTGGGTGGAATATGGAACGACATGAACGAAGCCGCCATTTTTAACGAAGAAATTGAAAAAACTTTCCCTTATGACGTGGTCCACTACGGAGGAGTGTCCAACAGGGATATTCACAACATGTACGGTTACCTTCAAACCATGGCCACTCACAAAGGGTTAATTGATCGTGATAACGGTACTTTGCGACCTTTTATCTTAACCAGGGCACACTTTTCTGGGTCTCAAAGGTACGCGGCGTTCTGGACGGGTGATAACACGGCAGAATTTGGGTTCGTAACAATCAGTTATTCGATGTGTCTTAATGCCAACCTTCTGGGGTTGGTGTTCTGTGGGAATGACGTTGGTGGTTTCTTCGGAGATCCATCAGATGAACTCTTGCAAAGGTTTTATCAAGCGGGAGCTTGGTTGCCCTTCTTCAGAGAACACGCAAGTCAGGAATCGGAAAGACGTGAGCCCTATTTGTTCTCTGAGGAGGTTCAAGCGACGATAAGAGAGGCAATAAAGACACGCTACGCCCATTTGCCGGTTTGGTACACCCTGTTTTATGAGCATACGCGTTTTGGCGATCCTGTTATCAGACCTTTGTTCTATCATTACCCCAATGATGTCGAACTTCTTGAAGTTGATGATCAACTACTACTAGGTACGTTCTTCACTTTTGGTAAAGGTGTTAGTACTGATTGGGTTTGTTTCAAGGCCGAAATATTTTGGTCAAAGCTATTGGCGAATCCGAAGTCACGTCTGTGCCAATATACTTTCCGGGAGGTGAAGACGAAATCTGGTTTTCTGCACAACTTGATGGTACCACTTTTCCGGGTACGGGGTGGACGGACATACCTGTTACTATTGAAAGGGTAAAAATTTTAACATTCTGAGATTCTTTCTATAATGGTTTTTCCAGATTCCTGTTTATTATAGGTTGGGGTCAATTATTCCCACGAAGCAAACTTCGAGACCCTCTACTACAGACATGAGAAACGATGGCTACACGTTGACCGTCTTGCTACGTAATGTAAGTTTTTGTGAAATTTAGGATATTTCTAAAGACAGATTTTAGAATGATACTGCTCAAGGAACGGTTTATAATGACGATAATCTCAGTTTTGAATATAGGGATTCCCAAAAATATAGTTATTCGGACCTCTTTGGTACTGAGGAACAAGTGGTCATAAGGTATCTTTTAAAATTTAATTTTATATTTAGGACTCATGTAGGTAATTTTGTGTTTTAGTCCCATTGACGAATCTGACAATGAAGAATTCCTAATTGTTGTTGACAACATTGTCGTTTTGACATATAATGGTAAACATTTGCTTTGTTTTTATTTCATTGTGACAATTCTTTTTTAAATTACAGATGACGGAACGGTTGTCAAGAATTCTTACAAACACGACGTGAATGGAGTTCCTATAAATCAAATGAAATACGAAGGAAAGGAACCTCTTGTTATAATTTTACGTTAAATACTTGTATTATATTTGAAAAATATACAACAAATACTTAGTCGTTTGAATATATTAAAATATAAAAGATCTATGAACTGGAAAAAAATTGTTAATTTAACCGGTTGGGAGTAAAGTTTTCCCTTGATGCATAAATAACTAATATTCTGATGTTTAATAGTTATGAGATAATCACGCATTATAATTAAGTACGTAAACACTTAAAACATAAAGATGTGTCCGTGATTAGATATATAGAACAAAACCGTGACACAGTCTGATAACTGGTTTCATCTCTCAGTTCAACCAAGTTCTTGAGTACTTTAAAATGAACCACTTGGTTCATACAATGATTATGCAAAAGCAACTCTGACATTCATGTAGAAGTTTTCCTTTAGATATACAGATTTTAGACATAGATAATTCTACTACATTATTAAGTATCACGCCATTTTCACAGGCATATCAATCAAAAATGTTCTATAGTATCTTAACACGACGTGTGTTGTCAAGTGGGTCTTATCTTGAAGCCTATGAATATTCAACCTTCTCTGGGATCAATAATTTTCCCAGAACATTGTTGAAAATCTAGCCAATTAGAACGCCTTATTTGTAATTATCTACCCCTGTCAATAGAGCCAGTATTTGTATAAATAAAATGCGTTCACTACAAGTAATCAGTCACCATGACGTTCACAAAACTCGTCGTATTAGTAGTACTGGCAGCAAGTGCCAAGGCTGCCGACCATGACATGTACCACAACTGTTCAAGAGTAGACGTCTGCAGGTACTAATTTCACTTCTCCTATTCCCCAATTTATACTTCTTTGTAGCCAAAATCGAGAACTGGAACGACAAGAACGGTACCAAGTAATTTTAGAAGGAGCTATGTTTTCCCAAGGAGTAGCAAGTTTTCGGGTACAAACAGCTGACGGAATCGAAGATGTGGGACTAAATATCACAGCCATCGAAGGGAATATATTTAGGGTCCAAATTGAAGAAACTGAGTCTTCGCGGTACCACATCCAGGATGTTCTAGACGGAGAGCCAACTATTGTCAAGTGAGTACCTAAGTCGTCTTTGCCGTTATTATCTCAACTTTTGTAGTTTTGACGATGTTCAACTCTGGTTGACTTCGGCTGAAATTTTCCTAGGTAGCAACAGAGCAGTCGTCAATTTTTCACCATTTTCTATTGAGTTTTACGTTAATGATGTATTAACTGTGGTTATAGAAGGGGATCGCTTGACTCTTCAGAATGTAAGTTACATAGCTACTTTATTGTGAATAAAGTAAAATCGTAGGAAGAATTGCACACTCCGTTTACTGTTGGAGTGTCTTTCACTCAAGCTCTACATTTGTATGGACTTCACGAACACGCCGACTATTTGGCTCTACGTACCACTGCTCCAGGAGGTGATGATCCGTACCGTGTCAAAACCATGGACTTGACTTACTACGAGCTACACAGTACCATGGCGATGTATGGCGCTGTTCCTGTTTTATATGGCCATGGGTTTGTACCATTTAGATTTGTATCCATGTGTCTGAAACCCCCAATTTAGGATCAATTCGACTTCTGGGCTATTTTTACACAATGCGGCTGAACAGTGGGTCGAAATCACCAACAAAGATGTAGGTGCTGATGCGTTCTTCATGGTTGATAGTGGAGCTTTGGATATCTTCATATTCCTTGGACCTTCCACCACTGATGTCGTTCGTCAGTACACTTCACTGACAGGAGTTGCCCATCTACCACCGGTTTGTTCAAAACATCCTCATTTATCCAATCTAAATGAGTTTTACTAGATATGGACTCTTGGATATCACCAATGTCGCTGGGGGTACGCCGACCAGACGGACGTCGAAACTGTCATTGCAGACCTGGATGCTAACGACTTTCCAGTTGACGTCATCTGGTTAGACATCCAGCACACCCAAGACATGAAATTCTTCACTTGGAACAGCGAAAATTTCAGCGATCCTTTCGACATGTTAGCAAATTTGGCATCGACTCACCGATACTTAGTAACTCTAAGCGACCCCCACTTCAAGAAAGAAGAAGGTTATTTCGTGTACGACGAAGCCACAGCTAACGACTACTTCATCAAAAACCCCGATGGTACCAACTATGAAGATGAATGTTGGCCGGGAACGAGTTCCTGGATGGATTACCTAAACCCAGCTGCTAGAGACTACTACTCCAGTTTATATTTATACGAGAACTGGAACGGTACTACGTCCACACTGGGTGGAATATGGAACGACATGAACGAAGCCGCTATTTTTAACGAAGAAATTGAAAAAACTTTCCCTTATGACGTGGTTCACTACGGAGGAGTGTCCAACAGGGATATTCACAACATGTACGGCTACCTTCAAACCATGGCCACCCATAAAGGTTTAATTGATCGTGATAATGGTGCCTTGCGACCTTTTATCTTAACCAGAGCGCACTTTGCTGGGTCTCAAAAGTACGCGGCGTTCTGGACGGGCGACAACACCGCAGAATTTGGATTCATACCAATCAGTTATTCCATGTGTCTTAATGCTAACCTTCTGGGGTTGGTGTTCTGTGGAGCCGACGTTGGTGGTTTCTTCGGAGAACCATCAGAGGAACTCTTGCAAAGGTTTTATCAAGCTGGAGCGTGGTTGCCCTTCTTCAGAGAACACTCAAATATAGGCTCGGAAAGACGCGAACCCTATTTGTATCCTGAGGATGTTCAAGCAACGATAAGAGAGACAATAAAGACACGCTACGCCCATTTGCCGGTTTGGTACACCCTGTTTTATGAGCATACGCGTTTTGGCGATCCTGTTATTAGACCTTTGTTTTACCATTACCCCAATGATGTCGAACTTCTTGAAATTGATGATCAACTGCTAGTAGGTACGTTCTTCACTTTTGGTAAAGGTGTTAGTACTAATCGGGTTTGTTTTAAGGCCAAAATATTTTGGTCAAAGCTGTTGGTGAATCTGAAGTCGAGTCTGTGCAAGTGTACTTTCCGGGAGGTGAAAACGAAATCTGGTTTTCTGCACAGCTTGATGGTACCACTTTTCCGGGTACTGGGTGGACGGACATACCTGTTACTATTGAGAGGGTACAAATTTGACTATCCTTGAGATCATTTCTAAAATGGTTTTTGTAGATTCCTGTTTATTATAGATTGGGGTCTATTATTCCCACAAAGCAAACTTCTAGACCCTCTACTACAGATATGAAAGACGATGGCTACACAATGATCGTCTTGCTGCGTAATGTAAGTTTTTGTAAAATTCTAGGATGTTTCTAAAGAAAGATTCTAGGATGAGATGGCTGAAGGAACAATTTATAATGACGATAATCTCAGTTTTGAATATAGGGATTCTCAAAAATATATTTATGCGGATCTTTCTGCTACTGACATGCTATTGGTCATAAGGTATCTTTAATATGGGAGTTTAAATTTATTCATTCATACATTCATATATTTTTGTGTTTTAGTGCCATTGACGATTCAGATGACGAAGAATTTGAGATTGTTATTGACGATATCGTCACTTTGACATACAATGGTAATCGTGCGCTCTGTTTTTCTTTCATGTGTGACATTTCTTTTTTTAAATTACAGATGATGGAACGGTTGTCAAGAATTCTTACAAACACGACGTGAACGGTGTTCCTCTCAATCAAATGAAATATCAAGGAAAAGAACCTCTTGTTATAAATCTACGTTAAATGAATTGTACTTTGAAAAATATGCAATAAAATATACATGAAATACTTAGTTGTTTGTATTTGTGATTCCAAGATTGCTCGTTACAGATAAATAAAACAGATAACTATAACGCATTGTTATATCGACGAAATCAAACAATCTCCCGGTTAGTCTTATCTTCACATAGTTTAATGTTATAGTGATCATAAAATTTCCAATCACCCGGACAAAAAGTGTAAATTTTTCACCAATCAAAACACGTACTCTAATTACCGTACCAAAATAATGCAACTGACCCTACTATAAATAAAACGAGCTCAGTACAGTACTTCATTGTCAAAATGGTTTACAAACTCTTCTTTTTGCTTTTGGTAATATCAAGTGTCTATGCTGCTGATCACGAAGTGTACCGTAACTGCTCTAGAGTAGATTTGTGCAGGTACTTATATCATTTACTAACCCCAAGGCATTCTAATTCATCCATTGTAGTCAAAACCGAGAATTGGAAAGACAAGAGCGATACAAAGTAATATTAGAGGGAGCTGTGTTTGCTCAGGAGTGGCAAGCTTCCGGGTACAAACCACAGACGGCAGTGAAGACGTAGTTCTTAACATCACGGCGATTGAAGGCAACATATTTAGAGTCCAAATCGAAGAAACTAACTCTTCTAGATATCACATAAATGACGCTTTAGACGGAGAACCCACTGTTGTAAAGTAAGCACCTAAAATCGTCTTCACTGTCAGCTTAAATCGTCTCAAATTTTAGTTTCGACGATGTCCAACTGTCTTTGACTTCCGCCGAAATCTACCTCGGTAACAACAAAGCGGTTGTCAACGTGTCACCCTTCTCCATTACGTTTTATACCGATGATGTTTTAACTGTGGTTGTTGAAGGTGATCGTTTGACCCTCCAGAAAGTAAGTCAAAATGACGGCACTTTAGACAATAATGTCAAATTTTAGGAGGAATTGCATACTCCGTTTACTTTTGGGGTGTCTTTCCCTCAAGCTCTACATTTGTATGGTCTTCACGAACATGCTGACCATTTGGCACTACAAACTACCGCACCGGGAGGTGTCGATCCATACCGTGTCAAAACCATCGATTTGAATAATTACGAACTGTACTCCACCATGGCGATGTATGGTGCTATACCTGTTATATATGGACATGGGTTCGTACAACCTATTTTTTGTCTCAGTTTGCCTAAAATGCAAATTTAGATTCAACTCTACATCTGGGTTATTTTTGCACAACGCGGCTGAATTGTGGGTGGAAATTACCAATAACGAGGTAGGAGCTGATGCGTTCTTCATGGCCGATAGTGGAGCTCTAGATCTTTTTATATTCCTCGGACCATCCCCCGTTGATGTAGTCCGCCAGTATACTTCTCTAACAGGAGTGGCCCATTTACCACCGGTTTGTTTTAAATTGTCTCCTTTTTCCTGTCTAAGTGGGTTTTCCAGATTTGGACCCTCGGGTACCACCAGTGCCGTTGGGGCTACGCCGACCAACAAGACGTCCAGACCGTCATAGCTGAAATGGACGCCAACGACTTCCCCATAGATGCCATCTGGCTAGACATCCAACACACCCAAGAGATGAAATTCTTCACTTGGAATAGCGAAAACTTCAGTGATCCTGTATCCATGTTGCAGAACCTATCGTCCACAAACCGGTACCTAGTGGTTTTAAGCGACTGCCACTTCAAGAAACAAGAAGGTTATTTCGTGTACGACGAGTCTCTAGCTAATGACTACTTCATGAAAAACCTTGATGGTACCGTCTATGAAGATGAAGGTTGGCCGGGACCGAGTTCCTGGATGGATTACCTAAACCCCGAAGCCCAAGAATATTATTCCAGTCTCTACTTATACGAAAACTGGAATGATACAACACCCACTTTAGGTGGAGTCTGGAACGACATGAACGAAGGCGCCACTTTTAACTTCACCAACGAGAGAACTTTCCCTTACGACGTCTACCACTACGGAGGAGTGTCCAACAGAGACATCCACAACATGTATGGGTTACTTCAAGTGAAAGCCACCCATAAAGGTCTGATCGATCGAGATAATGGTACCCTGCGACCTTTCATTCTAACCAGAGCACATTTCGCTGGCTCTCAAAGATACGCAGCCTTTTGGACTGGCGACAACACAGCCCAATTCGGGTTCATATCCATCAGCTTTTCCATGTGTCTTAATGCTAACCTCTTAGGAACCGTGTTCTGTGGGGCTGATATTGGGGGCTTCTTCGACGAACCCACGGAGGAACTCTTGCAAAGGTTTTTCCAAGCAGGGGCTTGGTTACCCTTCTTCAGGGAACATTCTAATTTAGGGTCGGAGAGGCGTGAACCTTATGTGTTTTCTGAGGAGGTTCAAGGACCAATAAGGGACGCTATGAAGATGCGATATGAACATTTGCCAGTTTGGTATACTCTGTTTTATGAACATACACGGACTGGTGATCCTGTGATAAGACCTTTGTTGTACCATTATCCGGATGATAGTGACGTTTTTGAAATTGATGATCAACTAATACTGGGTGAGTTTGACAGGTTTGTGGATGTGATCATAGTGGAGTGTAATTCAAGGTAGAGATATTTTGGTGAAAGCGGTTGACGAAGCTGGGGTTGAGTCTGTGCGGATGTATTTTCCAGGGGGTGAGGACCTGATGTGGTATTCTGCATATCTTGATGATACTTTTTATCCGGGGACGGGTTGGATTGATGTTCCTGTTACAATAGACAGAGTAAGTATACTTCTATAAATTCCTCATTTCCAGGTCTTTTTTGCTTGTAGATTCCTGTATATTATAGACAAGGTGGTATTGTACCTACGAAAGTACCAGAAGCATCCACAACTGCCATGAAAGATGGTTTCTATGTCCTAACATGTGTGCTAGATAATGTACGTTTTAAAATTTGCCTTGTCATTCTTACTATGTACTTATTTGTTGTAGAATCATACAGCTACCGGAACACTTTACGTTGATGACACTCTCAGTTTTGAATACAAGGACTCTCAAAAATATAGTTATCTGAGTCTTGAAGCCCTTGAATATGATGTAGTGCTAAGGTGTGTCCACGTCTATTTATGTTAAGATTTTTTTTATATCTAATTGAATCTTCTAGTCCTATTGACGATTCTGAAGACGAAGATTTTGACATTTTTGTTGGTGTGATTGTTACTATAACATTTGATGGTAACTTCTTTCTGAAATTCTATATGTATTTGCTTGATTTTAATAATATTTTACAGATGATGGGAAGCCCGTCAAGAGAATTTACACACATGATGTGGATGGTGTTCCTCTAGTGGAGAAGAAATTTCAAGGAAAAGAACCTTTAGTTATAAAATTAAAATGATATTGTACGTAGGTGTGCAATAAAATTACATTTCTATCAATCAAACATGACAGTTAATGACGTTTTAAAGTTCTTCCTGACAACATTAAAGTCAACAACCAACATGAAGAAAGACATTTTTACCAAATGCTGTGTCCCATTTGCGTATTGTCTTTTCTAGTCCACTTTACCTATAGTCTAAATGTGAAAAATATTTCTTTGACAATGCCAAATGTACACCCTGATACAGAAGATTCCACTTTTTGCACGTCCCAGAAACTTAATTCCACGATATACCTAGTGGCTTTTGAACCAAAAGCAAGCTTGCAGTTTGTTCACCATCTACTCGTATTTGGGTGTTCAAAACCTGGAAGTGTGGACCCATATTGGAACTGTGGCGAAACGAAAAACCCTTGTGGTGAAAGTATCCCAAAAATCATCTATTCATGGGCTCTGAACGCCACACCATTCCATTTACCAAAAAATGTGGCTTTTAAAGTAGGACCTAAATCCCAAATTAACTACCTAGTGTTGCAAATTCATTACACGCATAACTTCCACAAGAACCAAACTGACATCTCTGGTTTAAACCTCATGTACACCAAGAAGTACCAAAATAAACTGGCTGGAATTTTGGCTTTAGCCTCTGAAGGTCTGATACCTCCTCGGACCATAACGACGTTGGAAACACTGTGTCAAATTAAAGAAAACAAAACCATTTTTCCGTTTGCCTTCAGGGTCCACACGCACGAGTTAGGCAAACTGGTTTCTGGTTATAGTACTCACAAAGATGGCAATGGTGTTGACCATTGGTTTCTTTTGGGGAAGAAAAATCCACAGGAAGCACAGTTGTTTTGTCCTGTTGTGAATAGGAAGCCTGTGACGTTTGGGGATAAGTTGATGGCCAGATGTACCATGGATAGTAGACACAAAGGTACTTATACCATTGTAGGACCTGGGCATGACGACGAGATGTGTAATTTTTACATAGCGTATTACGTGGAAAAAGGGACGCCTTTAAGAATGAGTTACTGCATTTCCACCAGAGTGTAAAAATAAAGTCAACAACGCTAGAAGAAACGAAATCAGTTTAAATAAAAATCCTAGTACTAGTAGATTATTGTCAGTTTTATTTTTTCTGGTCAGTTTGAACTAACTTTCTCTTATCAATTCGAGCATGTTAGTGTCGCATGATCTGTGTATACACCAGAATTGAACATTTCTGATTTCACTGATATCATACAAAAAAAAGGATGTTTTGATTATCTTAATTTTGATAATTGATTGTGAAACAATGTGTACAAAACCGACAACTGCAGTTAGGTTGACCTTATTCTGATTCACTTTCCGGCGGGAAATTTGAATACTAATAGTTCAAGCTGGCGGGAAATTCAAACCCTCAGAATTAGTGCCAGAGATATTTTAAATTGGAAACATTAACACTCAAAGTCATTCAAAGTGAAGAGTAATTAACTTCAAATAAGCTTTAGTTTACTTTATCACGCAACGATAAATATTATAAAAGAAACCAAATTGATGTTTTCAACTTTTTTAAAAACAAGTGTCAAAAGTGATAAACACAAAATGAAATATAAAGGAATGAACACGGAAAATTACGAACATATTAAGCGTCCAATGTCACTGCAATCAGTTCTGCTATGAAAATTAAATTTTATTACGAAATAACATGATTATGGAAGTGGTCACTTGAGAATAAACTTTTAAATAGTGTGCACTTAGTTACTTAAATGTTGTTTAAATGTACATGTGTTCCGCGTTGTATCTTATCTAACGCTTGTCACTAAGTAATTTTTTTATAAATAACGAATACATAAAGAAAGTAAACACTCATGTATGTTATTGTTTAAAAATGATGAATTTTTTGATTGATTAGCGGCACTACAAATATTATCTGCAAATAAGCTCCTAAACCCTGCTAAAGTACAGTACCAAGTTTTAATTGGTACTTGAAAACCACTAGAATACGCTAGCGCAAATTTAGTTACTTATAAAGATCCCTGCGAGGTACTCACTTCAGTACTAACACTTTTCGTGACTCCAATTATGTTACGGTAACAACCAAAACCCGTCGTAGGTTTATTTACTTACTTACTTACTTATTTAATTATTCTTCCAGATTTTGTCTAGTTTTTGCCACCTTACTAAGCTTTGGTCAATTCGCTGACCATGACACATTTAAAGACTGCGCCAGGGTAAATTTCTGCACGTAAGTACCCACCTGCTTGCTCATCCACCCCTTAACAAAAGTACTACTGCAGCACCCTACGAACAAGAACACCTGAAAACAAGTACTCTGTAGATAGTGATTCTGTAGTGATTGACCCCGACGGCGGTCAACTTAAATTCGATCTACTAGACACCAATGGTTCCGACAACCTCCAGGTCATCATCACCCGACTGGAAGGTGATAACTTTAGAGTCCAAATCCAAGAACCGGACTCGGACCGATACCAACTGCAAGATGTTTTAGACGGCGAACTTAACGTACTACCGTAAGTACCGACCACCACACTACTCAAGTACTCAAAAATTCTTCCAGAAATGATAAAATCGTCATTGATCCAGACTCTTACACCATAGTAACAGACGGCGCTAATGTTACAATCCAATTTTCACCCTTCTCTATCGAATTCACCACAAACCAAGGCCCCCAGCTAGTACTCGACGGCACTCGCTTAATCTTCGACAAAAATCTAGACAAAGCATTTGCTTTCGGCGTTACCTTTCCTCAAGCGTACCAACTCTACGGGATCCACGAGCACGCCGACGGTCTTGCTTTGCAAACTACGCAAGTCGGTGGTACCGATCCGTACCGTCTGCGCAACCTTGACGTGTCAGGGTATGAATTAAACTCACCCATGTCGTTGTACGGATCGATTCCGGTGTTATATGGACACGGGTCGGAAGCAACCACTGGTATATTTTTACACAACGCTGCTGAACAATGGATGGAAATTACCAACGGTGAAGATAACACCCAAGCGTACGTTATGGTAGAAAGTGGGGCTTTAGATGTGTTTGTTTTGCTCGGTCCTACGCCCGCTGAGGCGGTACGACAATATGTGGGTTTAACCGGTACTGCTCACCTCCCGCAGTTGTGGGCTCTGGGTTATCATCAGTCCCGTTGGAACTACGTCAGTCAAGATGACTTAAAGGATGTGGTTGCAAATTTTACTACTTATGATTTTCCGTTGGATGTGATTTGGCTTGATATTGACTACACAGATGGGAAGAAGTACTTCACGTGGGACCCAAATGCTTTTAGTGATCCTGTTGAGATGCAACAGAACATCTCCGCTTCCAATAAAAGACTGGTGACTATTATAGATCCCCACATTAAAGTAGAGCAAGGATACAACGTGTATGACGGTGCTTTAGAACAAGATCTGTTCGTTAAAAGAGCAGATGGAAGCAATTTTGAAGGTGATTGTTGGCCAGGTCTTAGCAGCTACATGGATTTTCTTAACCCGGACGCCCGAGACTACTACTCAAGTTTCTACTCGTACGACAACTTCCCGTCCACAACTCCTGTTCTTGCTGGAATTTGGAACGACATGAACGAACCATCAGTGTTTGACAATAGTATTGAAAAAACACTTCCAGGTGATGCGGTACATCACGGAGGAGTAGCCCATCGGGACATCCACAACATCTATGGACTTCTACATGTACTAGACCCAAAATTTTTCCCACACTACTTATCCATGTTTTGTTGTAGACAAAATCAACCCACCAAGGATTAATCAACCGTGACAATAACACCAAGCGTCCTTTTATTCTCACCCGGTCACACTTTGCGGGTACTCAAAGGTACTCCGCAATTTGGACGGGTGATAACCAGGCAGAATGGGGTCACTTGAGTGTGAGCTACTCAGAGTGCTTGGATGCTAATCTTCTAGGGATTGTCTTCTGTGGTGCTGATGTTGGTGGCTTTTCCAACAACCCCAGTGAAGAACTTCTACAAAGGTGGTACCAAGCAGGTGCTTGGTTGCCGTTTTATCGAGCTCACTCTGACAGTAGCTCGCAGAGGCGCGAACCTTTTCTTTTTAACGAAGACGTTCAAGCAGTGATAAGAAATGCCATACAGTTGAGATACAAACATTTACCAGTATGGTACACGCGTTTTTATGAACATACAAGGAATAGAGACCCGATTATTCGACCATTGTTCTATCAGTATCCTTCCAACGTGGATGTTTATAACATAGGGGATCATCTTCTTCTTGGTGGGGTAGTAATTTGGGTAAGGTTTTGTTGATTAGTGATTTTTGGTTATAGGTGATGATATTCTGGTGAGAGCGGTTACTGAATCTGGAGTGGAGTCAGTTCAGGTGTATTTCCCAGGTGGTACCGACGAACACTGGATTTCGATTAGTTCGTCTGATGTGTATGAAGGGAGTGGTTTTATTGATGTTCCGGTTGATATACAAGGGGTTAGTTAATGTTAAAGTTGTACTTTGTTTCGTTATTTTTGTCGTAGATTCCGGTTTATTACAGAAAAGGTAGCGTTATAGTCAGAAAAGACACTCTGAGGTTGAGTTCTGATGAAATGGTGGGTGACGGTCATACTCTACATGCCAATTTGGATGCTGTATGAATTTAACAAACTGTCTTGGTTGTATTAAACTGATATGTGTTTTTCAGGATAACAAAGCTTCAGGTACTGTCTACCTTGATGACAACACAAGCTTCAATTATGTCAATAAAGAGTACAATTACTTGAAGATCGATGTTGATGGTACTGATGTTACATTAACGTGAGCTTACTAATGTCAAAGTTATTTGTATTATTTTAATATTTACTTTTAGGAAAATTGATGATGATGCGAATTCAGACGGTTTTGACTTTGTGATTGACGATGTCGTGGTTAATAAAATCATAAAGAAGCCCCAAAATGGTATTCCCGGAAAATATGAAACAAAAATTTACAAAAAGACTGTTGATGGACAGTTACTTAAAAATTTGAAATTCAAGTTTAATGATATTGTTACAATTAAATTAGCATGAAGATCATATCAATATTTCACAATAAACTTATTTTAGTTTGATAACTGTAGTTTTAATGTTTTTTAGAAGTTCGCCATCAGCATCTCTGGTCAATATAGTTTCCTTATAAGATCCTGGAGTGCCATTCTTGGGAAGGCTTACAATATCTCGGCGTACAATCTTTTCTACAACAAACTCATAATCACCACTTCCATCAAGGGTCCTGGAAAATGTCAAAATTAGAAATTTTGTTATATTTATAACTAAAATGTACGTGAAAGAAATGTGGGTGCTATCAATATCGATACTTATGTATTTGAAATCAGACTGGTCTCGGTATTTAAAACTAATCCCGTCATCTAGATAGATAGTACCATGGGCAGTACCATCCTGAAACAATATAGTAGTTTTTCGAATGATTTGTATACATTATTACTTCGTTAGCAGTGTAGTAAAGGGTATGACAATCTTTTTCCATTTCAACCGTATTTGACCTTATTGTATCTTTTCTGGTAATTATAGCACCTCTTTTGTAATATATCGGCGACTAAAACAAATATATGTAAAAATTTTTCAAACTCAAGGTATTATTTACATATTCTCTGACAACAGCAATGGTAGTTAGACCAGTTCCTGCTCGAACATCGTCACTAGTAGCAGAAACCCATACTTCATTTTCACCAGCAGGAAAATACACATCTACTTCTGTAACATTAGTTCCATACACTGCCCGGACCAAGATATCAGTACCCACTAAAACCTGATTATCAATCTTATACGCTGCCCTCTCCTCAGGGTACTGATAGAACAAGGGCCTAATAATCGGATCTCCGGTACGCCTATGTTCGTAAAACAGGGTGTACCAAACTGGTAGATGCTTGTACCTAGTCTGAATTGCTTCCCGTATCACAGTCTGCGACTCTTCAGGCAACAAATACGGTTCACGTCTCTTGGTGTCTTTACTTGAATGAGCTCTGAAAAATGGAAGCCAAGCACCAGCTTGGTACCACCTTTCCATTAGTTCGTTGCTAGGATTGTTGAAGAAGCCACCAACATCAGCACCACAGAACACCAAACCCAAGATATTAGCAGTCAAACATCCCTGGAAAGCTGCATGAAGGTACGACCAATCTGCTTGATTATCTCCAGTCCAATGGGCAGCATACCTTTGTGAACCAGCGAAATGAGAACGCGTAAGAATGAAAGGTCTGCGTTGATGGTTATCGCGATCTAACAAACCGTGATACGTGGCCATGGTCTTTAAAGATAAAATCAGTATCAAACCCTAGGTACCGGGGTACTTACTTGAAGATAACCGTAGATATTGTGTATTTCGCGGTGTTTTACGTTTCCGTTGTGACGACTATCACCAGGGAGGGTCATTTCAAGCGAATTATCAAACACTGAAGGTTCATTCATATCGTTCCAAATCCCGCTGATGGTGGATGTTGAATTGGGAAAATTATCATAAGAGTACAAGCTAGAGTAGTAATTTCGGGCCGCTGGATTTAAAAAGTCGATGTAGCTGCTAGTACCGGGCCAGCATGGTCCTTGAAACACAGACCCATTGGGGTTTTTGACGAAAAAATCGTTCGCCAAAGCTCGATCATACACACTGTAGCCCTTTTCTACTTTAATATGTGGGTCTATAATGGTCACTAGTTTCTTGTTAGTACTAGCTAGAATCCGTTGTAGACTAACAGGATCACTGAACGTGGTGTAGTTCCACGTGAAGTACTTAAACCCGTCAGTGTAGTCAATATCTAACCAAATCGCATCCAACTGGAAATTATTGTCATCAAAATTGGAACTAATATTAGCGACGATATCTTGAGATTCATAACTATATCTTGACTGGTGATAACCTAAAGACCACAATGGAGGCACGGGTGCTCTACCAGTGAGAGCTGTGTATTGTCGAACAACCTCTTTTGGTGTTGGCCCAAGTAGTACGAAGAGGTCTAAAGTACCAGTTTCAACGATGAAATAAGCGTGACTACTACCAAGTGGATTATTGGTGGTTTCAATCCACTGTTCGGCTGCGTTGTGCAAAAAAACGCCCTCTGTAGCATTAATACTATTATTTCGTTAGAATGTGTCAACAGAACTGAGTGGTTTTACCCGTGTCCGTAGAGAACTGGTACCGCACCATATAAAGCCATCGGCGACTCGATTTCGTAGTACCCAACATCTGAATTCTTTAGACGGTAAGGATCGGTACCATTTAGTGACGTATTTTTTAGTGCTAAAGTCTCGCAGTGTTCGTGGAGACCATAAAGTTGCACTGCTTGTGGAAATGTGACACCAAACGTAAAAGGTGAAGTTGCATTATTCTAGAAATGTGAAATATAATAGTGGTACCGATTGTAAAATTAATACGACTTACAATTTCTAGTGATAACTGATTTCCGTTAAAGATAATTTCAGTGACTCCGTTTTTAATGAACTCGATGTTAAAAGGTGAATAGTTTAGAATGACGAAATTTGAGTCAGATGTGGTTATTGTCACTGAGTTTGCTCCAGTTTCGATGGTGCCAAAACTATAAGGAGTGAAAGTGTGTAAAAAGGATAATATTGGTGACTTACCTCAGAGGTGTTGGTACTCCATCAAGAACATCTTGTAATTCGTATCTAGAAGAGTCAACTTCGGTTATTTTTAGCCTGAATGTGTTTTGTTGTAGACCATTTAGAGTAAGATTTAAGTCAGATCTATTATCACTAGATTTCAAACGAGCCGTTAGTGTTTTATTATCTGAAGAAAGGGTTATACTGGTGGCATCTAGAGTGTAGTCATCTGACGGTACTCGGTTCCTCAGGGTACTTCAATTCAAATTCGTATTATTTTACAGGGTGTTGTTCATACTTACTTGCAAAAATCCACTCTTGAGCAATTTTTGAAAGTGTAGTGATCTGCACTGTAACTTACTTTTGTGAAGATAAAAAATAATAATATTAACCAAAACATCTCGAACTTATTTCGCTTTCGCGTTTTAAATTACTGCAGCGACTGTTTTTAATAGTTTTAAAGGCGGATACAGTGTTAATCTAATCTAAAATTATTAACAAATGTTAGTAGTGCGCTACTTACGTTACAATACCCGGCTACATTATCAACTAAATTAACATGGCAAAGCTTAAATGTGTTCAATGTTACTTTATTAATGTTCTTTAATTATACAGCATCATTAGAACAACTACTCCTTCAGTCTGAAGACTTCTTTCTCTTTCGAACCAATTTTGATATTTTTTAGAAGTTCTCCATTAGCATCACTTGTGAAAACAGTTTCTTTATAGGATCCTGCTTGGCCGTTTTCGGGAAGTTTGATAATGTCTCTGCGTACAACCGTATCCACAACAAAAGGAAAACTACCGTTTCCAGTTACACTAAAAAATGTAAAGGTTAGAATTGGTGTTTTGATTATGTCTTAAATTTAACCTAAAAGAAAAGGTGTTGCCATCGATATCAATGGTTATGTATCTATAATCAGCTTCGTCCCTATATTTAAAACTAACCCCGTCATCTACATAGGCAGTACCATGGGCAGTATTATTCTAAAACGAGAAAGTAATCTTATGAAAAACTTGTTAGTATTATTACTTCGTCGACAGTGTAGTAGAGAACATAAGAATCGTCCACCATCTCGGCCGTATTTCGTCTTATTGTGTCTTTTCTGACAATTATACCACCTCTTCTGTAATAAGTCGGCGACTAGAACAAATATATGTGAAAATATACCAAACTCAAGCATTATTTACATATTCTCTGACGACAGGAATAGTAGTTAGACCAGTTCCTGCTCGAACATCGTCACTATTAGCAGAAACCCACACTTCATTTTCACCACCAGGAAAATACATATCTACTTCTGTAACATTAGGTTCATACACCGCCCGTACCAAGATATCAGTACCCACTAAAACCTGCCCATCAATGCTATACGCATCAGTCTCCTCAGGGTACTGATAGAACACGGGTCTTATAATCGGATCACCCGTCAGCGTATGTTCGTAGAACAAGGTGTACCAAACTGGTAGATGCTTGTACCTTGTCTGAAGTGCCTCTCGAACCACAACTTGTGAATCTTCAGGCAGCAGATATGGTTCACGTCTGAGGGTGCCTTGATTTGAATGAGCTCGGTAAAAGGGAAGCCAAGCACCCGCTTGGTACCATCTTTCTAATAATTCGTAGGTGGGGCTAAAGATAAAGCCACCGACGTCCGCACCACAGAATACAAGACCTAAGATATTCGCATTTAGACATTCTTGGACGGCGGAATAAAAGTAAGGCCAATCCGCTTGGTTATCTCCGGTCCAGATGGCGGTGTACCGTTGAGAACCGGCAAAATGGGACCTGGTGAGAATAAAAGGGCGGCGTTCTCCATTGTCACGGGCTATAAGACCTTGATGGGTGGACATTGTCTACCAAACAGAACGATTAGAGTGAGTTTTTCAATTGTGGTAACTTACGTGTAGTAAACCGTAAATGTTGTGGATTTCTCGGTGTCGGACTCCACCAACATGGAGACTGTCAGCAGGTAGTGTGTTTTCAAGCGAAGTGTCGAAAACTGATGGTTCGTTCATGTCATTCCAGATACCAGCAAGAGTGGTTGTGGTACCCGGAAAGTTGTCGTATGAGTACATGCTCCCGTAGAACTCTCTAGCCGCTGGATTTAAAAAGTCCATCCAGCCACTCACTCCCGGCCAACATTGTCCTTGGAAAATGGAACCATTGTCGTATTTTACAAAGTAATCATTAGCCAAAGCCTCATCGTACACACTATATCCTTCTTCAACCTTGATATGTGGGTCGATTATAGTCACCATCTTTTTGTTAGTACTAGCAAGGGTTTCTTGCAGGTCAACCGGATCACTAAACGTGCTTGGGTTCCACGTGAAATACCTATACCCATCAGTGTAATCAATATCCAACCAAAGAGCATCCATCTGGAAGTTATTACTATCAAAGTTAGAAACTACGTCTTTGGCTTCGTCCTGCGACTCATAACTATTTCGACACTGGTGGTACCCTAAAGCCCAAAGTTGTGGCAGATGCGCGGTACCAGTCAACTTCGTATATTGTCGTACCACTTCGGTAGGACTAGGCCCTAATAAAACAAAAACGTCCAAAGTACCAATTTCCGCCATGAAATACGTCTGACTTCCGCCATCTTGATTACTCGTGGTTTCAATCCACTGCTCTGCGGCGTTATGCAAAAAGACTCCAGCAGTCGCTGTAGGCCTACAACACCCCATAAATCTTTGTCCACCCACTCAAAGCCCATACCCATGTCCATAGATAACAGGAACTGCTCCGTAGAGTGCCATCGGGGAGTTCAATTCGTAAAGAGCCACATCGGAATTCTTGAAACGGTACGGGTCAGTACCCCCAGGTTCGGTATTTTGCAAAGCGAGACTGTCGCAGTGCTCGTGAATTCCGTAGAGTTGCAATCCTTCAGGGAAAGTAACTCCAAAACTGAACGGAGCGGTGACGTCGTTCTATTTAACGCGACTTAAATAGTGGCAGTACAAGAAAATAAGGGACTTACGGTTGCTACAGTTAGACGATCTCCGTTAAAAAGAACTTCTGTGACTCCATCTTTAATAAACTCGATGTTGAAAGGGGAAAATGTGACCGTAGCGGAGTTTGAGCCAGAGGCTGTGGTTACAGTTACTGAGTTGTCTCCGATTTGGACGTCATCGAAACTGAAATTTGGGTACTGTAAGAAAGAATTGAATTGAGAGAAGTTTACTTGAGGCCTTCGGGTTCCCCGTCAAGAACATCCTGGAGTTCGTATCTCGTAGAATCCATTTCCGTGATTTTCAGTCGGAAGGTGTTCTGTTGAAGCCCTGATAGAGTAAAGGTTAAGTCCGAGCCTCCAGTGTTGGATTTTAGGGTTGCCGTTAAGGTGTTTGAGTCAGTGGATGCTGAGACGCTTGTTAAATCAATTGAATAGTCATCAGAGGGTGTTCGAGTCCTCAAGTTACTACAAAATGTTGATATCATAATATTTTATAAAGTGAAAATGAAGTGGTAGTACGTGCAAAAGTCTACTCTGGCACAGTCCTTGAAAGTACCATGGTCCGCGGCAAAAGTTAGGGTTACAAAGGCGACTATCAACAGAAACCTAAATAAATAGAATTTGAAGTAAAAAAACTCCAACGATATGATAACTACTTACTTTATTAACATGTTTCTAGTTAGTAAACACACGTATTAACTGAATATAGATAAATATTTCGTTGCTTATATCTAATGAAAGCACTTAAGTTTGTTATTTTCGAAAGGTACTTCTGTTAATCTATATATATATTCACTGTTGATAGGTGGAAAACACTTAGCAGTTTTAAGATTTTTTAATATAACCGTTTATTATTATAACTATATATGGCAGTAGAAAACACAATTGATTTTTACTTCAACTTTAGAACCACATTTCCGTTGGAACCAATCTTAATATTTTTTAAAAGTTCTCCATTGGCAACTCTGGTGAATACAGTTTCTTTATAAAATCCAGGTTTGCCACCCTTGGGAAGGCTTACAACGTCTCTGCGTACAATCGCGTCCACAACAAACTCGTAATCACCATCTCCATCGATTGTACTGAAAAATATAAAACTTAGGAATTGTGTTGTATTTGTCACTAAAATTTACGCGAAAGTAAGGGTGTCACCATCAACACTTATACGTATGTATTTGAAATCAGATTCGTCTCTGTATTTGAAACTAACTCCATCATCTAGATAGACAGTACCCTGAGCAGTATTATCCTAAAATATATAGTAGTACTTTGAATGGCTTATTTGTATCATTACTTCGTTAACGGTGTAGTACAGAGTGTGAGAATCGTCCGCCATCTCAACCGTATTTAGTCTCACTGTATCCTTTCGTGCAATTACAGCACCTCTTCTGTAATACGTGGGAGACTAAAAATAATATAAAACTAAGTACTTCAAACTAAAAGTACATTTTACATGTTCTCTAGTAACAGGAACCGTGACAAGACCAGTTCCTACTTGAACATCATCACTGTTAACAGAAACCCATACTTCATTTTCACCACCGGGGAAATACACATCTACCTCGGTAGCACCAGCATCATAAACCGCACGTACTAAGATATCAGTACCTAAACAATTTTACTTTAGTACCATCGCCCTAAATCGTTTGTGGAACTAACCAACTAAAAGCTGACCGTCAATATTATACGCATCAGTTTCCTCAGGGTATTGATAGAACAAAGGCCTGATAATTGGATCGCCAGTACGCGTATGTTCATAGAAGAGAGTGTACCAAACTGGTAGATGCCTGTATTTTGTCTGCATAGCTTCACGTACTACGACTTGCGAATCTTCAGGGAGCACATACGGTTCACGTCTGAACGTGCCTTTACTTGAATGAGATCTGTAAAATGGAAGCCACGCACCCGCTTGGTACCACCTTTCTATTAATTCATTGGTGGGGTTGTTGAGGAAGCCACCGACGTCTGCGCCACAGAATACAAGACCTAAGATATTTGCATTGAGACATTCTTGGAAAGCGGCATGGAGGTAGGGCCAATCTGCTGTATTGTCACCGGTCCAGAAAGCAGCGTATCTTTGGGAACCGGCGAAATGGGACCTGGTGAGGACGAAAGGTCTGCGTTCGCCATTGTCACGGGCTAGGAGACCTTGATGGGTGGCCATCGTCTACCCAAACAGCACAGTCAGAGTGAGTCTTCAATAGTGGTAACTTACGTGTAGTAAACCGTATATGTTATGGATTTCTCTGTGTCTGACATTACCAATATGAAGACCATCAGCAGGTAGTGTCATTTCAAGTGAATTATCGAAAACTGATGGTTCGTTCATGTCATTCCAAATACCAGCGAGAGTAGGTGTCGTATTTTTGAAGTTGTCGTACGAATACATGCTACCATAGTACTCCCTAGCCGCTGGATTTAAAAAGTCCATGTAGCTGCTGGTACCCGGCCAACATGGTCCTTCAAAGACGGTCCCATCTGCGTTTTTTACGAAGAGATCATTTGCCAAAGCCCCGTCATACACACTGTATCCATCTTCAACTTTAATATGAGGATCAATAATAGTCACCAACTTCTTGTTAGTATTAGCTAAGGTGTCTTGCAAACCCACTGGATTACTGAACGTACTCGGGTTCCATGTGAAGTACTTAAACGCATCAGTGTAATCAATATCTAACCAAAGAGCATCCAACTGGAAGTTATGACTATCAAAATTAGAAGCCACGAGTTCAGCTTCAAATCCGGTTTCATAACTATATCGCGATTGGTGGTACCCTAAAGCCCAAAGTTGTGGCAGATGCGCGATACCGGTCAACTTCGTGTATTGTCGCACCACTTCAGTAGGACTAGGCCCTAACAAAACAAAAACGTCCAGAGTACCAATTTCCGCCATGAAGTACGCCTGACATCCGCCGTCTTGATTATTAGTAGTTTCAATCCATTGTTCTGCGGCGTTATGCAAAAAGACTCCAGCAGTCGCTGTAGGTCTACAACATTACATGTATTTTTATCTACCTTTTCAAACCCCATACCCTTGTCCATAGATAACAGGAACCGCGCCATAGAGTGCCATCGGGGAGTTCAGTTCGTAATTAACAACATCGGAGTTCTTCAAACGGTACGGATCGGTACCTCCAGGTCCGGTATTTTGTAAAGCGAGACTGTCGCAGTGCTCGTGAATTCCATACAATTGTAGTCCTTTAGGAAAAGTGACTCCAAAACTGAACGGAGCGGTGACGCCGTTCTATTTAAAACTGTTTGAATGGTTGCAGTACTAGAAAAAAGGGACTTACATTTGCTACTGTTAGACGATCTCCATTAAAAAAAACTTCTGTGATTCCATCTTTAGCAAACTCGATGTTGAAAGGGGAAAATGTGACTGTAGCGGAGTTTGAACCAGAGGCTGTGGTTACAGTTACTGAGTCGTCTCCGATTTGGACGTCATCGAAACTGAAATTTGGGTACTGTAAGGAAGAAATGAATTGAGAGGAGTTTACTTGAGGCCTTCGGGTTCCCCGTCAAGAACATCCTGGAGCTCGTATCTCGTAGAATCAACTTCCGTGATTTTGACTCTGAAGGTGTTTTGTTGAAGCCCTGAGAGAGTGAAGGTTAAGTCTAAGCCACCATTGTTGGATTTTAGGGTTGCCGTTAAGGTGTTTGAATCAATGGAGGCAGAAAGGCTTCCTGAGTCAACTGAATAGTCATCAGAGGGGGTTCGGCTCCTCAAGTTACTACAAAATAGATGTGTTACAGTTTCTATAAATTGAAAATGAAGTGGTAGTACGTGCAAAAGTCTACTCTGGTACAGTCCTTGAAAGTACCATGGTCCGCGGAAAGCGTTAGGGTTACAGAGGCGACAATCAACAGAAACCTAAGAAAATAGATTTTGAAGTAAAAAGACTTCAAAGGTGTGACAACTACTTACTTTATTAACATGTTTCTAGCTAGTAAAGCACACGTATGAACTGAATATAGATAAACATTTCCTTGCTTATATCTAGTGAGAGCACTTAGGTTTGTTATTTTCGAAAGGTACTTCTGTTAATCTATATATATTCACTGTTGTTGATAGGTGGAAAATAATATAATTTGTGAATGCTTAAACTAATTAAGCATGTTCTTTTAAGATAAAACAGAAAACAAAATTTTTTAATATAACTGTTTATTATTATAAGTGCATGCAGCAGCAGAAAAAAACAATAATTTGTTTTAGTACTTCAGCTTTAAAGATACATTTCCTTTCGAACCAATCTTAATATTTTTTAAAAGTTCTCCATTGGCATCTCTGCTGAACACAGTTTCTTTATAAGATCCAGGATTGCCACCCTTGGGAAGGCTTACAATGTCTCTGCGTACAATCGTGTCCACAACAAACTCGTAATCACCGGTTCCATCGATTGTTCTAAAAAATGTAAAGATTAGTAGGTCTTGTTGTATTTATGACCAAAATTTACGTGAAAGAAACGTTGTCGCCATCAACATCAATACTTATGTATTTGAAATCAGACTCATCTCGGTATTTGAAACTGACACCGTCATCTAGATAGACAGTACCATGAGCAGTATTATCCTACAACATATAGTAGTACTTTGAATGACTGATTTGTATTATTACTTCGTTGGCAGTGTAGTAGAGAGTATGAGAATCGTCCGCCATTTCAACCGTATTTGGTCTCACTGTATCCTTTCGTGCTATTACAGCACCCCTTCTATAATACGTCGGAGACTAAAAATAATATAAAAGTAAGTACCTCAAACTAAAATTATGTTTTACATTTTCTCTAGTAACAGGAACAGTGACAAGACCAGCTCCCGCTTGAACATCATCACTGGTAACAGAAACCCATACTTCATTTTCACCACCGGGGAAATACACATCTACCTCGGTAGCACCAGCATCATAAACCGCACGTACTAAGATATCAGCACCTAAACAATTTTAGTTAGTACCATCATTCTAACGAATGCATCAAAATTACCAACTAAAAGTTGACTATCAATATTGTAGGCATCAGTCTCTTCAGGGTATTGATAGAACAAAGGCCTGATTATTGGATCACCGGTACGCGTATGTTCATAGAAAAGAGTGTACCAAACTGGTAGATGCTTGTACCTCGTCTCAATAGCTTCACGTATCACAGCTTGCGAATCTTCAGGCAGCAGATACGGTTCACGTCTGTTCGTGTCTTTACTTGAATGAGCTCTGTAAAATGGAAGCCAAGCACCCGCTTGGTACCACCTTTCCATTAGTTCGTTGCTAGGATTATTGAAGAAGCCACCGACGTCTGCACCACAGAATACAAGACCTAAGATATTTGCATTTAGACATTCTTGGAGGGCGGCATGAAGGTAGGGCCAATCCGCTGTATTATCTCCGGTCCAAAACGCAGTGTACTTTTGGGAACCGGCAAAATGTGACCTGGTCAGAACGAAAGGTCGTCGTTCGCCATTGTCACGGGCCAGGAGACCTTGATGGGTGGCGATTGTCTACCCAAACAGCACGATCAGAGTGAGTTATTCACTAGTTGTAACTTACGTGTAGTAAACCGTATATGTTGTGGATTTCTCTGTGTCTGACGTTACCAATGTGAAGACCATCAGCAGGAAGTGTCATTTCAAGTGAATTGTCGAAAACTGATGGTTCATTCATGTCATTCCAAATACCAGCGAGAGTAGGTGTCGAACCTGGGAAGTTGTCGTACGAATACATGCTCCCGTAGTAGTCCCTAGCCGCTGGATTTAAAAAGTCCATGTAGCTGCTAGTACCCGGCCAACATGGTCCTTGGAAGACGGACCCGTCTGCGTTTTTTACGAAGAGATCATTTGCCAAAGCCCCGTCGTACACACTATATCCGTCTTCAGCTTTAATATGAGGATCAATAATAGTGACCAACTTCTTGTTAGTACTAGCTAAGGTGTCTTGCAACCCCACCGGATCACTGTACGTACTCGGGTTCCACGTAAAGTACTTAAACGCATCAGTATAATCAATATCTAACCAAAGAGCATCCAATTGGAAGTTATTGCTATCAAAATTAGAAACCACGTCTTTAGCGTCATCCTGGGTTTCGTAACTATATCGCGACTGGTGGTACCCTAAAGCCCATAGCTGCGGCAAATGCGCGGTACCGGTCAACTTCGTGTATTGTCGCACCACTTCGGTAGGACTAGGCCCTAACAAAACAAAAACGTCCAGAGTACCAATTTCCGCCATGAAGTACGCCTGACTTCCGCCGTCTTGATTATTGGTAGTTTCAATCCATTGTTCTGCGGCGTTATGCAAAAAGACTCCAGCAGTAGCTGTAGGTCTACAACACCACATGTATTTTTATCTACCTTTTCAAACCCCATATCCTTGTCCATAGACGACAGGAACCGCGCCATAGAGTGCCATCGGAGAGTTCAGCTCGTAATAAGCTACATCGGAGTTCTTCAAACGGTACGGATCGGTACCTCCAGGACCCGTATTTTGCAAAGCGACGTTATCGCAGTGCTCGTGAACACCGAAGAGTTGGCGGCCTTCAGGGAACGTAGCACCAAAACTGAATGGAGCGGTGACGTCGTTCTATTTAACTATTTAAGTAGTTCCAGTACTAGTAAAAAAGGGACTTACGTTTGCTATTGTTAGACGATCTCCGTTCAAAACAACTTCTGTGACTCCATCTTTAGCAAACTCGATGTTGAAAGGGGAAAATGTTACCCTAGCAGAGTTTGAGCCAGAGGCTGTGCTTACAGTTACTGAATTGTCTACGATTTGGACGTCATCGAAACTGAAATTTGGGTACTGTAAGGAAGAAATAAATTGAGAGAAGTTTACTTGAGGCCCCCGGGTTCCCCGTCAAGAACATCCTGAAGCTCGTATCTCGTTGAATCAACTTCCGTGATTTTGACTCGGAAGGTGTTCTGTTGAAGCCCTGATAGCGTAAGCGTTAAGTCTGAGCCTCCGTTGTTGGATTTTAAGGTTGCCGTTAAGGTGTTTGAATCAGTGGACGCTGAGACGCTTCCTGAATCTACTGAATAGTCATCAGAGGGTGTTCTGGTCCTCAAGTTACTACAAAATATAGATGTCACGAAAGTTTATAAATTGAAAATGATCTAGTAGTACGTGCAAAATTCTACTCTGGCACAGTCTTTGAAAGTACCATGGTCTGCAGAAAACGCTAAGGTTGCAAACAGGAGTATCAGCAGAGACCTACGACAATAGTGCTTGGAGTTGGAAAACTCTAAATGTGTTATAAATACTTACTTGATAATCATGTTTCTAACTACTGAAGCTCTCGTGCTAAGTGAATCAAGATACAGTTTTCGTTTATATTTATCTGGTAAGAGCACTTAATAGCTGACGTGTTGGAAAGGTACTTCTGTTAATCTCAGATAGATGTACTTTTGATATGTGGTAAACATGCATCAGCACTTTTAACAAAATGTTGTGAAAGCGAAAATTACTTTTGTATTTATTTAATGATGAGGTAGTACCGGAAATAATAATTCCGCATAAATTACTGCAGCGATATTCTGTTATTTATTTGATTTAATGTTATCTTTTTTCTATTAAATATAGATACAACATCAGTACAAACATTACTTCAACTTTAAAATCATATTTTCTTTCGAACCAATTTTGATATTTTTTAAAAGTTGTCCATTAGCATCTCTGGTGACTACCGTTTCTTTATAAAATCGAGATGTGCCACTTTTCGGAAGGTTTACAATATCTCTGCGTACAATCGTGTCCACAACAAACTCGTAATCACCGCTTCCATCGATTGTTCTGAAAATTTATAAATTAGAAGTTGTGCTATCTTTATCACTAAAATTTACGTGAAAGAAATGTCGTCACCGCTAATATCAATACTTATATATTTGAAATCAGATTCGTCTCTGTACTTGAAACTTACACCGTCATCTAGATAGACAGTACCATGAGCAGTATTATCCTAAAATAAATAGTAGTACTTTGAATGACTAGGTTTGTACTATTACTTCGTTGACGGTGTAGTAGAGAGTATGAGAGTCCTCCGCCATTTCAACCGTGTTTGGTCTCACTGTATCCTTTCGTACAATTACAGCACCTCTTCTGTAATATGTGGGAGACTAAAAATAAAATAAAAGTAAGTACTTTAAACTAAAAGTACATGTTTACATTTTCTCTAGTAACAGAAACCGTGACAAGACCAGTTCCCGTTTGAACATCGTCACTGGTAGCAGAAACCCATATTTCATTTTCACCACCGGGGAAATACACATCTACTTCTGTAGCATTAGCTTCATAAACCCCCCGTACCAAGATATCAGTACCTGAACAACTTTACGTTAGTACCATCACCCCTAATGCGTTTATGGTGCTTACCAACTAAAAGCTGACCGTCAATATTATACGCATCAATTTCCTCAGGGTACTGATAGAACAATGGCCTAATAATCGGATCACCGGTACGCGTGTGTTCATAGAACAGAGTGTACCAAACCGGTAAATGCTTGTACCTTGTCTGAATAGCTTCTCGTATTACGGCCTGCGAATCTTCAGGCAGCAAAAACGGTTCACGCCTCTTGGTGCCTTTCATTGAATGAGCTCTGTAAAATGGAAGCCAAGCCCCAGCTTGGTACCACCTTTCCATTAATTCATTGGTGGGATTGTTGAAAAAGCCACCGACGTCAGCACCACAGAACACGAGACCTAAGATGTTCGCATTTAAACATTCCTGGACGGCGGCATAAAGTAAGGCCAATCCGCCGTGTTATCTCCTGTCCAGAAAGCTGCGTACCTTTGAGAACCTGCGAAAGTGGATCTTGTGAGGATGAAAGGACGACGTTCTCCATTGTCGCGGGCTAGAAGACCTTGATGGGTGGACATTGTCTACCAAACCGTATGATTATAGTGAGTTTTTCAATTGTGGTAACTTACATGTAGGAAACCGTATATGTTGTGGATTTCTCTGTGTCTGATATTACCAAAATGAAGACCATCAGCGGGTAATGTGTTTTCAAGCGAAGTGTCAAAAACGGATGGTTCGTTCATATCGTTCCAGATACCAGCAAGTGTGGGTGTGGAACCCGGGAAGTTATCGTATGAGTACATGCTACCATAGTACTCCCTAGCAGCTGGATTTAAAAAGTCCATATAGCTACTATAACCCGGCCAACAAAGACCTTGGTAAACGGACCCATTTGCGTTTTTTACGAAGAGATCGTTTGCCAAAGCTTCATCATACACACTATATCCTACTTCAACTTTAATATGAGGATCGATAATAGTCACCAATTTCTTGTTAGTGCTGGCAAGGGTTTCTTGTAAGTCCACCGGATCGCTGTACGTACTCGGGTTCCACGTAAAGTACTTATATTTTTCCGTGTAATCAATATCCAACCAAAGAACATCCAGCTGAAAGTTATAGCTATCAAAGTTAGAAGCCACCTCTTTGGCGTCATCCTGTGACTCATAACTATATCGCGACTGGTGGTACCCTAAGGCCCAAAGTTGCGGCAAATGAGCGGTACCGGTCAACTGTGTATATTGTCGCACCACTTCAGTGGGACTAGGCCCTAATAAAACAAAAACGTCGAGAGTACCAATTTCCACCATGAAGTAAGCCTGACTTCCGTCGTCTTGATTATTGGTAGTTTCAATCCATTGTTCTGCGGCGTTGTGCAAAAAGACTCCAGCGGTCGCTGTAGGTCTACAACACCACATGTATTTTTATCTACCTTTTCAAACCCCATACCCTTGTCCATAGATAACAGGAACTGCTCCATAGAGTGCCATCGGCGAATTCAATTCGTAAAAAGCCACATCTGAGTTCTTCAAACGGTACGGATCAGTACTTCCAGGTTCGGTATTTTGTAAAGCGACGCTGTCGCAATGTTCGTGGATACCGAAGAGTTGAAGGCCTTCAGGGAAAGTAACTCCAAAACTGAATGGTGCGGTGACGTCGTTCTATTTAAAACGGTTTGAATTGTTCCAGTACTAGAAAAGAAAGGACTTACATTTACTACTGTTAGACGATCTCCGTTAAAAAGAACTTCTGTGACTCCATCTTTGACAAACTCGATGTTGAAAGGGGAAAATGTGACAGTAGCGGAGTTTGAGCCAGAGGCTGTGGTAACAGTTACTGAGTTGTCTCCGATTTGGACGTCATCGAAACTGAAATTTAGGTAGGTACTGTAGGGAAGAAATGAACTGAGAGAAGTTTACTTGAGGCCTTCGGGTTCCCCGTCAAGAACATCCTGGAGCTCGTATCTCATAAAATCAACTTCCGTGATTTTGACTCGGAAGGTGTTTTTTTGAAGCCCTGAGAGAGTGAGGGTTAAGTCTGAGCCTCCATTGTTGGATTTTAGCGTTGCCGTTAAGGTGTTTGAATCAATGGAGGCAGAAACGCTTCCTGAATCAACTAAATAGTCATCAGAAGGAGTTCGGCTTCTCAAGTTACTACAAACTAGATGTGTTGAGGTCTATAGGTTAAAATTGAAGTTGATTTACTTGCAAAATTCTACTCTGGAACAATTTTTGTAAGTACCATGGTCTGCAGAAAACGCTACAGTTGCAGAGGTTACTGTCAACAAGAACCTAAGAATAAAATGTTTGAAAAAAAATGTAACGTTGCGATAAACACTTACTTTATAAGCATGTTTCTAGCTGTTGAAACACTTGTACTAACTAAACAAAGATAAATGTTTTCGTTTATATCTGTTGAAATCGCTTGCGATTGACGTATTAGAAAGATACTTCTGTTAATCTCAGATATATTTATTTCGGTAACAGTATCGGAAATGACAATTTATACTACACAGTGGAAACAATTGATTTCTACTTTAATTTTACGATCAGATTTTTTGTCGAACCAATTTTAATATTTTTTAGAAGATCTCCATTAGCATCTCTAGTGATGACAGTTTCTTTGTAAGATCCAGATTTGCCACCCTTGGGAAAGTTTGCAATATCTCGGCGTACAATCTTGTCCACCACAAACTCGTAGTCACCGTTTCCATCGATTGTTCTAAAAAAATGTAAAAGTTAGGAGTTTTGTTATATTAATGATCAAAATTTACGTGAAAGAAACGTTGTCGCCATCAACATCAATACTTATATATTTGAAATCAGAGTCGTCTCGGTATTTGAAACTAACACCATCATCGAGATAGACAGTACCATGAGCAGTATTATCCTGAAATATATAGACAGTAGTACTTTGAATGACTGATTTGTGTTATTACTTCATTCACGGTGTAGTAGAGAGTGTGAGAATCGTCCGTCATCTCAACCGTATTTGGTCTCACTGTATCCTTTCGTACAATTACAGCACCTCTTCTGTAGTATGTCGGCGACTAAAATAAACACATAGAAAATACAACAGACCGAAGTACTATTTACATTTTCTCTAGCAACAGGAACATTAATTTGACCAGTTCCCGCTCGAACATCGTCACTGGTACTGGAGATCCATACTTCATTTTCACCACCGGGGAAATACACATCTAGATCTGTAGCACCAGAATAGTCATACACTGCACGTACCAAAATATCAGTACCTAAGTAGTTTTACGTTAGTACCATCGCCACAACCCGTCTATCAAATTTACCAACTAAAATCTGACCATCAACATGATACGCATCAGTTTCCTCAGGGTATTGATAGAACAAGGGTCTAATAATCGGATCGCCGGTACGCGTGTGTTCATAGAACAGAGTGTACCAAACTGGCAGATGCTTGTACCTTGTCTGAATTGCTTCTCGTATGATGGCTTGCGAATCTTCAGGTAGCAGATACGGTTCACGTCTGTTGGTGTCTTTGTTGGAATGAGCTCTGTAGAATGGGAGCCAAGCACCAGCTTGGTACCACCTTTCCATTAATTCGTTGGTGGGGTTGTTGAAGAAGCCACCAACGTCGGCACCACAAAATACGAGACCTAAGATATTTGCATTTAAACATTCTTGAACGGCGGCATGAAGGTACGTCCAATCGGCTTGATTGTCCCCGGTCCAGAAAGCAGTGTACCTTTGGGAACCGGCAAAATGTGACCTGGTGAGAACGAAAGGTCGTCGTTCGCCATTGTCACGGGCTAGGAGACCTTGATGGGTGGCCATCGTCTACCCAAACAACAGAATCAGTGTTAGTCTTTCACTAGGGATAACTTACGTGTAGGAAACCGTATATGTTGTGGATTTCTCTGTGTCTGACGTTACCAATATGAAGACCATCAGCAGGTAGTGTCATTTCGAGTGAATTATCGAAAACTGATGGCTCGTTCATGTCATTCCAAGTACCAGCGAGAGTGGGTGTGGAACCCGGGAAGTTGTCGTACGAATACATGCTACCATAGTACTCCCTAGCCGCTGGATTTAAAAAGTCCATGTAGCTGCTAGTACCCGGCCAACATGGTCCTTCAAACACAGACCCATCTGCGTTTTTTACGAAGAGATCATTTGCCAAAGCCCCATCATACACACTATATCCTGCTTCAACTTTAATATGAGGATCAATAATAGTCACCAACTTCTTGTTAGTACTAGCTAAGGTGTCCTGCAAACCCACCGGATCACTGTACGTACTCGGGTTCCACGTAAAGTACTTATACGCATCAGTATAATCAATATCTAGCCAAAGAGCGTCCAACTGGAAATTGTTGCTATCAAAATTAGAAACCACGTCTTTGGCATCATCCTGGGTTTCATAACTATATCGCGACTGGTGGTACCCTAAAGTCCACAGTTGCGGCAAATGCGCGGTACCGGTCAACTTCGTGTATTGTCGTACGACTTCGATCGGATTAGGCCCTAGTAAAACGAAAACGTCCAAAGTACCAATTTCCGCCATGAAGTACGCTTGACTTCCGCCATCTTCGTTATTACTCGTTGTTTCAATCCATTGTTCTGCGGCGTTATGCAAAAAGACTCCAGCAGTCGCTGTAGGCCTACAACACCCTATAAATCTAGGTCCACCCACTCAAAACCCATACCCGTGTCCATAGAGAACAGGAACCGCTCCATACAGTGCCATCGGCGAGTTCAGTTCATAGAAAGCCACATCTGAATTCTTGAAACGGTACGGATCGGTACCGCCAGGTCCGGTATTTTGTAAAGCAAGACTGTCGCAGTGCTCGTGAATTCCGTAGAGTTGTAGTCCTTCAGGGAAAGTAATTCCGAAACTGAACGGAGCGGTGACGTCGTTCTATTTAACTATTTAAGTAGTTGCAGTACTAGTAAAAAAGGGACTTACGTTTGCTACAGTCAGACGATCTCCGTTAAAAACCACTTCTGTGGCTCCATCTTTGCCAAACTCAATATTGAAAGGTGAAAATGTGACCGTAGCGGAGTTTGAGCCAGAGGCTGTGGTTACAGTTACTGAGTCGTCTCCGATTTGGACGTCATCGAAACTGAAATTTGGGTACTGTGAGGAAGAAATCAATTGGGAGAAGTTTACTTGAGGCCTTCGGGTTCCCCGTCAAGAACATCCTGAAGCTCGTATCTCGTTGAATCAACTTCCGCGATTTTGACTCTGAAGGTGTTTTGTTGAAGCCCTGATAGAGTAAGCGTTAAGTCTGAGCCTCCATTGTTGGATTTTAGGGTTGCCGTTAAGGTGTTTGAATCAGTGGATGCTGAGACGCTTCCTGAATCAACTGAATAGTCATCAGAGGGTGTTCGAGTCCTCAAGTTACTGCAAAATATTGATATCACAATATTTTATAAAGTGAAAATGAAGTAGTAGTACGTGCAAAAGTCTACTCTGGCACAGTCCTTGAAAGTACCATGATCCGCAGAAAACGCTAAAGTTGCTAACACGATTATCAACAGAGACCTACGACAACAGTACTTAAGTGAAAAACTCAAACAGTTTGATAAATGCTTACTTGATTAGCATGTTTCCAGTTACTGAAGCAGTCGTACTGACTAAATCAAGATAATGTTTTCGTTTATATCTGGTAGGAGCACCTACGTTTGACGTGTTGGAAAGGTACTTGTGTTAATCTCAGATACATGTACTTTTGATAGGTTTTAAAGATGTCTCAGCACTTTTAGCAAAAATACAGAGTGTGTGAATGCGTAAATCACTTAAAAATTATATAATAGTACCGGTAGTACCGGAAATCATAATTCAGTGTAAATGACTGCAGTGATCTGTCGAGTGGATGTTTTGTCCTTGAAATTAAAAGTCTATAAACGGTTTATTACAAAATCTAAAATTATCAACACTTTACTTTATCTTTTCAAGTTATGGTAAAATTTCGACAACTGTAAAAACACTTATCTTAGGATTCGTCCGGAAAATTTATTCGCTTTGAAGTGTTTACCCACTTGATAAAATTAAAAATAATGTTGCAACCCTGTGTAACGAGAAAAAAAATGACAAAGTAGTAAAAAGAGATTACGTTTTTAGAAAATAAACTGAATAGAAGTTTTCATATCTTATTTATTGTTTTCTTTTGTGGACTTTTATCTTTACGTAAATGCAAACCATAATAAACTGCCAAAAATATCTCAAAAATGTCCATAGACCATAAAACAGAATTAATAGCCATAAAGTGTTATGATGTGTCAGACATGATTTATGTACCAAAATTTCGTATAAATTCGTAGGACACAATACATCCTGCTTACTGTATTGTCACCATGAAGTCACAAAAGGTGAAAATTTTCGTACAACTGATCGTTAGTTTTACCATACTGTGCACCTTACCAACAGTACGGGCTCTAAAATGTTCCGAAGTAGAATACTGCAGGTAAGTTTTTATAGTTTTGCATACAAAAAAAAAATTGATCCTGTGAATCTTAAATTTACATAACTCTAGCACAAAATTTACATAAAACTAGTATGATCCTGTTCGTACTATTAGGGGCTTAACTTTTTTGACTTATAGGTCGTAAAATTTTATTACTGTACAAAATTCTGGTGTTTCTAATACATACATATATGTAGAGCTACTTAATTTAATTTATATTATCACATACAGTTGGTTATCAGTTATAGCGATATAAAATTACACTTCAAACCACTCTATTTGATAAAACAATAAATCCACACAAGTTGTCTGGATTAGTCAAATTAATAGAATCAGCTATAATCATAAATCAAGCTTCCATCTTATCAATATATCCTCCAATAATCAATTTTATCTTCAGCGCTCTTAGAAACAGACCCCCAGCCAACCTCTACATCGTCGACGTCTACAGCATCCAAATCGACGACATGGGAATCATAAGATTTAACCTTTTGGCGAGGAGCGGCATCGAAGACCTAGAAGTGAACGTTTTTGCCTACAAAGACGACATTCTTCGCGTCAAAATAAAAGAATTCAACTCCACAAGATTCGAATTGTCTGACGTTTTTGCCGGAGCGCCAAACTTAGCAGGGTAGGGTGGGGTGTTTCCCGCAAGAAACTACCACTGTACCTATGTTGCATTCCACTTAAAAAAAATCCACCACACCTTGTACCTCGCTTCAAATAGTGTGTTTGGTGTTTCCCGCACAGAACTCCTACTGTACCTATATTGTTTTACTTAGAAACTTTCTTATTATTCATGTTTTTCGTTTTCAAATCAGAGTCCAGTCTGTAAACACCGAAGCCACGCAGATGACCATCACCACCAACATCGGGTCGAGACTTCTAGTAAAATTCAGCCCTTTTAATCTAGAATTCTACAGAAACGACGTACTAGAACTATTACTAAGCGGAGATCGTTTATTCATCGACAATGTATTATTTCGTAAACTGTAACCTAGCCACAAACTCACACAAAGTTGTAGCCCACCAATAGTCAGTCCTTCAGTGTTGGTCTGGTTTTCCCCGAATCCGACCATCTGTACGGTCTGCACCAGCACGCCACCGGTTTGACCCTCAGGAACACTGAAGCAGCTGAACCGTACCGACTCTTCAACATAGATCACCCAAATTACCCCATCAACGACACCGACTCCATCTATGGAGTAGTACCGGTGATGTACGGCCACGGGTAAGTCCCCCGTAAGTACCAACTTCGTTTAACTCCCTCCAAGCCCAGAATTTACCGCTGGAATATTCTTGCACAACGCCGCCCAACAATTCGTCGACATAACACACAACACCGATGGTCAAAACATGGCGGTGTTCATGGTGGAAGCCGGTACTCTGGACTTGTTTGTCTATTTAGGACCCACGCCGGCCGAAGTCCTGAGGCAGTACCTTTTAATAACGGGAACTCCATACATGCCTCCGGTAACCGTAAATACGCACCACAGCGCATCATTTGTTTTTAGTTGTGGTCCCTAGGGTACCACCAAAGCCGCTACAGCTACTACACCCAAGAAGAAGTCAAAGACATTGTAGCAAACTTCGACAACTACAACTTCCAGATTGATGCAATCTGGTTGGATATTGATCACACCGATGCCAAAAAGTACTTCACGTGGGCGCCCCAAAATTTCAGTGACCCAATAGAAATGCAGCAGAATTTGACAGCTACCAATCGCAAACTCGTAGTTATAAGTGACCCACACATCAAGGTGGAACGAGGCTATAGCGTGTACGACGGTGCCCTTGAAAACGAGCTGTTTGTAAAAAATCCAGACGGTTCTGCGTTTGAAGGTAGTACTTTTGGGTTAACAACGACGAGCTAATTGTGGTTTTAGGAGATTGTTGGCCGGGTACTAGTAGTTGGATCGATTTCTTACACCCGGAAGGGCGCGCTTATTACGCCAGTCGGTACTTGTACGAAAACTACCCAGGTACTACGCCTACTCTTGCCGGGATTTGGAACGACATGAACGAACCTGAGGTTTTCGGTGTTGATGAGAATGTGATGCCTGGTGATACAGTACACTATAGAGATGTCTTGCATAAGGAACTACACAACGCGTACGGAATGTTGCAAGTACTTTAAGCAACTAAATATAGTTTGGGTGGTACTACATACTTTTTTGTAGACTCGTGCCACCCATGATGGTTTAATGGAAAGAGATAACCGCACCGCTCGTCCTTTCGTTCTTTCCCGGTCACACTTTGCCGGGTCGCAACGATACACAGCCATCTGGACTGGCGACAGTACAAGTACTTGGGAGTACCTCGATATTAGTTACGCCATGTGTTTAAACTCCAACTTAGTCGGAATAGTGTTCTGTGGAGCTGACGTTGCCGGTTTTAATAGTGATCCAGATGATGAATTGTATCAAAGATGGTTCCAAGTAGGTACTAATTTTGTGTGGCGGTACCTTCACACTATAGTTGTAGGCGGGTGCTTGGTTGCCTTTCTTCCGCGTGCATTCGCACGAAACTACGAAAAGACGTGAACCGTATGTATTTTCTGATGATGTACAACAAGTAGTACGAAACGTTATACAACTGAGGTACAAGCATTTACCCGTGTGGTACACCCTTTTCCACGAACACATCGCATACAAAACGCCGGTTATTCGACCTTTGTTCTTCCAATATACGTACGATACTAACGTTTTTGCTATTTATAACCAGCTTTTAGTGGGAACGGATATTATGGTACGAGCTGTTAGTGAGCCTGGAGTGAGTTCAGTACCGGTGTATTTCCCGGGTGGTTCCAACGAGTACTGGGTTTCTCTTGATGGTTCTACTGTATACCAAGGAAGTGGAAATTATGTAGATATTCCTGTTACTATAAACACGGTGAGAGGTGGTACCACTTAAACTTGTAATTAATATAGTTTTTTTTAAATAGATACCAATATACTATAGGGCTGGTAGTGTGATTCCCCGAAAAGACACGATTAAACCGACTTCAACTGACATGTATGATGATGGGTACACACTAATTGTCAATCTAGACAGCGTAAGTTCGTGGGTACTTTCAGTACCAATATGATATACACTGCGTTTCAAATAAAATGCACCACCTAGAAGGAGTAGGCGTAGAATGTTGAAATTTGGTGGAGAAGACTATTGCACGTAGACAAACATTTGATTAAAATTTCAAAGAAAAAATAAAATGTCTAACACAAGAAATGTTAATAATGTGTTAAAATTCCACGTGCACGAATACAAGACTGTATTCTTCTAGGCATGCTTAAAATGAGATGATCTATTGCCTGCTGGGGTATCTCATTCCAGGCATTTTGAATTTGTTGTAGACATTCTTCCAAAGTCTTTGGAGGATGTGGTAAATTGCGCAGCCTTCTATGCATTAAATCCTAAACATTTTCGATTGTTGATAAATCTGGTGATAGGGCAGGCCAGGGTAAGAAGTTGACGTTATTTTCGTCAAACACTCTTTAAGTTAATATGGCCACATGAGGCCACGCATTATCTTGTTCAAAAGATGTTCTTCGACGGTTCGAGAGATAAGGAAAAAGAAATTGATTTAACACGTTAACGATGTAATGCCGGGCATTTAGCGTGCCTGGAATGAACACTAAGGGAGTACTTCAACAGATGTGTATACCATCCCATATCATTACTCCAGGTGTTAGAGCGATATGACATCTCTGTACAAATTCCAGATTTTACCTTTGGCCTCAAGGCCTTCGAACACGTATGCGTCCATCAGAGTGCCACAAACAAGACCTAGACTTGTTCCTAAACATTATGACATTCCACTATTACAGCCATTGCTGCCTGTCTTGGTACCAGTGAAGCCTGGTAGTTTTGTGTTCTTGTGGTAAGGGAAGTTTGCAGTTTGGACGATAAGATCTCAAGCCAAAGGAACGAATTTGGCGGTAGATGGTACTCCTCGGATTCTGTGCCCAATTGCTGTCATCCAGTCCATCCCGACTGATCGTTATGGTTACCAAGGGTACTGAATAACACTTCTTCTTAGCAAATGATCTTCGCGTTCTTGGGTGACCCTGAAACGGTCGGTACCCCTGCGACGCATTTGTAGCTCTTCGTTGTTCCATTCTCGACTTGTTCTTAATATCGTAGAATCCGTTGGGCCGAGTCTTCTGGTGATTTCCCGAAATGGTAAACTAGCCTCATGCATCCCAATCATTCGCCCTCTTTCAATAGGTGTTATCTGTTGAAAATTACCTCGTGTGTGAACTCGTAGCATTTTTGCAAGCACAATAATGACAAATGTCAAGTAAAATTGCAAAAGAATCTTACTCAAGTATCTTTAAAACATAATCAAAAAATTAATAAAAATCGAATAACACTCGGTATATTATCTAAACAAGTAGTAGTTTTTCTTTCAAATTTTAATCAATTGTTTGTCTATATGCAACAGTCTTCTCCACCAAATTTCTACATTCTACGCCTACTCCTTCTAGGTGGTGCATTTTATATGAAACGCAGTGTATATTTTTTAGAGTAATCAAGCCCATGGTACTGTTTACCTAGACGACACTACTTCCCTCTTCTATTTAAATTACGTAGAGTATAATTACTTGAGTCTAGACTATTCAGGTGGCGAATTAACCTTCACGTAAGACATCAAAGTACTTTGGTACTATTTTATGACTACTCTTTATCATTTAAGGAAAATTGACAGTCATGCCAATTCTGGGCAATTTGATTTAGTCGTGGATGTGGTGGTGACCCATCAAATTACAGAACTACCTTCGGATGGTAAACACATCATTTCCCTGTGATTTATTGTAATCTATTCGTTGCAGGAAAACCCGGAAAATACGTTGAAACAAGATACGAAGTTGACTCTTCTGGAAATTTACTCAAAAATATGAAATTTAATTTCAAGAATGCCACAAAGTTGTCTTTGAAACTACAATGATTAAATATGTAAAACTGAAAATAAAACGCTGACCTTACTGATGAAAAGAACTGTTTTCTTTTTTAACATATTTGACTTTTGACAGTTGAAAGTGAACAGGGTATACATTAATTTAAGCCCGCATTGTTGGTTCAGATTTACGACGAAGGGTGGCGCTGCCAAGCAAAACAAATCAATACGTGTATTCGAAGAGTTTATAAAAGGTCTGTTCGACAGGTCAGGACTCACAGAATGATGTGCTCCGGTCCGCAGAGGGTCAACACTCCTTGTTTTAGCCCAGGTTCTCCAGTAAGTTGTGTGTCTGGCTGGATTTGATTATATTGATGTTTTAACTAATTTCAACTTTTCGCTTGGTGAAATAAAAATAAGTCAAAAAATGGTAATTTAAAAAAAAATAACTCTGAATGATAGTTAAGATTAAAATTTAAAAACAAATTTTCCTAAATCTGAGTTTCTTTGTAAAATTCAAACCTGGGTTAACTATAAAATTTTTCCAAATTATAAAAATGTCCGTAAAATAATGAACACAGTCGCTCAAAAACAAAAATAAAATTTTATTAAAACATCTTAATACGGCCGCAATTTTGCCAACAAATTTACGATTTCCTTGTACACATTTTAAGACGACGTCGACAATAGCCGAAAAATAAGAAGAAATATTTTCATTTTTGCCTTTTTTTTATAAATAAAATTATTTTAATGCCATAAAACTGCAGTACTATTAAAAAAATATTGATGACGTCACGTCTCTAACAGTGCTACTTAAAAAATAAAGTATGATTTTTCATTATTTTGTGGACTCTTTTTTGGTGAAGTAGATTTTGAAATAAAGTTTACCGGGGACGACTGGAAGGGAGCAGGTAAGTAATTTGTTGTTCGTCAGTCTGTGTCTTCCTTGATGTACAAAACTGCTTCTTAATATTTATCTCTATAGTTAAACACACCTGATCTTGTAAGCAATATCTGGCTTATGGACAGTGATAGTAAAAACAGATACATCTAAAATCAGCAGCACCCCAAAAATGAAGTCAAATTTTAAAAAAATCAGTCAAAATTTTTTCGAAAATCCGCACTTTCAACCATAAGCGAAATGTTGCTCGTAAAAAATTATACGCATGCAAAGTGTTTCAAAATGTACACAATTAAATCTTACGTAGGTTCAAGAATTGGAAATTTTAAATTTCGACTTAGTTTTAATAATTTTGAAACACTTTGAATATTAAGTCCACGCACGCCTTAAATGTGCCCTGAATGCGTTATTCCAATAGATAAATTAGGTTTTTTTTTTAATATTTGCTAAACATTTGGTTAAAAAGTAAACCTTGTTGAGGAAATTTCAGCTCAGAGCAAGCTCACTGGGTCCTTCTATATAACGAAGATACCTTTTAAAACTTGGAAAAATATTGACATATTTGCTTCAATTTCTGTAACAAAATTAAAAAAAAATCTAAAACTATAAAAAGTTACTATACCTAGTTCATTTTCATAAGCTGACTTTTTATTAATTTCCACTTCAGCATCAGGCTGTAATATTTTTTACCACAATTTTTAATGCAGATGTTGAAGCAAGTTTGAAAAAATCAAATCAAAAGACATTTCAAGTTTTAAAATTAACCAAGTATAGAATTATCTTGTACTTGTCAAAACCGGTCAAACTGAAGTGTCCTCAACAACCACCAAATGTTAAACATAAATAAAAAAAATTTATATCATTTCCGCTAAAAGTAAAAAACGTTTGATGTTGTTGGTGTGCTCCTTTAGATTTAGTATTTAGTTCTAACACAGGACATCGGGCATATACAGAATGTCCAAAACAAATTAATGTGGAGTATAATTTCATTCCAAAATTTTATGTTTAAGTCAAAATTAAGACATACCCAACAAAATTTTACGCACACATTGTATGTCTTTCAAAAAAAATTCACCCAATTTGTGTAAAATTTACTATCATACCCTTCTTCACAACAAAATCAAATTGTACTCAGGTTATAACCTAGATATAACTTAAATTATTGAATGATTTATCGATAAACTGTGATATTAACTCATTTGGAATTTTTCCCAAAAGCAGACTATTCACCTCCAAAGCCACAAAAACCTACCATAAGTGTTCTATTATCATTTTCTCTTATGCGCAACATTTTAATTTCGTTTTATTTCCAAGCAAATTCGAGATTTTAATTTGAAACGCTCAAAACTGTGTTGCGTGTAAAAGGATAAAACCTCATAAATCATTCTTAAATGTTTCCAGTATTTGCTGTGTTAAGTTTAGATTTATAACAATGATTATAATTTTTATATAATAATTAACACTTCTACTAAAGAAAAGAATTAAAAATTCCTGTGTTGTGGCGAAAATACCGTGTACTTAAAAATATTTTGTTGCTGAGTTGAATTTGATTAACGCTTTGGCTTATTTAACAAAAAATATTATTACAGCAACAGTATATTGAAGTTGGCATCTACCAAAAACATACTTGACCCAAAAATATACGCATATACTGCAATAAAATAATTGTAGCCAACTCTGAACTAAAATTTTTCCAATCTGGCAACACTGCAATGCAGAACTTCCTAATAATAATAATAAAAACTAAATTTTGTGTCAGCTACAGTCAAAAATATTTTTGATAAAGTGGTGATTTGTGTATAAAATTTCCCACGAAATTATTTTTTTGAACAAGTCCCTTGATATGTGGATTTAAAGCCAAAATATGTCTAAATATTGATCAGTCTATTTTACTAATTATGGTATGTTTTTAATTTGGCACTGTCGAAAACACACAAGCATTATAGATTTAACTCAGGAAACCTGTAATAAAATTTAAAAAAATATATACAATTTTACATATCTAGTCATTTAGCAACACTGAAAAATAAAAAAAAAAGAAAAAAGAAAAAATGGAATACCTATCCTACCGACTGCTCCATTTTTGCGTCCCAAAAATAAAAAGGTCATCAAAAGCGCTTAGTTCGCACAAACGATGCTTTAACTGAATATAAAAAAGGTTCCTTCAGAAAAAAAACGCTAATTTTTGTTACGGCAGTTGCTAGTCGTAGAAAACTGTGTAGGAACGCACTAAAAAAAAATTTATGTGGGTGGGTGGTGGGTTCGCTACGATACGAGATTTGAACGGGTGTCTCGTTAGCGCTTTACCGTTCCAGTCTTTTGGACTGACTTCGCTAAGAAGCAGAGGTTGAGGGATGGCTTCTGCGGAGCGTGTGAAACCCTCACACTTTTCAGATTTTAATCGTTTCATCGTCCAGGTTCATAGACGAAAAGACGATTAGAATTAGAGACTTTTGTTTACAACTATTGTCACTCCAGACAAGATTCTTTAACAGTTTCTTGCTACGAAATAGAGGTTGAGGGTGACCTCTATCCAGCATTTTAACTCTAGGTTTCATAGGATTTTATTTAATGTAAAAAATATTTCGATGTTTGTTCATTATTTAAAATCATTAGCACATCTTTGTGTCATCTACCAGAGAAATAATTACGTTGTAAATATTTCACTGGAGATCGAAGGTGCAGATTGTCACGTTAGAACCTGATATAAATTATTAATAAACTTTGAAAATTTGACATCAAAATTCATAACGAGTATTGTTTTGTAACTTTTTTAAAAATTACTAGAGACTGCGCCAATTTCATTTGTGTGTATCTGAATGAATGATTGTATGAACTGAATGAAGAGACAAACGCCATCTTGGACCCAATAACCCATTTGTAAAGATGTCACGTCACCACCTAATGGAACATATATCAGATATTATAATAAAATTATAAAATCTGTCATCAATTAATTAAAAGTTCCAGTCAAGTAAATTGATGACGTGCAGTCTCCTTTGTGAAAAATGGAGCTACTAATTTTCTGTTTTGTATTTGTTTTAATTCATTAAATATAATATACTGTGTATATAAAAGTAGATAATTTAGTTATTTTTTTTTTTTTTTGTTTAACGAAGTTTTGACTCCACTATAAATTCGAGTCAGACTACACAAACACTTTCCGTTTATATTTTTAAAGATCCACCAAGTTGATTCATACTGGTAACGCAATAATAAATTAGAAAACCCTGTGGACTGACAAGTGACAGTTTATCATTCGTTGGCGGAATGTGTTCACAGACGTACGTGGTGAATACTAAGAACACCACCTTCGTCAGTCTTATCAAAGTGGTACGCAACAAAAGAAAACAACTGCTACCTCACAGCGACATAAACAATGACAATTAAACTTCCAGTCTCTGTGTCATTGTATCGGGTGTTCGATTGAAAAAATCAATGAACTTAACCTAATTTTTTCGTATATTTTCGCAACAGTATGGATTAATAAGACACACGCCAACTTGATGACTTTTTCAATTGAACACCCGTTATGTCCTACAAAAAGACTGTTTAGTCGTGTAGGTGTTACCGACTGTCAAATAAAACATTCACATTTTGTTAGTGACATGTGCAGATTACAAAAAGTCGAAATCTTCCTATGACTTTTTATCGTTTAGTAAGACTGTCCTCCTTTTGACATTTTGTAAACTAAATCTTGTCACGTTTGTGTATTATTAAACTTTAATGTATGTATATAGAAAAAATTTTAGTTTAGTAGTGACACATACTACTCAGAAATTCATTTGGATTATAATCACAAAATAGAGTATTTGATCTCTTGGATAAATGTACTTGTTCTTTATGAATCCGCCTTGTTTCTTTCTGAGACCAGAAAAATTGTTAGCCCCTACTCCTACGGAGGGCAGTAGTAATTTTAGCTGCTGTCTAAGGCTATCAATCTCGTGAGAACGAGAACAAAGAATTTAAATTCTAGCTGTAACGAAATGTTTAATAGTTTAAACGTATGAAGTGACAAAATGGACACTAGGGAGATAAAATCAAGGGGTGTTTGAAGGATGGACACTGCGTCTTCTTGCTTCAGTGCTTGTACATAACCCTCTGCTCCCACTATTTCACTGTGCCGAAAAACGGCTCCGACTATGTCCAGTGTGTGTATCTAGTGTTTAAATGGCTAATTTTCGTTCAATTTTACAGTTTTCAGAGGTGTGAAAACGGGAACAAGCTATTCCGTCCAACTAATAAACGGAACTAGTTATTAATCTCTTCAAGCAAAAAATCTCTTCTCTTGATATCTTGCAAAACCTGAAGTAACTAACACCCAAGTCAGGTTTAGAAATTTATTTTTGGACAAAACTTACTAGTGATAACGCTGCCTTTAGCCAAATTTTAAATGTAAGTGCCTTTGCTCCTTGTGTCGATGCTCACAAAAACCTTTGGGTGTTACACATACTCACAAATCTGAAATCCTCTTCGAATCTACTGATCTCCTTCTCAGCTGGAAAGGTGGTGTGGTTGGTACACGAATTTTCTCTTTTTCCCTCCTTTACTCAAAATTCGTACCTCCATTTCTTCAGCTTCAAATGGTATATAGTCTAAATTTTGCTGTGGTGTTCACATTATTTTCAGTTGGAGTTTTCTTTCACGGTTCGAACTTGGTTGTCCATTGGACGATGGATTTTCTTTTGCTTCTAGCTGGAGTGACTAAGAAGAAAACCGACAGGACGGGACTGACTAAGTGTGAATTTCATCACGATCAGAACCTCAGACGAAATCTATCTCGGTATTTAGGCAACTCCGCAGATCCACCCAAAGTGTTCAAGCTTGTAAATTTCTCTCTAATGAAGTGTTAAAATAGGTTAAAATGTCGTCTGGAGGGACGTATCGACTCAAGAATCATTGGTGCGGCAGCTGCAAATGTGAAAAGAAGGTGCATCTTCTGGTAAACCAAGCTTCAACAACTTTTGTAAGTCTGTTTATAAAAAAAAATTTGACGTGGTACGTAATTGAAGATTTTCTTGTTTTCAGATCGACTGGATCGAAACCAAATTCGCGAGTGATGACTGTGACTTTGTTGTTTGTAACAATAAGTGTAACAATAACATATCTGTATATGTATATTTTATTAATATTATAAAATTTATAATTAATGATGTTATTTAATTATTTTATCACTAAATATATGTTATCTAATTAAATATTGCTATATGATATAAGTATATTTTACATTGTAAACATGTTAAATAAACTGTAATTTTTTAACCAGGTTCTATTTTTTTCCACGATGTGCATACAACACCACACCCCACTATAATAGTCTCAAAATCAAAATCACATTGTATAAGTTAACTAAGTTGAAAATCTTAATTTTTGCTTTTTGCGCGTCTGTTTCAAACATTAGGTTTAGAAAAGTATCAACAGTTTAAATTAAGAATTCAATTCCACGGATGACTGGATTACAAATTATGTTGCTCGCCCGATATGTGATGGAATTATCCAACTTCTCCATGTATGCAATCGATGCAGCACTGCAGCCAGTTTCTATGGCAACTGCATCCAGGCCAGTTTGGGTTTATTTCAATCCAAGGTGAATTTTGCGTCTTCAAAAAGTCAATCGATAAGTGGAAGTAACCTAAAATAAAATAAATGTTCTAGAAAAGGTTTAACTGACATGCAAATTAAAATCTCGGCTACAGAAAAACAAGAAATAAACTGACCCGGTACATCTAGTTACTCATTTGCATAGACATAAATCTAATTAATTATTCTTTATAACGTAAAATTGAAGTCACATGTAGCATTGCAACCGTAAAAAAAAATGTTTTAAAAGGAAGCGTAATAGGGCATCACATGTATTTTGTTTTTCGTTTGCAGGAAATGCAATCGATGCAGCTATGCAGGAGTAGCTATGACAACGATGCATCCCGGAAACAGTAATTGCAGATAACCGAAAGTGCTTCAGTCCACAAATAAATCTGACGTTAGCAACAAAATCGTCTTATCTTGTGTTAAAAAACGAATGAAATTTTTGATATACGTATATTTTTAAACAAAATGGTTGTAGATGTTTCTGGCGCATTTTAATCACCGACAAGCTAAATCCTTTTCAAGGACAACTCGATTACAAATTATGTTGCTCGCCCGATATAAACTGGTTGTCAAGGTTTTCTCGGTAGACGAATCCCAGACAGGTCCGGGTGCATGTAGCCATGGAAACTAGTGAATCATGCAACAAATTAATCAATACGTGCTTTCAGTTCTAGTCAGTAATTTGATAATACTTTTTTAAATACTGAAACCGACATTAAGTTTAATCAAATTCAAGACAACGTAAATTAAAACATGTTATCCCGGCGCATCCACCATTTTTAAATGTAATTAAATTTAAACTTAATGTTCAACTAAAGTGAACTATGAAGGGCCAATCAATGATTGCAGTTTCATTAAAAACTACATGATTTATTACATTTTAAAGAAAGTGCTTGACACAATTAACTTTAATCAACAGAAATATTTTATTTAATAACACCTTACACAAATAAATTCAACAATTACGTTCTTTTATATTTTATTCTCCAACCTTCAAACAAGAATTTAAGCGAGTATTGATCAACCTGTTGCACTGATGCAGTCGTTCCCATAACGACATGCACCCCTTACACTTGTCTGAGACCCGTCTACAAGAAATACCTTAGCAACGAGCAATCTATTTTTATCCCATTTTATCCTCCTCAAATTTTCACACACTGATTCGTTGAAAATTGAGTTCACAGCTTTATTGTAAATATTTTGCCAAATTGTCGTGACAGAAATTTTGATTAACCTTTGTTAGTACCTTTGTAATGACTATTGTGAAAAAAAAATGAATAGCAAGTGACATTTAACAGTTCTGAGTCCTGATCCTTACATATTTGCAATATTATTCCTCCAAAATGCATTACTTTACCGTTGGTGGGACTCTAGCCACCTCGTTTATGTAACTTATGGAAGTAACTCAAGGTCACGTCAAATTCCGTGCATTTAACCACTTCCAGTTCAATCATACGACAACCGGAATGTATTGAAACGTTAAATCAACAATAAAAGAAAGCATTTCACAAAATGGCACATTGCTTACGACACATTACGAGCAAATTTATATCAATAACGTCAATTATCACTCCACGAAACCATGTCATCAAGTACGAAAAACCTAACCTCTATTCCAAGGATATTTGCCTCGAACAGGTAAGTGTGCGGCATGCATTAACCCGAAACGATTTTTTCGTCCTGTGTGGGAACTCTTTTATACTTTGCAACGTACGAATTGTGCCTGAAAGTCTTTTTATGTACGTTATGGTGACATAACCTCAAACTTGGCACTCGGTGCTTTTCATTGATTTAATTTTTTTTCAGTATTCTACCCACGCCAAATTCAACGAATCTGAAGAATTTGTACCGAAGTCTTTGTTTGTGAAAGTTACAGATAACCGAGAATGCTCTAGTGATATTGTTACGAAAGAAAATGTGTTTCATATAGAAGATGTTGACACGATTAGGAAACACTTAATTAGCTCTCACTTAAAGTAATAATCGTGCGATTCGTGATCATATTAAAATTTCGGTGTTGCAGATTCAGTACAGTTAGGCCTACTTCACAAGACCATGAACTATTATTTTGTGACCCAACAGAACCGAACAAACCTAGTCCTGATAAACTCAGCCACGTGTATGATGTTCTCATGAATAATTTACCCAATTTTTTCACTAAGACCATGGATTATAGCATATATCATCCAGAGCTGGTTTTTGAAAATAATATCAGGGGCACGACGACAGTGTATGGTGCATCTATTTATTCGTACTAAGTGGACAACAATTATGTTTTAGGGGGTTGTATCACTACGTGAAACAGCTAGCTTTGCTCAGAACCGTAGCGCACTTAAAATATGCATATGTAAATTTTGAAGTGCTAAAAATTACAAAGCATCCTGAAGACTCCACGATCAAAGTGAGGTGGCGCATCAGGGGCATATCCGCGTTGAAGGTGATGGTAACGTTTTGGAAGTACAAGCTCTGGAATTTTCGGGAAATTTTTGATAAAACTGAAGCGTAGGTTTTTGGAAGTCGTTTTTCTTTGTTTTTATTTAATTGTTGCAGTTGGTACGACGGCTTTTCCACGTTTCACGTGAATACGAAAGGAGAGGTTTATAAACATGTAGCTGATAAGGTAAAATGAAAGTAAAAAAATATTTTTTATTGATTCGGTTTTTTATAGATGATGCCGGATTCCGATCGAGCACCCGCAAAAGTACCAGTTACTCCTCTAGATACAGCAAAGTTGGCGTTGATCACTGGTTTAATACCGAAATTTACTGATATATATTCCATTACCTAACTTGATGTTTAGGTTAGATATTTATTTATAATTTAAGTATTATTCTGTTGTGAAGCAGTCCTTATCAAATTTATATTTAAACCATAATTTCGCTTTTGTAGAACGTTGTGTTAATAAAAAATTAAATTCGAATAAAGTACCGTCAGTTGGAGTTATTTGACCTTGAGGGTGGTCACATGACTTGTCTATTATTTATCTGAGTGTCATTTGAATTAAAACTAAATTAGTTCCTTGTGGAAATTGTGTAAGTGGTTGAGCATCTGGCATTTTCCACAAGCTAATTACATAATTATTGATACGATAATCACCGACTAATTATTTATACAGTGATAGTTAAGTCCAAACTGAACCAAGAAAATGTACAAGAACGTCGTAAATTGAGTGTTGTCTTTTTTAATATTTGTTTACAGGTTTTCTTATCACAGGATTCTTGTAAAATTGCATAAATGTGGCGGTTATCACCCTGACTGTCACCCATGGTTTAAAAAAGCCGCCTTTTTCTTGGGTCTTTTCCTATACGGAATTCTTTTATCTCTCGCCATTAAAGGAATCTTAACATACCAAAAAACCAACCTAATACTAACGATCGAGTGCTTACAAACAAGTTTTTTACTAACAGATGTAAATCTTCCACAGGTCTGTTCAAAACAACTAATTCACCTGTAATTATTGCAGTCACTTTGTCGCCATATTATATTGCACTTAAACACGAAAACCATCAGGGATGTATTAACAACGAAAATAAAAATCTGGAAGATAAGACAGTTGTCTCAGGAGAGTCAACATTTTTCCCATTTGGGAAAAACCACAATTTTGTTTTATTTATGTGCAGGATTACTTAATTTTCTGATTTTTGCAATCCAACCATTTACGGTTGGAAAATTACCCATCGCTACCTATATTCCGGAAGGCTACTTTTGGACACTTTTTTTCTTAGATTCGTTTGCTGGAATGGGTGTTTTTGTCACCATATTAGTGACAGACGCTTTGTTTTGTTCTCTCTGTGTGGGTGGTATTATACAGTTTAAAGAACTAAAGGACCGCTTACAGAATTTGCAGATGGACGAAGAGAGAGATGAGGCAAAATTGTGGAAAGATCTGAAGGAGTGTGTCGAACATCATAATTCATTAATAAGGTGATAAGATATCGCGTGTGTCAAACTGGGTGCACATTTTAAAATATTGGGCTGTACTGATTTAAAAAAATCATTTAAATCAATTAAAAATTATGACCTGCCTGTAGAAGGTACTAAATTTTAAGTGCGCATGCGTCACTTAAATATAAATCAGATTTCCATCAGCATCAAAGGTATTGATTGTAATTTTTGGCCAGGTAGGCAACATATTTAAAGTTTCATGATGGGATACCTGTTGTTAAATTGATAACACTGCTGCCAATAATTCAGAATTACCAACATAATTTTAGTAGCTGTTTTGTAGGTACTGTAAATTAATTAACAGGTTCTACGGTGGCATTTTCCTATTATATTTTGTATCTTCAACCGGAGCGACTTGTATGCAGATCTACATCTCCACATTAAAGTAAATACTAATTCTAGAGGGTGTAACCACAGAACAATCAAGTATTTTTGTAGTGAACTGCCTCTGGTTAATAGAGTTAAAAATTGGTTGTACTGTAACGAACAGTTGGCTCAATCCGTCTTATATTGCACTTTGGCGGAGCTGACTTCAGGAGCAGTTAGTATAAAACTACCGTGGAAAATGGGGTAAAGCGAAATATTTGTAGGCCTTCAGTATTGGATATGCTGTCTACAGTTCTAAATGGTATGAAATTAAAATTCCACAGTACAGAAAATCTTTAGTGGTGGTTATGTCCAAGGCTCAAGAAAAGGTAGTTTTTACAGGATTGGGTTTAGTTGGTATAAACTTCAACACTTTTATAGTCGTATGTATTAAAGAAAAAACACCAATTTATTTCTTTAAACGAAATTGTTCTAGATTTTAAAAACAGCAGTGTCTTTTTACACTTATTTAAACTCTATGTCATCATAAAACAACGAAAAAAAAACTATCAGTCCTAAAAATACATTATTTATTTAATCAGTCAACAACTATTTTACAAATAATTACAAACTTTAATAAATATATATCTACAAATGTACATGTAATATAGTACAATCAGCTACACCGACGTGTTATTAACTCTATCACCATCTGTAACCTCTTTCTGCTTTTTCACGCCTTTTTTCAGAAAAATCTTTTCCAACCCATGTATAGGCGATTCAAAAAATATACACATAAGAAATGCGAGAGAAAACGTCAAAATAGTGTGTGAAAGCGACACAGAACCCTTAAAAACAAAATTTATGTACCTATGTACACCAACAAATTAACTTTCTTACCATTTCAAATATACTCATATACGTCCCCTGCCTAAGTGACGCAAAACTATACACTTCTATGAACCCGTTCACCAAATAAGCACAATAGGTAAGTCTACTTAGGGGTATAAAAGGTTTCCAGGACAGAAACCGGTTGACTAGACCTAAAACTCCATTAGAAAAACAAAAACAAACAAGCAACCAATCACGTACTAGCATTTTTGGTGACGCAAACTATCATGATCCACCCTATAGATATACACCAGGCGACTCGATGGAGTGACGCATAAACAGCTGCCTCGAACGCGTTGTATTGATGGTGGGGGTCATAGAAAATGACAACGGAATACATGGCGATGATGCCACACGTAGCAGAGAGCATCCAGCCAAACCAAATGACGTATTTTGACATTTTGGTCCTATTATTCGTTAACATAAGTGCGTTTTTACATTGAAGTGCATATTTACCCTTTAGTTTGAAGCTTGTACAAAATGTAGCCAAAAAGCAACCCAAAGAAGTAGGAACCGGCTCTCATGTGTGTTTTGATGTATGCGGTTTTGAAGTAGGAGTTTTGTGTGATGTCGTACATTTCGCTAAAATTTAGAATGACCAGTGGGTTTGGACAAAGGTGAGTACTTACGGTGCGAAAATCATAAGTGTGGGGTCTAGATTTTTGGTTAGAGTGATGATGAAGGGGGCTACCACAGTCACGAAAATTCCAGCACCTAAAGCCGCTTTACCGATTTTGGTGAATTTCCAGAGGGGGTAGATAATTAATGGTGCGATGATGAAGAGGTGGTAGTCAGCAGCGAGGTACCATGATTGGAACATACACTACAAGAAAGTGTTAGTACTTTTCACTTGTTTCTAGTTGTTTTTTACCAATGAGTCAGTGTAGACGTAGTTATTAACGTATAACAAGTTGGTCCACCACGATTTTTGACATCTTTCTTGTTCCAGTTTGATTCTGGAGTCCCAAAGAGGACCATCGCCAATACGGAAGAAAAAGGTGCAGTAGAAACCAAGAACAACCAAATAAGAAGGCGTAAGTCTGGAAGAATTTATGTTACGACTGGTCACTGTAAGGTTCCTCCTACCTTATATAGCGCGCTATATATAACAACGGAACGTTAATTCGCCCTTTTCGTTTTTCCAGCTCTATTAGAAGCAAGTAACACAACAAAAATCCACTAATTAGTAGAAACGTGTCAACTAAAAGCGGGCTGTTGACAAAAATTGCGTTAATAGGGTTTCTGCTTTCCTAAAATTCACCAATTTAGACGAAATTTTCAAAATTGACCTTATTACCTTATCGTAGAAGTCGACATTCTGCACCGGCCCTCCCACCATAAACAAGAACGTATGTCCGCTGATAATAAAGATCATGGAGATGAATCTAATACCACAAATACACTCCAGATTGAGCTCAGACGACTTCGTCGTCAAAAATTTCCCCACAGTTCTGATGACCGAAAAACACAATATAGCTTCCTTGAGGACTGATCCACCCGAAGTTTTTTCTTGTTGAAGGACATAATAGTGAAATGCTGTGGCCAAAAACACGAAGATTGTAAACGCACCTACAACAGTCCTATAAGACGTTGTGACAGCAGATGAAATTGTCAAGGCAAAATTTACCCGTAGACGATTTCCATGGTGGAGAACGGTTGGGGTTTCTTTATATGACACTTGTCTTCAGACAGACGTACGTTAACATTTTTTTGTTTGGTTGCTAGGGTGAAAATTTCTTTGATTACGAATTTTACTTCGTCTACTGTGCACGAAGAGGGGACGCAGATGCTCCAGTACATGGTGTTGTTGAAAACGTGCCTAGGTCTATCCTGTTATATAATAATATTAATAATAATTATAAATACTGGGTATTTTCCACTCTTCCTATTTTGATTGAGTGCTGGTTTAAGATTGCGGAAAACTAACTAGTTACCTTGAAGGTTTCGAAAGATCTGGCCACTCTTCCGTCATATTGTTTTTTATTGAATAGCTCTACATCTGCCAGACAGTATTGTCCTTGGATTGGTGGTTCTTCGTCCCCACTGGTGGTGGGTTGCTTCAAATTTACGCACTCGTCGAAGTTGCCCATTTGGTAGAAATTTCCATAGAGCAGACCCGTGGGGAACTTGGACGATGAGTCAAACACTAAAACGATGTTGCATTTTTATTATTCTAAATTCAAATAATCTAATACAATATTAATTTTCTCTTGGGTTTAAATGTCAAGTTCATTGCGACCAGCCTTCATTTTTAAGTGAAAATGGTGTTCAAAATGTATGCACTTAATTTGTGTATTTTACAGTGAAAAAATGTGCTTAAAATGTCAAATTAGATTTTTTTAGTAGATTTCAATGTTATACCAAGTGACTATAACGCTTGTTTTTTCTTGTCAGGTCAGTTCAATAACTGCCACCTTCTCAGTGGTTTTGGCGCGCTCATGTTCAAATTAACAACTGTGAACTGAGATGCTAACACTTCTGCCAATAATTCAGAATTGCCAACACAAAAAAATGCTTCAATCATTAATAATTACCCGGTCCTTATAACAATGGACGTTATTTATCTAAAGTTCCAAAATTAGAAACGTGTATTTTATACTATTTTTTCTACTTGGCAAATGAGATACCCTCTAAGAAAACCAAATTTTAAAGTCATTATGACTCCACCAAAATGTGAAAAAGATTTTTTTAATTATTTTTTCCAGACTCACCAGTTGATTGTTAAGAGCGTAGCGGAGAGTTAATCTTCCGTTTTCCAGACACCCGGTATAGGGGAGTCTCATTTAACAAGCTGCACCGAGAACCACAAACTCTACGATATTTTATGATGTATCTACAGATATGAAAATTAATTTAAGCCCTCAAAAAAAAAAAATAATTGCATAAAGCAAAGAAACGAATACTAACTTTTGTTCTTACTTTTTAATATTTTTTCTAGTTTTGAGCAAAAAAAATGTACAAGATCGACATTTTCATATTCTGCAAGCTTAAGTAAACATAAAATTTGTGAAAATGATCCTGCTTAGCATAGGCTCTGAAAATTTAAAAACATATTCCCAAATACGGTCTGACAATTATCCCCAAATTGTAATTTAATAAAATACGAAAAATCAAAAACTCATTCTTATTACGTAAACATATAAATTTGACATAAATAGACAAATTAACAAACACCTGAGTCAAATTATGTAAACTTGTGGTTCAACTCCTTTCAAAACAACCACTGCTTGATGCCTACAACGTCAGTTTATGCACTTAAGGTTACGCTCAGTTAAAAATCCATTGATGAAAAAGCGGAAGGAATGAATATTTATGAAAACCGGTTCCCACATAATTATAAACAATAACCAAAACCGCTAAAAAATATTTAATTTTATGTGTTGGAAAAAGGGTACAATTTAAGATCGTCTAACTAGAAACTGAATTAGATAATGGATACAACCTTCGAAAAAACACGCCAAACCTCAGGATTTCCACAAAGCGTAAACACTGACAACATCAATAACCATAACCTTCCGTATCACAAAATCTACATAACCCGAACAAAAAATAATTGGACTACTTTGAATACTAACTAGTTTGTTACTATACCTCGTGTATTAATGTTTTTAAAAGTTATTATACAAAACGATATCGCATACATAATTCATAAGTCGGATCAACGCATTGAAATTCGAATTTTGTGCGTTGTACCGGTGTTTACTGTCTAGTGTACAAGGAGAAAGAAGCTGATGAACTTAAGTAGTGGCAAGCAAGTTTTCATTAATTTATGCGTGCTATTAGGATTTTCCAGGCCACATTTTTGATACCAAAAAAAGACTTTTTTTACTTAGAAAAACCACAAAACCGGTCGATTTGTTTTTGATTCTGAACATGCTGACTGTATTTATTAGTAATATTTTATTTACTTTAGTAAAATCAGGAAGTCTCAAATCGTGGACGCTTGCCGTAAGGTCACGTTAAAAATTTATCGTGTTTACGTATGAAAGCTGCATTTTAAACATCACTTAGAATTCTAGATACACTAACAAGACAAAGACGGGACGCTTGGACCACCAAAGGTACCAATGCCATACGTTCAGCCCATTGAAATTACCATAAAAGCCACGACTGCCCATTACCAGTGCCACGGTTTGACCTTTATCGATGTTACTTGATTGATTCTATTAATTGTTTTTATATGGTATTTACATCGTGGTATGGACATGACACAAGTGGAAACAAGTAGCTTCAATGACATTTACAAAAAAACTAACTTAATTTTGTGGTTATCGCTCTGAAACGAAAACTCTTCCACTATTATTTTTCGGACAGCCCTGATGTTCCTCCTAATTACATTAGATTAACAAGCATTATTATAATACACAAGTTATTTTCCACTCCTCCTCATTTACATCGAAGAAAGCCATAAAAACAAGATTGTAAAGCAATCATAAAATTACAACTGGATTTTTTGCAACATTAACACATGTAACGCAAAAGAATATTAGTCACTCTCTTAAAAAAAATATATTGCACTTCATTAAAAGTGACACTATGGTGTTATTTGTTTTGCATGTTTGTAAAGCTGTTCTGTTAGTGTGCTTCAGGCATCTGAAATAAAAGATTTAATCTCTATTTCTAGCAATTAAACTACAGCGTGACTTGGAAAGCAAGTATTCTTATGAGTTATGAATAAGAACTGAAAAATGTTGCCAGAGAATTAAATGGAACTTCATTCGACAACAACAAGCAGCTTTTTTCATATTAAGTGGTGTTTTAAACTTATCATCGACAACAACAACAACAAATTCATTTTTTATATTAAGTAATGTTTCAGGCTAATTTTCAACTGAAACTTCGTATATAATCCAATCTAATCCAACAACCGGACATAAAACTTGTTTTGATATGTTATTTTAATGAATTTCTTTCTGATTAGATAATTACAGTAAATTTTGTTATTTGTTATGCAAACACTGTCATCTCAATCGTTATTTTTTGGCTGGTCAAGTGAACTGAAATTCCACATTTGTTTAACTGGATGTATATGAACAACTGAATAGTTTTGTGTGACTGACGTTTGCGCGAAAATAACCTTTCTTAAAATAAAATATGGACGTAGAAATGATTGTTTAAACTGAATTAAAGTTTTCAACATTCAGAGTCGCTTCTAGTTTGAGTCATCCACTTCCACAAACAACCCAATATGGTCGATTTTCTTATCACTACAAGGTTATTATCAACATCAGATAATCCTACAATCGTACAATTGGCTTACGGGCATATAAATAACCAAACGAGTTGATTATAATTTTTCTATTTTCGCTCATTTATTTTAATTGCCTAAAAAATTTTCGAATGAAAAAATCGTAGTATAGTTAAGAAAATTGAATCTTGCTATACCAGACGTTTTGAAAGAATTTCAAAAATACTGTTAACTTTCAAATTTTCAAAATTCAGTTTTTTCAAAAACAACTTGGTTTGATAAAATAACTGAAAAATAGAAAAAACTATAAACTTTAGTTGTGGAAAATAGGTAAGTCAGAACTTGGAAAAATATACAGGGTGAGTCATTAAGCGTACGGTCCTCGATTTTTTTTTTTATAGAAAACCCTATATATTTTTACATATTCTCATTAGTCTCTTCTTAGAGTTATAACTATGGTTTATTTTTAAAATTTCTTGTTCTTAAGTACTAAACTTATTTTGCCAGAATAACTAAAAAAAGCAAAGAGATATAATTCTAGCGTAAAAAAAGTGTTCTATTTAACACAACCTCATTCAGTTTACACAAAGAAGTTGAAATCACTTTCGGAAAAACCAAAGGTGACCTTACGCAAACAACATACTTACTTTATACGGCTTTTGCATACATTTACTTTTCTAAATTTCAAATATTTACTTTTTTAAATAAGTGAAAATGACAGTGCAATTAAGACGCTTAGTTGTCAATTTTGACATGAGGTCAACCAACAAACGTGATAAGAAGATGACAGTGCTGTAAATTTCATTTGACAATCACGTATGTCATCATAAAATTTTAAATATGGTGCCAACCTGACAAAAAAATCATAAACATTAATAGTTGGTACCAACTTTACGGTATATTTGCAACACTGTTTGATTTTCCGCTTGTATAATATGTGACATGTAAATATAGTTACAAATTTAAAAATACGCTGATGACGCAGCAATCTTCTCACCTCCAGACAAAAAAAAAAAACGAAATATATTCCTACATATCTACTATTCCTAGTAAAAGAAAATTGTAAGCAATCGTGAAAAAAACAACCCCTTTTGCAACTTAATTCAAACGACAAAGATCTTTGAACATTGTTCATACACCTATAAATAATAAGTTGCTTTACGACTTCATCAACTTACATCACAACTATAAATACTAAGTCATAGTTGGAAGAATTTAGTTCTTTGTGTGTGTCTTTAAGCTAAAACCAACCGGCATTGCCAAAATTTCAGCATCCTAACCCTTTCAACCCTCTTAACTTTACTCATGATTTATGACTTTGGACGTTTGATGGTCAAAGGTCGATAGCCGCACAGAGCAAAAGAAGTTCAAACACGTTTAACAGTTTTAAAGTCGAAAAAGTTGCCACGTTCCGAAACTTCCGGTTTTATCAATCTCTGACGTCGATTTTTTTAAACACATTAAAATTCCCTTAATTAGTCACATAAAAACTATAAATATGCACAGATCTTAGATTTGCCATTGTGGTATTTCCGACAACACAACCGCTTAGACCAAATTCTTCGCCTTTGCTACCTCTTTTTAACCTCGGCGCCAGACAAACCTTGATATTGACTGTTACACAAGTGAATTCTATAACTATCACACTAACTTCTTTCATGACATTTGCGTGAAAAAATGTTAAGTGTTGAATGATGAAATTTACTCTTTGTGTCAAAATTTGATTTGAACTAATGATGCAGGAAAAGCAAATTTGGAAGGTCGCTCCACAAGAATTGCGTATGTTTCCGTAGTGTATGATATAATCACGATAAAATCACTAATTTATTGTTATTACTTTGTATGGCCCAGCGTTCTCTTTTCGACATGGCATCGAGCGCTACCACAGCATCTTGCCCACAGGTACTATAATTCAATTTTGCCACTGCTTGCACGATAATCTGAAGATCGTACGCCACGTAATTTTCATCAGTTTGATTTTTTTGAGCTGAAACAAGAAGCACTTTATCAAAAATTATAAATACTATCTTATCTTCACGCATAGTTTATCCGAATTTCGATATTAATAAATTTTTTCATGTTAGCAAAGCTTAACTTAACAAAGGAAAATCGTAGTACCTTGCTCTGAATTATATTTCAGCAAAGACCTAGGAGTGTGCTTCCGGTAATCGTCACTAACAATTTTCATAACGTTCGAATTGTCATCACTAGCACTAGCAAAACTAACTAAAACACTGAAGAACATCCACAAGGGCACTTTTTTCCTGAAACGTCCCATTGTAGTGGGCCTTGATGCTTTGGTTCTTCGGCTAGAACTAATAATGGACCGGTATGCGTCTACCAATTCATTTTAGTACGTACCTGCAATTTGGCCGTGACTATTTCCTCGTGGTGGGGGATTGTGATACTGAAATCTAATAACGAATTTTCAGGATTACGAAATTTACGTCGGTGCTATTGAAAGGTTAATGTTTCATTTACGTATTTCTAGCGCAATTAGATTATTGGAAAGTTACTTTAAATTAGTTTGGGCGGATATTCCGGTATAATTTAAACAAAGACGTCGGTTTCAAAAAGGGTGTAATTAAGCAATCGTCAGCGAAGTGAGTAATTTTTTGTGTTATTTTCCTCGTTTAAAAACGTATTAAGGGTTCGTCAGAAAAATGGCTACTTTATGGTATTACTTTCGTTTGCCATTTGCATACAGCTGTAGATGTTTATTTCACTCTCGCTTTCATGTGATTACGTTCCGTCAAATTACTAAATCGTGAAAAGAATCCCTAAGTCTATGAAAAAAAAAATGTGAAATGGAAATTTTCTTTAAAAATCGTCATTATAAACTCATCTAAAAATGCAGTGGAAATTTCATTTCCAAGATAATAATTATTGTTATTCTCCGCCCAGTACTTATTTGTTTATTTTTTAAGTTCGTCGATATTTATACCGGGTGTCTGAAAAATGGCGGATTAACTCTCCGCCACGCTCTTAACAATAAAAAAAAGGTCTTATTTTAGCAGCCACTGGGCCCGCCCACCCACCCTCTCTTTTCTTAGAGGGTATGTCATTTGCCAAAATCAGTTTTATCTTAACAGGTACTGTTGACTAACTTTTACAAAAAATGATTAAAATTTGAAAACATTACGAACTTACTATTTTATAAAATAACGTTTTTTTGTAATCTACTACTTTTTGGGACTCCCGAAACCCCCGTACATAACGTACTGATGAGTTAATCCGCCATTTTCCAGACACCCGGTATATACAGGTGTCTCAAAGGTGCGATTCTAGACTTGTCGTTTATGAAACCGGCTTGATTATCCAGATTTTTGAAAAAAAATCAAAACTGTATAACAATAACATTCAAACATTTGAAAAACACTTGAAGTTGATCATGTTTTTAAAAATATATCCGTATATCTTTTATAAACTATGGCCAGGAAGTTGCACATTTTCGGTCCTAATTTAACAATGTTTGCACGAAATGATTTGTTTTTAATAACTTCGTTTTTCTAAGAAAACGCTTTTGGTTTAATTATGGTATTGTCAATTATATTCAGATATTATTTAATTACCCCATATAAGATATTGGAGGTAATAAAGTGAGACCTTAATCACCTAAACTTCACCAAAATTTTAAAAATAAAAATTGATATAAAGGTACTTTGGCAAAACTACTCTCGTAAGCTAGGTATTTATAATAACAAATTCCGTTTCTTACACAAATTATGTAAAATTATGTAAACCAGATTGAGTCAGAGAAGAACTACAACCACAACACCTAAAAGGAGAAAATTTAGTGATTTCATTTCATTAATTATACGAGTTTTAACCATAAATTGCTTCCGTAAATGGTAATAAATAAACGCAAATTGTTAATTAGACAATATATTTAATTAAAGAACTGTTGTATTCAAATTCATATTTTGTAAAAAGTAGAATTTTTAATGTTTAGAGATTAATTAACTGATAAGGCAAGGACTACATAGTAGATGTGTTTCATGGAAATTGTATTCTTTCTTTGTACTGTCAATAAAAATAACAAAAATTAAACACCCTAACAGGAAAACCCAAACGTCTTGACACTTGCTCAGGACGCGTTGCATGCTTAGGCTGGCCACGTCTCATCTAAAACGATATTTTTTCAATGTCTGGAATATTTGTTATAAAATAAAAATTAAGTAGTCATATCTTTTTTTTAAAACAGCAAGAAACCCATAATCTTCAACCATTGGACTGATGGACTTTGCACATATATTTTGCTTTGCAGGTGTTTGTCACGTACGTTTATTTTTCATAAAACAGAAAGAAATCTGTCGTGTCATTACATAATCGGAAACCCAAAAATAAACATTGTAAACGAGACAAATATTTAGTCTGGTATGACATATTTGCAATTATAAGAACTAAATTTTTAAAATATAAACTACGCAAAAACTACAAAAAAAAAACAAAAAGTTTTTAACTTCTTTATTACATCCAATCAAGCTTTATCTGGGTGCGTTCTGCGCCCTACAATACAAACGTTCTCCAAGGACACATCACTACCAACATAAAAGTGCAAATTACACTGAAACCCCAACCCTTCCAAAAATTGTAGCCGTCCCCAGTTCAAAATAGCCTTACATCTCTTCCCAATCTCCCCTTTCTGCGCCCGATTCAGCCCTATTTCCCTATCTCTCTCATTCACAATCTCCACATCCCCACCCTTTTCGCAGTTTTTCTCTCTACTAAACCCCGTTCCACACGTAGCCCAACTGCTCATCCCACCCATCATATCAAAATCGCTTTTGCACAGTCCTACGCTGCTAAAATACTGTTTTCCAATGTACGCTCCCCAGCGACATCTATGGTGACAACAAAACGTCATCACACAGCCCGCGACTTTCGACCGATCGGCAACATTCGTCAAACATCGTAGCGCCAAATCTGGAAATAAAGTTAGGCAACCAGTAATTCATCGCTAAATTGTAATTACTACCGGTGGCATCGCCACATAGGTGTTTGGTGACTGCAACAATTTGCGAGCTCTTCGTCACCGTCTCTACTTTACTCAAAACCAAGTCTGCAATGTCTGCTCTAATCCTCTGGACTTTGTCGTCGGTTTTGTCGAGTTTGTTGTCACGTTTGTGTTTAGGAGAGGATCTTTCAACCAAAAGAAAGTAGCAGTTGGACGAATCGACGGTTTGGGCGAGCCAATAGCTTAACTGTCCTTAAAAAAAATATGAAACTGGTTGTAATCTAAGTACTATTGTTACCTCGGCCGGCCCCGAACTCGATAAAACATGTATCAGGGCGCAGTAAATCGTACTCAGACAACAAACCTAACACAGCTGATGCTTGTTTTAGGTGTTTTCGGCTTTTATCGCCGTGTTCGGGTTTCGCGATTTCGTCTTCAACCACCCTATGTGTGGTAGTTTTAGTTGTAACTTTGTCCACAAGACCCTCTAATACATTAATAATAATTATATTACCACTCAATTTTTTTTATACTTGCCTTCATAGATTTTGTTCACTTTCGCCACCACCTCCGTTATTTGTTGGGGTGAAAATTCCGACAACAACTTGTGTGAGTCGTCACAATTATAGTCAACTTCACCTGAATTTACACCCTTTTCAATGTAGGGTAAAGCCACCCCCGGACGTGCGTTACAAATTTTTAAATGTTTCTTGAGATTGTGGGCGTAACACGTGCTGTAAAGCTCGATTAATAATTGGGCTTTTTATAAAAAAAGAAACCAACTGTTTTCGGTCTAGGGGGCAAACCACTCTAATTTTTTTGTCTTCTGAAGGCTCCCGGACTCCCTCGGTCGCAGGCTGGTGTTCGCCACAGTATGTCTCGCCGGGTTTAACAGTCATTCTACAGTACCTCTTTTTTCGAATTACAAAATGATTACATTGATCTAGCGGTGTTTTCTGTTCATCCATTGTCACTAAAAGTTGTCCAATTTGAGGTTATGAAACTGTCACTTCCATGTGTTATATCATTTAAAATAAAAACTTTGTGACTATAATTTGGAACTTTGTAGAGTCACAAAGTGAGTACTGTTATGGTTTGTGTTAAAACACCACAATTCACAGTCGTAGTTTGTAAATGTGGCGATTTAAACGAAACTTTGGGGTTATGTCAACATAACCCCACTTTGTTTGTAGGAAATGGCTTTACAAAGAAAAAAAATTAGCGATATCCCTTCTGACGCTATTGTATTGACTGAGGACCAAGCTTTGAAGTACCAAGCTAATATTCTTAATAAATGGAAGCACATCAGTGATATGTGAGCTTACATGAACTTCCACTATTCCAGCTCATTTTATTTTTTAGTTGGGGTTACAAATTTGCCCCCTATGTCCTTGGAGGCACCAGTTTCTTCACGGGATTTTTCATCAATAGTTACTACAGGAGTAAATTCAAGCTACTCCACTATGGTAGAATCTCCACCTTCTTGCCTGTGTGCTTTTTACCAGCAGCTTTCTCAGTGATGACCCACATGGAAGTATGTTTCTCAATTTCAAACTATTCAAATAACTCTAATTTTTTAGTTTGTTTTAAAAGATGTTGTTTTGCAAAAAAGGGACACCTGTCCAGTTTGTTTGGAAATGAGGGCGTCCGCCCTTCAAGCTTTTATTGGATGTGGGTTTCCTCTCCTATTGGCTCCTTTGGCTAACTTATCTGTATCTATTTTGCAAAGGTACGAATTTTTACTAATTGGTGTTGTTTCAGATGGCACACAAATATGCTACCTATAACCTTCCTGATGTTATTTCTGAACCAAAGAAGGTTTTTAATTTGGTTAGAGTCAAATCTGCGCCTCTTGCCAATGTCGTATTTGCTCTTTTCATAGGGCAGGCTCTTGTAGGTTCAGTTGTTACTTATTTTGAATCAAAATCTGTTATTACAGTAAGCCAGAAATTGGCCCTTTTAGAAAAGGAGTTGGAGAATAGCTAGTTTGTACAATAAAAAGTAGTGGAATATTTATTAGCAAGTATTTTTGCTTTTTTCAGTAAAGATTTAATCTATATTGTTTATTTTTGGAAGTGGTGAGAATATCAATTTGATTAATTTCATGTGAAATTATATGATATACGCGTAAATAGATTAATTCGACTTTAAATTTGGTTAAAAATATTTACGAATGACGTCATTAATTTTTGGAGGGGATGAACGGAGAATGTTTGGTCACGTGATCTGAAAAAATTGTGTATAATAAAAGACTGAGTTATAAAAAGTAATTTTTATTAAACCTTTGAACCCCACTACAATACACGCAATATTGTTAAACACTAATACAATATAATTAAATTCTTACTGAAAAATCAGAATGTAGTGTCTCATTAAATAAATGGCTTACTGGAGTCATCAAGATTCTACAATTTTTTCCAGCATTAGGCACATTTCTTCAGATGTCGCAGGTAAGTTTGAAACAGGAGAATCTGGCTAGCCAGTTACATCAACATAGATATGCGATAATCTACTTTGTGTTTACTGTAGAGCAGTGGAATATGGTGATTATTTCGAATTACTCAATAAATCCTGAGTTGAGACACTTGTACTCAAGTTGGGACACGGAATTTGAAATTACTTAGATACTAAAGATTAGTACTTACACAAAAGACACACACGGCTCACGACGACAGTTTCTTTCGTTGCAATTAATATAAATCTTGTCGTTATGAACCAACAACGTTAATTGAAAGTGTATCCCAACTTTCCAGTACGTTTTTTACCTTAGATCTTATTGGCTTGGTTGCTGTTTACATCCAAATCACAGATTTTGATGATACATTTTGCGGCTAGAAATTTTTTTCGGTTCGATTCGACCAATTTCGTGCGATTCAGTTCAGATGTAAAAGCAACGAGATCACACTATTTAATGATGTCCATAGCGCGTAAACAGCTAATTGAGCATCACCATGAATGATTGTAAACTATTCAACATGACAAAATGGCAGTGATGATTAAGTTAATTTTATTTACCATCGCGTTGTTCTTAAGATGGCGTCGTATTTTTATAAATTTTTTTAAACATTTTTTGGATTTTGAACAACTACCCGTTCTACTTACTATTACATACCAACTTTAACATAGCTTTTTTTATATAGATTAATATGAAGTCACTCACACAAAGTAATGTAAAGTAATAATTAAACATTAATTTTTATCTATTACTTAGGTATTTTGTTTATTGCAGTGACACCCCCTTATGACTATTTCGGACGACTGTGTACTCTGAGAAATCGTTCCTCGTTAAAAACGCTATTTTTATCGTTAACAATGCACGTGTGTTTGATAAAAATTCAAGATTCAGTTATATGCCATTGAAAAAATATATTTATTATTTTTGTCTGAGAACAATTTTTTTTTTGAACAGTTACTCTTAATCTACGTTATAACGTATAACCTCAACACCTTCCGATTTACCGAAATGTCTCTGGAAACCTTACGTTACTATTGCTTTTTTGAATTTGTTTTAAGGCAAAGTCGAACGTTATCTGGCGTGTCGTGGTGCTGCGAACAAATCGGTAAACCCTCCAGCGTAACTGCAGCACAACAAAAACGGAAGCAATTGTGGCAAAAGCAAGTTTAAATGCAAACTTTGACCGAAGAGGAGTAGTTCAACGGAATACTGTGCGATGGTTAGGCACGGTAGTGACGAAATTTCAAACACCTAACCTACAATTTCGCGTTCTGAATACTTTTGGTGTTGAAACGTGTACAGAGTGTCTGTTTCGATGTCAGCGCAACCAATCGGCGTGCGCCACAACAGTCTCTTGGCGCCTGCGCCGCAGGCGCCGTACCCGCCAACAGACAGCCTGAGGGTCGGGGCACATGTTCGGTTTGTCTCAAAACTTCATGCAGTAACAAATCGAGCCAATGAATATGCTCAAGGGTCACTTTCTTTTCCTGAAAGGCGACGGCTGGTGGTAGCCGTTGACGTGAGCTTCCGACGAAAGGTACTCTTGCTGATAAGAAGGTCCCGGAAAATGGTCCCACCAGAGGGGCGGCGGCGCCGGCAGCGGCTGCAGCATGTACGGGGGCTGCAGGCCGGAGCCGTATGATGGAAGGGGAAACGTAGGCTGGACCATGACGAGAGCGGGCGGGCGACAAGGGGGCGGCACTGTGTGAGGGTATGTGGACACGGGACTGCTATGTGGAGGCGTCGGTGGCGGACGCCCCCACATTATCTGCTAGCAGCGCTGGTTGTTCCAATGGTTCATGTAATCTTGATAAGTCACTGTTATTTTCTCACTTTGGTAACGAGTCAGTTTTATGCTACGGCGCACTTCGTTCGAAATCACCGATTTGTAACCGCCCTTACGCAGGAGGGAGTCTATGGTCTGCAGCTGATCCCAACCTAACAACAAATCACTACGTTAACGACTACCGACATGCTAACTAAACACAATTTTTTTTCTCTGTTACAACTTTTCTACCACAAGATTTACGATCTTTAGGAAACAGTGAATGTGCCGCATACTTTTGATTCGGCTCTTACTATGCAATAAAAGTGCCGCTTTCTACACTATTGACCCAAAATAAAACGCCTACTGGATAACTCGACACTTGAAAAGTCAATGTTACAGCGGACTTTATTTTTGGTCGTCAGTGTACCCTCAGTGTTAACTACTCCCCAAGATTTGGCAGTTTTGTCAATTTTGTGTCACCACAAAGCGAATTCACCCCGTTTTAAATTTCCAAAGAAAACGTACTAAAAACTGAAGCGCCCCCTAGCGCCATCATCGAAACACAAAACGTCAGCGCCGCCAACACAGAGAAACGAAATCCTCTACTCCTACGAACTTACCTGCTCCAGCACAAATATCCTTGATCTAATGGACCTGCATCAGCAACGCACCATTTAAATACTTATCCTTCGCTTGAAAATTGATAAAATCCACCCATTTCCCCCGAAATTACCTTGTTCAGATGCGACTTCGGGTAAGTACGTCGCTGTCCTCTTGTTCCCCTTCTCGTTGATGAACTCGATCCGAATCCCATGCACGCCCACTTCCCAGTCGAGGTAGTCGTCTCCGTCCTCGAAATGTCTCAGAATTGACACAGACACACTCAACTTGGGAAACTCCTCCCGAGTCACCGGGCTGAACCGCGAATCCTTGAAGGCGCTGGTGACGGCGTACTCCCTGAGTCCCGACTGCAGGTTCATGGCGTTGAAGGTCCCGATGCAGCCCCGCAGCCGCTTGTCCTTGCCGATTTTCCACGTGACAAACAAGGGACTGCAAAAATGAAGGGTTGTTGAAGATGGTCGGATCAAAGGCGAAACTTGTCGAAATAACATACATAAATTGTTTTTATTGTGACCAGGCGCTAACGAAGCATGAATGAACCCAAAGAAAAAGATTAGAGAAAATATCTGTTTCATTGTCGGAAAAAACCCGTTAAGAAGGTAAAGCGTAAAGAGACTGACTATAAGTGTGTGTTCTTTACGAATTTATTGGCTCATTTGAATTTTAAATATTGAAAGTAGGATAATCGACAGGGTTTAGTGGGAAAAAGATACCGCTGCAGAGAGATCATAAAGAAATTCAAAGCGGATTCCAAGTTTTCTAAATATCATCCCCCCCACAAAGTTCCTGACGCCACCTGAAGTAAAACAAAAACGCGACATACGTTTATATCAACTTGATAATTGTGTGAAGGTATTAATTTAAATTTTGTATTTGTAAATAATAAATGTATGAAGGTAACTTGCACTTCTTGTATTCTTAGCAATTATCACCTTAGAATAACATTCTCTTTTCAAATTGATTTTGCAAAACAAACATTTCAATACACGGCCATAAACCTTACGCTTCTAATGCCTTCTAGTTTTGAATGAAAGCGACATATTGGCTCTATGAGCGCCGCTTTCTCGATCGAACTAAAAAGTGAAGCAAGTAGCGAACGTCTACTAGTTAAACCTGTCTAACAAATTGGTTCTTCTGCTAAACAGTATGATAGTCTAACTCGCCTCCATAGAAAAATGACGTTTCGGTGTTGCAGTATTTCTATCCTTGGGTAGGTGGCACCACAAAAAATAAGCCACATTTATTACTTAAACAATAAAATGACTTTATAAAACCTAAGACTACAGACTACAAATAAAACTGATACTTTTTTTTTAATATATAAACCAAATGTAGAAAAAAAAACGTTTCGAAGTGGCGCCCTCTATCGATTCGACTATTAACATTCGAAATGTCAACAATGTCAACGTGACTGAAGTAGGTTTTTAAAAGTCAAATGTTACCCCATGAAGATTGCAAACACAGTCACCACAAAATTCAATAAGACAAAGGATCTTAAATGTAAACAAACTGTTAAAATGATAACATGCTCAATGTTTTGTTTCAGGACGAAAATCAGGCAGTTTGTCAAAGTGTGGTTACTGAGAAAACTGAGGTTACGGTTTTGAACATACTCTACCTCTTACGGTGACTCTTCATTTTCAATTTTTTATATAACGTCGGGCTTAAAATAGTCGAAACAAGCAACTGTTTTGTGAAAGTTGTAAAAGCCCCTAGATTTCGCGGGCACTTTATATCTACAAAAAAAAAAAAAATGAAGCGTCTCAAAATCACTTTAATCCAGTTTAATCGCAGTTGCGTGTAGTAAATAATTCAAACTATCCATCAACTACTAAATCCTCCTTTGGTCCCAAACATCCCATCGGAAGAGTGTTCGTACCATTACTTCACTGCTACCAAAGCACGAGTGTCAATACCCTCCTTATAGCGACTGTTCTACTTAATGTTTTTGGCTAACTCTCAACTGTCACGCTACGGATAAACCAAACGTCAGCTTACGAAAAAAACCAAGCACATTCAAGACAAAAGAGGTCACTATCACAACACAAAGGAGGCTGTGTACGGGTGAATGACCTCATTTGGGCTAGTGGCACCTTCGCAAGCGGGCCCAAACGGGTCCCAGCGGCACGGGCCGCCAACCCCATGCCCCCATGCCCGCGACTTACTATGCATCGTTGCTGAAGGAAGGAGTCTTCGGTGGCGCCAGGTTATACAGGTGACAGTACAGCACGTCAAAACAAAAGAAGCACATCTCGGGCAAGGCCACCATGCCCGCGTTGTTGGTTATGCCGTTGGGCACGACTGAAGTACCATTGCAGGATGGAACGCTCGAAGAGTTGTTAAGTTTTTGTTTTTTCGTACCACAGCACCCAGCAGCCATCGTATTTCCAATTCGCGAACAGCTGACTGAGCCAGATGGCTGCGGAACGCGAACAAGGACGAGTCGACTCGGCCCTCTCACTCCCACTCGCTGTGCCGCAGTAGGCTGACGTCAGAAAATCCATTAGTTACGGTTTTAGTTGAGGGAGGCGGCGGCAGAGGGCGAGCCGCCGCCTCAGCTGATCGACGATTTAAATTCAAACTTTGCGGCGACAATTTTTACTTAATTAATTAAAAAGGGATTGGGGATTATTCGGGTTGATTAAATCGGAGATGTTACCAATCGAATAATTAGCGTCTGTGCGGTTGGCACTTCTGCGGCTGTCACTGATTGCCATTTGTCGCCCGATTTGCTAGATTGTTAAAATGGTGGCCGGTGGTGTTCGAAAAAGCAAATTTTTGCAAAAATTCGAACTAATTAGAACTCTAGTTTGTACCAGATTCATAAGTAACGAAATTGTTATCGTTTTGAGTCATAATTTATTTCATCTTTTTCAGAAAATGATCAAGATCTTCCAGATCTCATGGTCACGACGCTGCATAAAACTTGGTAAGTTTTTACTCAAACTTACAATTAGAATTTGCAAATACATCGTTAAAACGGTACAAAATCAAATATTTAGCTCTTAGAAAAGTTAAAAAACATCTACAACCCAAATGCAATAACAACGAATAGTTATAGTGTTTATGCTGGAAATTTTATATTTTATGATGTCAGTCTATTTATTGTATTAAAACAACATTGGTACATATCCAGTATATATAAAGTTTAAAGAGAATCTGGCAGAAACGAAGGAAATTTTCCGAGATGATCATTTCGGGTTAAACTAACATAGGCCACACGTAATGCACTCATGTTTTATGAGTTTATGACAATTAAGACACGTAGGGAAAGTAAAGATAAATAGGATTATAGGGTAAAAGTAAATTGTGGTGTTCCTATTTTCTGAACGTTATTTTTGTATCCAGTGAAAGAAAACCGTAATAAATGTGTAAACAGACCCTAAATGACAGTGTACAAGTAGCAGGTAGAATTCAGTGAGAGCGAGAGCGACACTATAAAACATTTAAAACTGGTAGGTCACTTCAAAAATTTGCAAGAACAGTAGATATACAGAGTGTTCCAGATAAGAACGGGTAGAAATATCGAAAGTCTGTAAACACCATTATTTGTAACTTGAAGGGGGATTTATAGCGCTTAATTTGTATCATTAGCCGAGCTACAGTGCCATCCAACCTATTTATTACATTATAACTTTTTAGCGAATTCTGTTGACAGGAATTTTTATTTGTTTTTTTTTTTTTTGAAAACATGAATCTGCTTCAGAAACAGAAAGAGGAAAGTCATTTCAAAAATAGCACTACCTTTCAAAGTTTTTCAACTCAGGAGCATGCTAAAGTAATTCTAAAACTAAATGGGCAATTATGAAAATAAATTAAATAATAACATTTTGTTATCTTGTAAAATGACATACTCCTGTATTTGTGTTTTATGAACTCACCTTGATTTTATACCCTCGATACACAGATTTTCAAAAAAAATCCAAATCTGTCCAAGTTAACTTTGCCGCCTCCTTGAGGTGAAGCACACATTGAAAAACTTTAAAAGTTAGATTGTGTGATAGGTTCACCGACAGGCAACGTATAATCGTCGTATATCATAACGAAGCGGCAAATTTTACAAACTTTCAAAGCCATGTTGATGTTCGATTAAAAACACCTTGGATAAACAATAATTGGTCAGTAATCACACGTTGGGGCACTGACTGAAATTTGCCTGAGAATTTTGAGCCCATAAAAGATTTAATTGTAGGTTTGACTTTGTTTTATGAAATCAGATTATGAATTTGTCGCCCAAGTAATTTTAACTCTTGAATTGAATTATTATTATCACGGCAGTGGGTTAACTTAATAAAATAATGAGAGAAAATACGATTTAAAAGTTTGTGGCAATAGAAACAAGTATTTTTTTTCAATTTTCTATTATAGATAAATGTTATATATTTTTACTTCCCGATCGTAAGTGTGACTGGTTTACCTGTACTTTAGCAGTTGTTACATATTTCTACTTTAAATTATTTTGTAAGGGTTATTATTATCAAGTCAAGTTATCAAATAAGCAGAAACAATCGTAAATTGTGACCGTCGACCGTCTGCGCCTGCGCTCCCTGTTCTGAGTTTATGGTTTCTTAGCATAATGCCTTTGTCCTCGATAGCGAAGGAGCCGTTAACAATCCACTGTTTTCTTTGATATTTTCTTAATTTTAACTTATATGAGTTATCATAAAAAATAAAATCACAAAAAAGTTCGAAAAGTTCTATTGTACTTCAATGTCTTGAGCTAAACGTTTCTCTCTTGATAGATAAAATATTGTAGCTAACGGACGACCGATTCAAGTCCAGCTCTGAAATTCCAGCCCCATGTCACGTCTTTTGTGAAAAACTTACCTATCGTAGAACAAGAACCGTAAAACAAACAAATGTCGTGATCGGGTTATCTTTGCTTGCTTTTTATATTTCCCGAACTGTAGTTAAGGAAAGTTCTATATTAAAATCAATCCGGCGCATATCTAATTTTATATTTTCGTGGCGTTTCACGCCAGTGGAATACGAAAATGTATGTTTCCCGTTTTAAACTCAGTTAAATTTATTTTCTGAAAAAAAAAACACTACAGCTTGCACACGACATACGTTGTACGATGACTTGTTTTTGTGATTGAGGCAGCTGATCGGTGACGGTCTAAACAATATTGATGTACTGATTAATCCTCACATACCAGTCTTTAATTAACAGCGTACGCTTTGATGTAAAACTGACCTTTGATACCGATATCGATTTACTTGCACTTTCGACACCTTTGTTAGTCTTGTGTTTGATTTTTTTTTTTTTTTTTGTAAATATTAGCTGCAGGTTGCATCCAATTTAATTAAACCAAGCTGAGCTAAAATAGATACACGTCTGCTCTATAATCAACAACTTTCTCCTGCTGTAGTTCTAACAAATGATTCTGATTTTAAAGAACGCATTTTGAAATTTTTTTTTACTCTTTTAGTGAAAACTTACTGTGTATCTGTGTATAAAGTTCGAGTGCTGTAAAATAATTGGATAAAATCGTTAAGCATATGTTGAATACGCTTTCTACAGGAACAAAAAGCAAAAGTAAACAATATTTCATCTATTGAACATTGTTTGAGCTCTCATTAATGCGTAGTTCATGACGAAATCCACTTTCCATTTTGCTAAATATAAGAAACTTGTAATAACAAGAGTTAAGGATGCGTGAACCCTCGAAACGCTGGAAGAAATGTTTTTGCTAACATGCCTGCCTTTTCTCCATAAATACGTTTCTTTGACACCGTCGGCGAACAAGTATTTCATTGCATTGAAATCCGTAGAGGCCGGAAAATGTTTTAAGAAATGAATGCTTTTAACGAAATGACAAATTTTCGAAGCATTTACAAATTAAATTTTTTTTTCGTATGCTTAATTAGCGGATTCCTTTTGGTTTAAATCCGATTTGAATGTGTTCGACGTAAAGGTATTTTATTATTTGTACGGGCTTTTAGGTCACTTAAAAATTTTGCTTACAATGGCTTATCGTTCTAGGAAAATTTATGAGGCGATTCTTGTGTTGTACCCTTCCCGTGGGTCACTTTATCGGGAAAGTGACTACGCAGACATTTGGGTTACAATAAACTTTAAATTTTATCTCGCCATGAAAAGTTGTTACGACGATAATAATCTTAAATTTAGAAGCAAACCCTTTTAACTAAAGGGTAAATACCCGTAAGTGCTTCGCTTATTGAACGAGGACGGTGCTTGCAGAACGACGATGTTACATTTGCGTTGATAATTTTTTACGATTTTGACAACTTTCCAATTGTGAAGACACGTTTTCCATTTTATTGCAAATTAGAGTATAGTCTTTCACATCCACTCAACGTTGTTGTAGCATCTGCAATACTTTATTACGAGTGCAATGTGAAAGTTAATGATAATAAATTCCCTCAGATTCTTTCAAACTACTTCAAAAAAAAAAAAAAAACAAAGGGATCCCCGATATAAAAGTATAAATATCCAAAGAACTATTAGTAACAGAAGCTAATAAGATTGTTGATATACTTCTACTCTTTGAGGATTATACTCTAAAATTATTTCTAACGATACAAAGTGTTCTGTTTTTAAGGCGTAACACAGAACTTAGATTTTTAAGCGAAACATCCTATAAATTGATTAGCCTTCTTAAGATTTTAACCGCAGGTGATTTTTGAAATTCCAAAAGTCTCAAATTCGCCATATTTAAAGATGGAGTTCTAGAATTTTCAAACAAAAATTACCTTTGCTTGATGAACAAATGAAAAGTATTTTCACCTATTTCCACAGGATCATTAAATTTGCAAATTTTCAGTTTTTCGTATTTTTGAAATGGGACACCCAGTAATTTTATTACTCCAATAGCAATTTGTTGAGGCAAATTCGAAAATGGTGTAAAATACAAAGTATTCCGTTTGAAAAACATTGTCTACTAGTATATTTTTACTTAAAAATGAAAATATGTTCAAAAGTATGGAGCAAATGAGCTTTATGTTTAATATTATTTTCCACTTTTTTGATAAGGAACGTTTTAAAAAATATATAGGTGTTCCATTTAAAAAAAAATCAATTTGACGTTCTTCAATGGCAACATCTTGAAAAAAAAAAACTGTATGTTAACGGTAAAAATATGGCCAAGAAGTACTATTTTTGTAGTAATCATTTGAAGTGAGTCACTCTGTGCCCACATCCTTTTAAACCACATATGTGTTGTCGTATTAGTAGAAATGACAAATATTGTTGGCGTATGTCTCCCGAAACTACTGTCTAGTATTATTGCAAAGAAATAAATGTATTTGTACTATTAGAAAGTCCTAACGTACAAAACACATTGTTCGCCTTGGAAACATGTTAATGAACAGATTTATGAAAGAACGAATCGAGCAAGTGCAACACGTCGATCGTTATTCACATTAAGTAATATGCATAAAACTTCACTTTTAATTCGCAAGAGCCCATTTTAAACGCATGGGT